TAAATGATTTGACGTATTCGATTGGAAAAGAAGAAAATCGTTGAACACAACGTTGCAAAGTATTTCAACGAGAAATCATTGAGTTGTCTTCATATATATATATATATCATCAAATTAAAATTAAAATTTATTTGAAATGATCATCAAGTAAAGCTTGCTTTTCATTTTGCAAAATTTAAAATTATCAAAATAGATTTCAGTTATTGATGCTAATTTAAATATTAATTTAATTAAAAGAAAGTCATAAATTAAAATCTATTTAAAATAATGCACAGCAATGCTAATAATTAATAGGTAAAGTTCGTTTTTCATTCTGCAAAATTTAAAACTATCAAAATAGAATTCAATAAAATAGTGATAGCGATATAAGCCTTTGCTTTTTTAATTAATTATAAGAAATAAAAAATTTTTCAAATCATTAATTGATATTATTTCACTTTTCTATCAATTAGCGCAATTAAAATATTTCATCACATGCAACTTTTTTTAGGCTGTCACTTTTTTAATAATTATAAAATTAAAATAATATATTTCTAACAAAATAAAAATAATTTTTGATTTCCCAAATTAATAATAATAAAAGTTAAAAGAAAAAGAAAATGTAAACTGTCATTATCTTATTTGTTCTATAATTTGTGAAAACAAAGATTTTTAAAATTTTCTATTAATTAATTACTTTAACATTTCCATTAATTTCAATAAAAACGTCAGAAAAAATTAAAGTAAAAATTAATTATCTTAAAACAAAAGGAGAAAAAGAAGAAAAAATGAGAAAAAAAGTTGCAATTATTTTAACAGAAAAAATATTTTGCGATAAATTTTAATTTAATATTATTAAATTCACTGAAAATTAATGCGTTTATTAATTTCACTTATTTTAGTTCTAAACAAAAGGTTAGAAGAATTGGTTAAAAACAAAAGAAAATAAAAATAATGAAATTAAAAGAAAAATAAAAGGTCAGATTTATGCCAAGGTCAAATTTCAATCATTAACTTCCCTACGACTTTCTTCCTTTCTTCATTTCAAATTTTTTTCCACTTTTTTCATTTCATTTCGTTATTATTGCTTCGACCATAATAATTCTTTAAATTTAAACTTATCATTTCTTTTTTGTATTTGAACGAATAAAAGAACGGAATGGAATGATTAATGTTCAAATCTGTCAATAAGAAAAGATTTCATTAATGTTAAAATTAATTCAAAAAAATCTTTTTTTTGAATTATTAAAAATTAAACAAAAAATACAAATTAATTAATTAATTAATTAATTAATGATAGCATTTGTTGCATGCAATAAGTTAAAAGAAAAAACTGTGCAAAGAAAAATTTTTTTTGAATAATAATTTTTTGCATGGCATTAAATAATACGAAAGAAAAGAAGCGGAAAAAGGAAAATGCCGCCATTAAACTTTCATAGCAAATTCGCTTTGATAGTTTTTATCATCAAAAATAGGTAGAAAACGGCTGGCAATAAACGAATGAACAAATGGATTTAAATAATAAAAGAGAAAGTATAATTTATTTCTCTTAGCTAAAATGATTTTAGAGAAATTAGGAAACAATAATTAAGAAAGCATAAATTAATAATTATTTTAAAATGCTTTGAAATTATTTCATTCTTTTTTTCTTTAATTTAAAATTTAATAATTTGAAAGGTTTCTTTTATTGTTTTAATTAAAAAAGTTTTTTGTTCTTAGAAGAATTTCTTTTTTTCGAGCCAATATTAAAAATAAACCAAATCGATGAAAATAATGAATTGATAAATGAAATAAGAATAATATCATTTCCAAGTTATTTTGACCTACCTATTTAATTATTTTTAATTCAATTACTAATAATTAATCTACTAATGAGTTTTGTTTTCTCATAGCTGGCAGGTAGAAAATAAAATACCATTTATTTTAATATTAACTTACTTTATTTTAAGTTAATATCAAAAAAGAATTAAATCAATGAAAATTATGAAATAATAATTGATGGAATTATATTATTTTTATTTATATCTTAAATATTTAATATTCCAATAAATATGTATAAATTTTCGCAAATTTCTTTCTAAAAAAATTATATAATAATTTTATGGTAATATCGATTTATCGTAATGTCAAAATATTAATAGCTTTTTTATGTTAATTAATTTCAAATAATTGAAATTAATTTATGAGAAGTTTTATTCATTTGACTCAGCGGATTTGATTACCTGTAACTATAAATAATATTTATCTATACCATTAGTCCTATTATCTATCCATAAATGATTAAATATACCATAAATGGTATTATCTATACCATAAATGAATTATCTATACCATTAATGATATTATCTATACTATAAATGAATTCCTATATCATAAATGATATTATCTATACCATAAAATCAAATCTCTTAAATTATTTCATAAATTTTTATTATTAATATCTTTTGTTTCCAAATGGCTTATATGTGAAAAAAGAAATCGTTATAAAAGCCATAAGCCATTTCTGATCATTTTCCTATATGAATTTTATTTTAAATTTCACACTGTTTAGAAACAATTTAAAACGATATAATAAATAAGCGCGGCGCTTCCTTCCCATACTTTTCCCAATGACAATTTCCGCTGGAAAAGTATTAAAAATTTGGTGGGAAATTTCCAAAGTTTAATATTCCATAATCCAATACATTGACTACTGTTGTCCTTCAGATAAAATAATCAACGAAAAGGAAAAGAAGAAAGAAAAGCAATGAATGAATGACCCTAATGACCTTGAAGTATTCAATGATAATCGTCGAGTTGAAAAAGAAATAAATGAAAGAATAAAAATATGCTTATTTCATTTTAATTCTAAAGAAGAAAAATAACTTACAAATTAATTGAATGATTAAGAATTTAATTTAAATTCTGGAATTTGATAAATAAATATTTTACAACAAAAAAAGAAAAATTCCTAAAATATTCATAAATAATTTGTATTCAATAAATTAAATTTCAAATGATTCATCCAAACAGCCATAAAAATTTATTTAAAAAATGAAATTAAATTTTAAATTTGCTAATAATAATAATAAAATAACAATACAATTAATTATAATCTTAATTTTAAGTGAATAATTGGAAAAAATTATTATTTAATATTTTAAATGGTATTGGCGTTAATTTTATTATTATTATTGTTTATAAATTTATTTAAATTTTGCCAAGTAATTAATAAATGAATAAAATGTTCAAAAATTGAATGATTTAAATATGATTTTAAAATTATCATGAAAAAATTTTAACTACTAACTTTAATTGCTTAATATGGAATATTTCCGTTCAAATATTCTATAATTGAGAAAAACAAAATGCATTTTAACAAATTAGATGAAAAACATTTAGAAATGGTTGGTAATTAAAACAAAAGGCTAATTAATTAAGAATTAATGCACTAATTAATTATATGCTATGTAAAAACTGTAATTTATTAGCAAATCCAATGCATTCATCATTTTTCAACCATCGATCAATCCTATTGTATGATAATTGATGTATAATTATTATTTTCAATTTATTTACAAAAAGAAATTTCGATATAAATTTTAATTCCCTCTCTCATTATGTCTCTCTCTCTCTCTCTCCTACTTTCTCTTTCTCTTTTTCTTTTATTTCTCGCAAAAACGTAAAATGGGAAAGGAAAGAAAAGGCATTAAATGAAATAATTGTTTGAATTTTCTTTTTTAAAAATCAAGTTTTTCATAGCTAAAAGGATTTTAAAATCTTTTTATATTACTGAAAAATAAAGGGACAAAGAAAACTTCTTTTAAATTTCTTTTCTTTTACTTTATATATTGCCGATGGCGCAGTTGGCAACAACAAATTTCCTAAATCATTTTAATAAATTGAAATGTTCGAATGCTTTCCTGTTATTCTCATACATTGTTGTTAGTTTAGAAAATCAAATCTAGAAAATTACATTTTTTGAATTTCATTTCATTATAATAAATATTATAGTTTTATAATTGATGTACATATTGATGTATATTTTGGTTGAAATGGAATGGAATAGAATTATAGAAAATTTATAGATTTTAAAATTTAATGAATTTAAGATTTTACATTATTTTGAGAACAAATTGTTAGGATGAAAATAACAATGTGATGGAGATTAATTCAAAGTTTACTTTTAAAGTTTTATTTATCGATTTCTTTTTATTTCATTAATAAAAGGAAGTGAATAAAATTAGGATTGAAATTCAAAATAAGAATTTTTAAATATTTGTTGAAAAATGAAAAATGATTAATTGAATTATTTTTACAGATTTATTTTTCTCTTTGATCATTGTATTCATTTGGTTAAATATTTCGTTAATTAATTTTCATAACATTTCAGATTTTGCAACCTTCGAAATGTTCTTTCTTTTTATCTCATTTTATATTTTGCAAAATGTTGCAGCACAAAATAAAAACGCTGGCAAGTTGTTTTTAAATCCAAATAAATCAAAAATTAAAAATAAAAGTTTGTAACATTTCTTTTATAATAAAATGAATTGTTCAAAATTGAATATTATAAACAACCACTTTTGTATTTTGCAAAATTTAAATTTAAACTTTACAAAGCTATAATTTTATTCGTTTCCAAATTTATACTCTTTGCTTAATATTATCATCTAATTTAGTCACATTTTGTTCACTTTTAATAGCATAAATTATTTAAAATTAAATATTAGAAATAATCAATTTTTTTAATGTCCATTTTTACATTTTGCAAAATTTAAACTTTATGAAATTATAACTTAATTTAATTTCCAAATTTATACAATTTATTTAATCTTATTTTCTAATTTATCTATACATTGTTTAAAATCTTTTTTGATACTATAAATAATTTAGGAATAAATACTAAAATAACTTTTTGAAATTTTACAGTTGTACGTTTCGATGAAATTGATAATGACAATGATAAGTATATAACATTCAACGAATTGAAAAAATGGCACAAAACGAATCACATAGTTAAGAGTGATAAGGAATTGAAAGAAATGATTCAATCGAAAGATCGAAATAATGATGAAAAGTTAAATAAGGCAGAATTTGTGAAACTATTATTAATTCGAAATGCGAATAATCAAAATGAAGATCTTTTTAAGGTAAAAAATTATTGAAATCAAAAAATATTATTTTTCATTGTTTTAAAGAATCATTAATTAATTTCAAAAGTTTTTAATTTTGTTCATTTATTGCGAAAAAATGTGCAATAAAGGCTGGTAAAGAATGTTAAAAATGAAAAAGATAAGTTAAGTTAAGAAAATTTAAAAAAGAAACAAAAAAGAAATATATGAAAGATAATCTTCTTTTGATCTGCCTATTTAATTATTTTTAATTTACTTACTAATAATTAATCTATCAATGAGTTCTCTTTTATCATAGCTGCTGGATAGAAATGGTGATGGTGTGATAACGCCAACTGAAGCTATGACATGGATGGATAATAAACCTAACAAGAAAATTATACATGATGTCTTCCAGGCATGTTTTTTTGAAATAATTTCAACGATGTGAAATTAAACAATCTAATATCAGAATTAGTTAGTAATTCTGAATTAATTATTAATATCAAGAAGTAAAGTAAACTTAAAAGGAAATTAATTATTTCGTGTTCTTTTTTTCAGTTAATTGATATTAATAATGACAAAAAAATTACACTGAATGAATTAACATCTGCCATGAATTCAGGTGCTCAACAAAAACTTACAACACAGGTAAACAAACATCATTTTGATAACAAAAAAAAAAGATAATTTTTAATCAATCTAATTCGAAATTATCTTTTATTTATGTTTGTTAAACTTTATGAAAAGATAATCTAAATGTTCTATATGCATATATAATATTATGTTTTATGAAATTAAATTAAATTATGCTTATATAGATGAGTGATATCATTATCATTATTGTTGTGATTGTTATTGCTATTATTGTCATTAGTAGTATTAATATTAATATTAATATTATTATTGTTATGGTTGCTAAGGATCGATTTTCAAACCTATCATTGTGATTATTTCAGATGCGAAAGAGACAAAATTTAGCCCATCAGTTGATAACACTTATTGATCAAAATTCTGATCAAAAATTATCTCTTCAAGAAGTACACAGTTTTGCTATCGCAAATAATAAAGTAAGTAATTAAGTGAATTATTTGATTTCAAATGTTTTATAATATTACTATTAATATTTGAAAAGATCATCATTACTTAATAATTTTGTTATTAACAAAATTTGAGCAATTAATTTGCTTAATTTCATATAATGCCAGAATAGGTATGAGATTGGAATTCTCTTCTACCGTATAACAGTGATATACGATAATCAGGTAATGCCGTGTTAGGAATAATTCAGATAATGTCTCAATCAGTAAATGTACATAAAATTGAATAGAAGTATACCGGTGCTATCTTAACGTGACTCCGTTTACAATTAAATGTAAGTTAAAACAGCAAAACTGAAGCATTCGGTTATGTGTCGGTGATTTTCATTATTATCCGTTCATTTTACTATGAAATATAATTAGTGAAAATTTCAGAAAAACAAAACTGGAATAGTGAAAGAATTCGAATACATCGATTCTAATCAGGACGGCTTTTTAACAATCAATGAAATAATTGAAAAACCGGAAAAAGTGATCGCATTGGTACATTTTCAGGAACCACCACCAGTTATTAACAATTAGGAATGGATTGAATCTAATATTTCTATAGTTTCTGCGACATTATTGCTTGGACTAAATTCCGATATAAAATTAATTTTAGCATAATTATTAATAAAATTTATCGGAATTATATTTTGCTTTATTCTTTTGATAATGATTGCGTATGCTAAACTATACGAAAAAGCTTAGCATAAGCGCAAAAGAAGACAAATCTTACGATCAAATATTTCAAACTTTAAAAATATTTGAAGCTTTGGAATATTTCTTAAATTCTATCAGTAATTAAATTATGGCTAATAATTAGCTATTCATTAATTTTATAGTTATGATTGAAAGTGATGAAAAATGATGTATTTACAAAAAAAAGTGAGCTGCTCAAAATTCTAAAATCAATAAGTTTCAATTTGTGAATATGAAAAGTTTACATGCCGAAAATTAATCATGTGTAATTAACAAGCATTGCATTTAATTATTTAATTATTACCTGAAAAAAGATAAAAGTTTACTTCGTTACCTGTTCTTGCAATATATAATTTTGAATTTGCCAATTATAATCAGTTAATAAATATTGCATCTAATTCATATCACTTCTTAATTTGGTCTTATTATATTGTTTCGGCAAATACAATTTATAAATATAATACTTTTATTATATCAGATGGCAAAGCGGTCAAACAGCGGAAAATGGTCAAAAACGGTCAAGCAGCGGAAAATGGTCAAGAAAAGGTCAAATGATATGCAATTTAAAAAGAAAAGAATATATTGTAAATGAAATGTAATATTTCAACAATGAAAAGTTAACGTAACTTTAACAAAGTATCTAACAAAAGCGAACATTTATTAAATTTTGCTAATACAATCGAAAATTGTCTAAAAGTTAAATTTTAAAGCTTTCATAAAGTAAAGGTATAATAAATTATTTACGGTAAACAAATTAATTGAAACAAAGTAAACAAAATAATTAGCGAACAAAAAGAGAAATAAAAAATCCTAAATAACTTTAACTAAAATTTAGTAAACAGTCAGTTGTTTTTTCACACTATGACAATATTTTTAGTTAATTACACAAAATATTAATTACTATATATTTTAGTTATATCATATTTTCATCAGAAAAACAAATTAAAAAAAAAACAAAAAAAGCAATTAAAACAAATTTGCAAATTAGACAACAATAAACATTTTGAATAAGTTAGCATATTAAATTGTAATATTTTAAATTTCCTTTTTTTCCGAAGGAGAAAATAATTAAATTGAACCTGATATATTCATCAGACAAAGCTTATTTCTTATCAGAATGTTTTTTCACTTTATCTCTTCCACTGGATAAAAAATGGAGTATTACTCAATAATTAAGAATAATATCAATGATATTTATTGCCAAATTGAGTGATTAATTTTCAAACTGTGAAGTTAAGTAATTGTAATCACTGTTTACTATTAAATCGTGATATAGTTGTTATCATTAGTTATCAGAAAAAAGTTCACCTCTACGTAGTTAGAACTGCTCATAGATTGATTTTTTCTTTTTTTAAAGAATAAATATTATTCTTGAATAATTACGAGATTATAAACTTTTGATATCTGATAAACTGATTAGGTATCAAGCAGTGTTATCAATGATAAATACACAACGATTGATTGCAATAACTGCAATCTTCCAGCGAATTATCAGCGGCGTTAGAATAATTATATTAGTAGTAAATAGAAATACTGTCCATTGTATTGGCAGTAATTGTCCATTATATTGGCAGCAATTTAGATTGATCTTTGATGGCTCTCACATTATCAACTTTTACTCTATCGACATGCTTATAATGAAATTAAACACTAAAACACATCTCTTTACATTAAACTCTCATAATCAACTCTCACTCACTGTCTCCTTTTCATCGCTTTCACCTCTTCACTATAAAACATCCCTAAGTTTTATCAGTCTTTATTTTCTCCTCTTTCTCACTTTAATTTATTCTTTCATTTCTTTGTTAATAATTTCATTCCGCACTAATTGTATCATTTAACAACTTCTGTCATTCTGTCATGCTATTTTATCAATCTTTTCAACCATTATTTCAATCCCATCAATTGCTGTTACTCTCAAGTAAACATGCTATTTTCAATACTTCGTCTCCATTAAATTTTGAGTTTTCCTTTAAACTATACCATTTCCCATTCGAACCAGGAATAAACGATGGACACTGGTCAAATTACTAACGGTCATTGATGAAAAACCAAAATCGAAATCTGCAGGTCGAATTTATTCCTATGCCTTTTGGTAATCTCACTTTCTCTTTCCATTTCCTTATCCCTCTTCCTCTTCTCTTCTCTCCCTATTCCCCCTTTTTTCTTTTTCTCCCTATATATACATGACACTTCATCTCTCTCTTTCACCCTTTCACATTTCATTATTTATGTTTATTATTCAACGAATGTGGCGAATATTCGACAAGCGGGGGAGCGAGCGATGGGGCAGAAAAGTGTGCGGTAAAAGTTCATTGGTACTATCCTCGTCCGTCAATTATTCGTCGAAATTACTTGGTGGTATTTATCGGTTGGAAAGTTTAAGAGTGCTTTATGTGGCTTACATCGCTTCTGTTATTGAAATGCACAGCGGTGTTCGCATGGACAACAAATGAACTTTTTATCTACGATTTGATGGAGGAAGTGGGCGAAAGTTTTTACGATTTCTATGGAATTCCGAAAGTAAAACTTTTAGTTCATTCTTTATAATTTAAGTCATTTCTTAACTATCTGTATAACTGTTGACACATTGATTTGGCCGTTTGATCCGATCACTACGAAATATGATAGTTAAGTTCGAAGTCACAAATTGCACTCTATCATATGCTATCATTGCATTTTCTATCATTGCATTCTATCATATGCTTAAGATATTGGCGAGCACCCTTTTATCATATTGGTAATGATCGAAGGCAATCAGATAAGAGACTTTAATTAAAAGTGGAATTTATGATTAGTAAGCGAATATTTTTAATAGTTTATGAAGATGGATGAAGCAGAATGCTAAGGCAGATAACTCAACGCATTGCCGTTTGATACAGTTTACCTTTATTTGTGGAGAACTAAATGTTGTGCGTGATAAGTCGAATTTTTGGATTTTTAATTATCTAGTTTCTTTTTACTAATCAGTGCTAAGTTGTTGAAGCATTCGCTTATTTTGTGTTATTTTGTTTGCGTACTCTTCTATACGATCATTTTTAAGGATGCAGAAATTTCAAATATCAAAAAAGCGTATCGCCGATTGAGTATGGAATGGCATCCGGATCGCAATTCAGATGAAAAAGCAGAAGAGCAATTCAGAAAGGTTTCATTTTGATTTTATTTAGCATATATTTTGTTTCATTTTTCCAATTTTTCAATTGTTTAATTGAAACTAATATTATTTCCTATGGACAAAGAATGTTTTCCTTCTAGATCGCTGCTGTTTACGAAGTTTTGAAATCGAACGATTTAAGGGAGGAGTACGACCGTATTTTAGAAAACGGTCTTCCAAATTGGAGACAACCTGTTTTTTACTACCGGTTGGTTTTTTATATCATTAAATTTTTTCCGACAACTGCTAAAAAGATGTCCTGGATCTAGGACAATATGCATCTTTTTTCGAGTAACTTTTCACAGGCAGTTATATTGCTGTAACTTATCTTGCTTTTGTAATCTGTCCTCTAGTCAAGTTCTGAAGATTACAGCAATAATTAAATAACTAAATGTTCACTAATTGTTCATCTCAATCTGGAACAATGCTTCGATTTTTTCAGGCGTGCTCGAAAGTTATCCTGGTTTGAAGGAGTGGTCGTACTTGCAATAATTTGTTCGATTGGTCACTATTTTATGTTGTGGGGTGCTTACATTGATAAGTACTTGACATTGGTTCGTCTATTTAATTCTTAATTTAAAAATTAAATTCAACAATCCTTTTAAATTGACAATTTTTCACTTTGCATTCACAATTGTTAAACATTAGTGAATATATTATGCCTGTGAATGCGAAAGTAAGTAATCAAGATCAGAAATCAATCATTTCTTGTTCAACACTTTGTTGTGCAATGATTCGAGAAATAGAGAAGGTAGAAATAGAAAAGGTTCAGGTAGAAGTAGTTTCTAATATCCTTTCATTGCGATGTTTACAGTGTAGCTTTACACTTAGTTTCCAAGGATATATTGAATTAGCGATACTTGCATGTAGCATATTTCACATGCTATTTTGCAGTCTTCAAGTCGTAGCAAATTGCGTAAGAAAGAAATTCGACAACTGAGAAAAATTGGAAGTGATGCTGAGACTATATATGAGGCAGAAATTGCTCAAATGCTTTCCGATGTCTGTCCGTCCTGGCGAAATTCCTTACCGGCATTGATTGTGTCACTTCTCTATAATATTGCCGTTTCATTACCAAGTTTTGTCTGTGACTACATTAATATGTGTCAGCCCAAAATGGAAAAGTCTGAAGTTAGCTCATTTTTTCTTTCATAGCTCATTTCTAATCTTCTAAGATTTGAGAATCCTTTTTCGAATAACAGGCTTTTTTCTTGCAATTTTATGTATTCTTTCTTAAAATTTGAGTAGATGTTAGGGAAAATTGGATTTTCTATCCAATAATTTTGGGTTGTCAAGTAGTCCAAAATGATATCAGTTGTTTCAAGAAAGATAACGTCGATGAGGTTTCTCCACGTCGTTATGTTGCAACACGGCAACCTGTTTATGAGTACGCTGTAGCTTCAGATGTAAAACCGGTTCTTTCTTGCGCTTTTAGTGGAGATTCTGCCGAAAAATCTATTTCACAAAATGATAGTAAGTAATACACGAATTGATTTTGGTGTGTTGGCTCAATTTTGAAGTTTTTTGAAAAAGGTCTATAGTGTCATGTAGGATTATATTTTTACTTTCAATTTTCTATTAAATATTTTAGCATTTTATAGCTAGTGATTTCCATCATCCTTAATAAAAAAATAGTATGTTATTTTGAAATTTCAAATTCCTTACGAGATTTTGCATTATGTTTTAAGGTATCCGGAAAATTTTATGCAGCTGTGTAAGGGCTATCACTAAAGCAAATAAATAAATTGAAGCCATTTTTATCGATGTGGACAATACAAGTGCTTATGATGAAGGCTGGAATTCTGTTGGAAGTATCTCTTATAATGATTTTCAGATGTTATACAGAGCAGTGCATGGACTAGTGAGGAATTGGCATTGCTTATCAGGCTGAGTACAGAAAAGTATCCTGCTGGCACACCCAATAGGTTATGATAGATTTTTTCATTGATTCAATGAAATCAATAAGGTACACAGCCTTGATATTCATGTTGAACTTTTTTAGATGGGAATTATTGGCGAGAATGCTGGATCGGTCACCGCAAGACATAACTTTTATGGTCGGTAAATTAAAAGGAATGAAGAGGGTTCGTCGTTAGACTTAGTGTCTAAGTATTTCGAAGTTTAAAATTTTTTTATAAATATTTGTAATGCCTTACTGTTATTGTTCAGGTCAAAGAATTAACTCAGAGATGTTCAAATACTTTCACTATGTGTTTTTGGAATGCTTCTGTAGTTTTTTGTCCTTCACTGCAATCATCCGTTATACTTCTTGTGTGGACCTGTGCTAGTTCTAGTGATAGTTTTTATAGGATGAGTATGCAAACTTGTTACGTAGCTCGCAGTCAAGTACTGTCGTGCAGAAGGCTGCACAAATAACATTGCTGAAGCAATCAAACCAACTTTCTGATGAAAAATCAGATAATTGGAATATTTCAAGCGAAGATAGCGACACTGAAAAAGGGAAGATCTCAGTGACATGGTCGAACTATGATCAAAGGTTGTTTGAAACAGCGCTTCAAGAGTTCCCTAAAGGCACTGCCGATCGGTAAGATCTTTTTGATCATAACATTAGCTATTCGTAATCAACAAATATTATTAGATATTTATAGGTAATGCAAAGAAATAGAGGTGTTGTTTTATTAACGTTTGTCCAATTACTCCTATTAAATGTTTGACTCTTTCTAATCACTCTCATCATTATTTTACATGAGTTGTTAAAGTTGCTGAATTATTTGCTACAGTGGCTATCTTTTTAATGACATGAGTGTCTTATTGTGTAGCCTTTGGAAAAATGTCTTAAACCCATTTTGTTTATATTATGCTGTTCATAATATCACGGTAGTTCTATATTCTGTCCACATAATTTTGAAAGTATTGCGCCTCTTTTGCTTTCTAAGATGTAAGCGAAGTTATTTCTTTTCCTTACGTTTTGTTCCTCCATCCCTATAAACATTAATTAATGTTCAACTGAGTTGATTTCAGACTTTTATCATCATTGTTTTTAGATGGGATAAAATTGCTAACTGTGTATCGAGTAAAACTAAGCAGCAGTGTATCGAGCGATTCAGATATTTGTCGGAATTGGTTCGACAAAGGAAATTACTTCAGAAAAACAAGAAGTTAGCTTTTCATAATTTTCAAAGAACTTTCGAAATTTCAGATTGCAAATTTTAATCCTAATGAAAGTACTTCTATATGAGTAAGGAAATTTTGTCATCTATTAGATCATACTGAGTTATATCGAGTCATAAAACACGAAATTCACCGGAATAATATTCTTTTAAAAGTCGTTTACTCTCTTGTGATTTTGTTTTACAATCCCAATCACTGAAGATAGGCAAAAGATATGGAAACTTCAAATATTTGGCAGATTCATAGTGCGATTAAATAAGCCGTTGAACATAGTGAATGAAAGTAAGAAAGTAGAGCGAAGAAAATAATTATGCTCATTTTAAATATTTTTATTTATCATTTTAATAATTGCAGGAAGTAGCAGTGCTAATTTTTGTGCAGTAAATGCTCTTTTTTGATTGTGTGAAGTACTATGTGTCTAAAATCTCAGCTATAGATTATATTTGATCCATTGATTTTGCACGCATGCCAAAAAGAATGACTTTATTTATCAGTCTAAATCTGTGTCAGTTGAAAAACATGCCTGTGCTGTATATGTCAAGGGAATTGTAATAAATTTAAACAGCTTTGTTTGTACTTGGTAAAAAGTCGAATTAAAAGTAGGAGTCATAATGATTATATTGGTCTTTGCTTTATAGCGGTAATAATTATAGAAACTTAGTGAACGTTATCAAAACGCTGTGATTTTCTTGAATTAGTCAATCCTCCATGAGCTTGTCTCAAAACAGGAATTCGTTAGCATTTGTTTTTCCTCAAGAACAACCATTCTAAATTTGGATCACCAAATCTGAATTGTTAGGTAAAGGGCTTTCAGAAATCCTGCAAGATTTCGCTTGTAATATTTTGTAATATATATTATAGAAACTCTGTAATATTTTGTCAAATAGCATTGATGTCGTAAAAATAATGTTTTCAGGATAAAGAAGTTTTCGTTTTTATTGACTTTGGTGGCGAATTATATTTAAACATTTTTATTGCTGCATTTTTAAATTTGTATATCGAATTGCATTTTAATAAAATATATGCATTGCCACTTCCAACTAATTAAGCCGAACCAAAGTTTTTTATGAATTTATCTTAGTAAAATTGTAATGTTTATCCTAGTTTGATTCAAATTAAGCTAAATTTTTAAGTTTCGCTTTTTAGATCGATTGATTCTTTGGACTCTTTGATTGATCAGTTGTTACTGTTCCATTGGTTGTGCTAAAACTGATGGCATTTATGCATAAAAATGCAACTTAAAGCCATATTTGAAACTTCAAAATTTGCCATTATTTTCCATATTTAAAAATCAAACTTGCTGGAAACGAAGGGAGATTGATTTCGTTCGCTGATAAGCAAGTTCACCGTGAACGGTAGCTCTAAACCATCAAACTGTAATTACAAAATTGAGGATAGTAAGAGCGATAGAGTTGTTTATTGTATGACAAATGAATTCTAGTCTTTTCAGGTTTGGAATTTTACAGTGTTTGGAAAAAATATTCGGGTTCTGTAGATCCTCAAAGAATTATATAAAAGCTTTCAACAATTAAGAAGAGTGTGCTGTTAGACTAGTGGAAAGTTAAGTTGGACTACGTCACTCGTAATAACCCGAATTTTCTGTGAAACTTCAAAACAGAACTGAATAATTACCATATCCGCCTTAAATTCTTTGTATTCGTCTTCAGGAAGCGTACACTTCTCTTGTTTCACCTCTCGCAATTTCTGTTTAAGATTCTCTAAGATAAGATTGGAATTCTGAAAATCGAGTTCACGCAACCGCATAGCTAAATTTGTTGATCGAACAGTGATGAAATTTGATGTTACCGTTTCTTATTGTAATGAAATGTTGGAGTTAAATTTGTGATGCATCAAATCTTGATAAAATATAGAACAGGATATCGAAATTTGAATGGAAATAGTTTAATTTACATTCTGCTTTTCACAAATCTTTTAATAGCCTTTTTAGTAAGAGTAAATCTCAACAGATTTACTATCCTAAAAGATAATGCAATATTGCGTAATACAGTGATATCTGATAATGGGAGAGGATGAATGAATTTTGTAAAGATCATTTTGCGATCGTTTATAATTACAACTTAAAATTCAAATTAAATAGAAATAAGATTTCAAAGTACTTCGAACTGGTTTCACAAAATGGAATTGAAATAAAAGAATAACTTATATGTTTTTTGCATGATATGGCTTTTCTTAGATTTCATTATACATTAAAAACCAAATAATTAATTAATTATTGCTCTTGCCGATACCCTTTTAAATACTTTCTTCATGTCTTATATTAACTCAATTTTACTTTTTTTATTTTCTATGCATCAGGCACAAAAAACAAAGATAAAGATGAACAAAAAGCGATGACAATAAAAGGACTAATATTAACTAACTAATGTTAACTATATAGATCAGTTTAAGTAGTACCTTACAGGTATTTAAATAACTCAAGTTAAAATATGAAAAAATGATAGCAATAAAAATACTATTCCAATAAATAATACAAATGGTATTGTCATATATTGATTGCATCACAATAACATCACATATAGTTTAAAAATATTTTCTATTATTTCATAAAACACATTTGAATTCTTATATTGCTTTCAAAATTTAAATTACCCTAATTCATACATTTGAATTTTTGCCAAATTCTAATGAAGTTAATATCAGATTAATTTCCTGATTTTATTTGAAAAATTTCTCTATTTCTTTCACTCACTCATAAAACTGAATTATTTTTTTGAGGTGTTTTTCTCACCTTTTCTACGGAATTTATAGAAGAGAGAGAGAGAGAGAAAGAAAGCAGAGAGAGAGAAAGGGATTTGTTTAGGTGTAAACAGTTCCTTACGATATTAAGTATGAATTAAACATGATTAGACAATAGAAACGTATGAATTAATAAGTTATTAAGTTCATGAGATATAGAACTTCTTGTACAACATGTAAATTTTATTTTTTAAAAAAGTTGATTGGAAAGTTTAGCTCAAATTTAAATTAAGCATTTTCTCGATACAATATTTAGCAATAGATGATCCACTGTACCAAATAATTTGCAAGGGACTTTTCTTTAAAAAAGGAAATTTCTTGTTAGAGAAGGTGTCAGCATGATTTGTACATAGAAGCAATGGCATATTTATAAGATGAGGCACATATAGATCAAATAATAATAATATCATCTAATCTTTCTAGGAAGAAATTTTGAAAAAAAAAATGTTGAAAATTTATCAACTGATGATTCAGCAATGATTATCACTTTCAAATCGTTCATTTCATCAGTTGGAAATTTGAAATCTAACATTCTTTTCAAAAATATATTCTGGCAAGAATTAGTTAATTGAGCAAACAAAAAAGATATTGCAGAAGAAAATAAACAATAGAACTGTTTACTTATTTATACTCGAACACCATGTCGTTCCTCAGAGTACATGTGCGGTTGCGCAAATCGAACATGACTATCCGCATACATATCCGTATTTTTGGTATTTGTATTGTAAGTTGCTTGTTCGGTTGGTGGCCTGTTACGTTTGAAGAAACCACACTGAAAAAAATTTTGATTGAAATTTAAATTTTTAAATCGAATTTGAAGAAAGGATAAATTAAGATTTTCAATGTTTTTAAGTAATCATTTGAGCATATTATTTTATATTTTCAATTAAGCATAAATAAAAGATTAATTTCATATGCTTTTCTATTACGTTACTTTATTCATTTTCTAAAGTCTAACGCATATTAAATGTTAACTTCAGCTGGTAATAAGAAGACTTGGCAAAATGCGCCAAAAAAGTGTAAAATCGATAATCAATGAAATTTTTGAAAATGTTACAAACTTTAGTTTAGGCTTATTTCAAAATTTTTTTTTCAAATTAATAAATATTAAATAAATAAATAATCCTACTATTAACGTAAATTGTTTTGTTACTTTTTTTAAAAAGAAATTTCGATATTTAAGAATGCTAAAATAATGTATTACCCTCCAAAGACATAAGATGAGAAGTGCTAAGATGACCAATCCAATAAGGATAGCAATAAGATATAGCCACCATGGTACACCACGATGAGTTTGTTCTGGATCTGTCGGATTTACATCTGTCGTTATCTGAGAACAAAAAAAAAATTTATTACATAAAAAATTAATTTAATTTAATTTCTCTCTTGTTTTACAGCTTTTGGCTAAAAGGGTGAAAAAAAAGAATGAAAGTATCGTATTGATTTGTCAAAATTGATTTAAAATTATTCCATTTAGATAATATTTCTTGCCGATACTATGATTCACTATCATCTGTTTATTTTTTTTAAAATCTATAAAATACCGCGACAAGTTGTGCCGGTGGATCATAGCGTGGCACATTTGGTAATGATGATATTTTAGCAATGCCAACAGAAGAAATATCCGCTTCAAAAATATTATTATCGATTAGAGTATTCACAGCTAACCGAGCGTAAATTTCCACAAGAACAAATTCATCCTCATTAAGCCGTCGAATATCACATTCAATATGTGTGCAATTATCTCTGTTGCAACTCTGAGAAATTATATTATCTGCATGAAAATATGAATTTAAAAATTTTGAAAATCAATCAAAATATTTTAAAGAAAAGTTTATGGAAAAATAAGGATATCATTGATTTTTAATTTGTATTATAAAGAATTCATTCTTTAATCTTTCATTTGTGTTTTCTTCTTTTTATCAATTTAATTTACATTAATTAAATTAACTTTATCTTCCGTTAGTATTTGATTTTTAATTTTGACAACGAAAAACTAACAATGTTCGCCCTACTAAGAGGTCCTCTATATTCGATAGCTTTTCCAGCCGCTTTAGCCATTCTAACAGCTTGTTTCAGATTATCTTTCACTTGAATAACTCGAGTTCTGCGTTGATCGGTGATCTTTTGCTTATGAGATCGTTTGATTTTTTGACTACGAATCATATGCTCTGCATGAATTTGCATTCGACGTCGTCGTAACCTGTAATCATCGTACATCTCTCGAATGTGCTCCTCACGTTCATACTTCTGTCCGGGTGTCTGATCATCGTAGATTATGGCTGATGGCGTTGGAATGTGTTCGTTGGAGATCTAAAAATATGAGCTTAACTTTATGCAAAAAAAGAAATTTCGTTTGCAAACATCGGTGCGGTGATTATTGATTTGTGTGGATTATATGTGAAAATGGTTCCCATCAGGAGTTAAACCGTAAATTAGCAAGTATTGCAGCTGTCAAATGACAAGTGTGAAGCATGAAGTTAACCAAATTTAATGCATATTTCTAAATGTGAAGCTAAGGAGTAATTAAACTTCTGCTCAATTTGGTTACTTATAAGCTAGAAGTAATAAGGGAAAAAGATCTAATGAATTGTTTAAGTATAAGCTCAAAAACCTTATCATTAGGACTTCAGATCATCAAAACTGTGTGAAACTTTAGACATTAAGTTCAAAAACTTGCGAAAAAATTATCACCGTTAAACTCTCTGGATTGATATTTTGTGCTTGTTTCACGCGGCACTTTACTTTATCGGGATCATTAACTTGTGGCTCATCAATTAAATACAACAAATGTTTCCCATTTTCAGAAAAACTTGGCCAAATTATGTCTAACGACGCACCACTGATCGCACTTGGACCGCGATTTATAACCTAAAATTCTTTTCCGAATGCTACGGAACTGTTCTAAACTTTTGATAATGGAAAAAAACTTTCATGGATTTTTTTTGGAATAAATTATTTACGCTAAATTAAAATTAAATAAAAATTAAAACAGATTCCGAATAAATTATCTACCTGATATAAATGGCTGACAACAGGACCAATTTCGGAATCAAAAATTGGATCACTAGGAGTTCGATTCCGAATGGAGTAATCTAATTGTTCCGGTGTTGATCGGCCAACTAATGAAAGTTGTGCTTTAATTTCGACTGGAACTCGTACAGTCAAATTATTATCATCATCACGGCCCAAAGCTTCTTCATTAGTACTAAAAGAATAATAACGCTACAGTGCTAATCAACAGGTATTCTATTTACCAAACTATGCTGACCAGATATAATTGACTCTTAATAGTTCACAAAATTTATAAATCATTCAAATAATTATTGCTCAATTACTTAAAGTCTTATTGCCAAGCGCTATCATTAGTTGCATCCTTTAATATTTAATGAAATTTAAAGAGTATTAAATCGTGAAACTTATTAAATTAGTAAAATGCTTTAAAATATTTTCACCACTAATTCAAACTATCCGTCGAAATTTTCATTCGATCTTCAAACTGATTAGAATGAAAGAAAAAAAAATCATAAAATAAATGATCAGATAGGTATATTATTTATTACCTATTGACAGACATTTTAATTTCCACAGCTTCATTCGTAGCATCCACTTTAGTACCGGTTAAACGGAATCCAAATTTAGCTTCACTATTACCTGCTAATGGATTACCAATATCACAAACAAATACATATTCCTCATTTTTTCCGGCTTTATTTTGCGGTGAACAACTAAGAGGTTGCTGAAAAGTAAGAAAGATATGAAAAATTTTTTTCATTTTATATACTTTTATCATTTTTATGATATCATTCATATCTATAAGGTGCAAAAAAATGTTCAAAAATTAGTTACAGCTTTGCAAAAATGAACCGATTGATTATATCATTTGAATTACCGATCCAAGAGAGGCATCGCTTTGATAGTAATGGTTGATATGTTAGATCTGTTTATCTCTTTGATCGTTATATTTAGATCAAATGATCTGATCCTTATCAAATGTTTGTGCAAACCTGTGTAGCATAATTCTCCACACCACCATATTCGAAGCCTGGTGGTATTGTGATGAAAAATTGCGATTCGTATGAATCCTCGCCGTGATTTGCGACCGTCACATTAACAATTAACGACTGATCAGCTGAGCCAATGGTGAATTTCTCTTTGTCCCTTAAATTTCATTAATAATTAAGTTTGTAAGTATAGACATATAAATTTGGTGTTTTTTTGTCTTCAAAAGTCTTAAATTAAGTGAAAAATTCATTAAACGAAAAATCAGACCGTAATAAAATATTGAATGATTATCAGTTATCATATTTCTACTGATCACAGCTTTTGTTAAATAGTCTAACAGCTGTCAGCGATGCAAGAAAAAAAGTTTAATTCACCATTTTTTAGAAATTAATTCTTATCTTCTGACAATCAAAATCATTAACAGAAGAATGAGTTACATTATTGCTTTAGTAAATTTTATAGTGAATTGAAGATTGAGAATTTGATAACTTACGAAACAGCATGTAGTTGTAAATCCGGAATGCACTTTTCATCTGGACCGCAATTTTTATCTATCGGAAACTAGAAATTACTATATTATTGATTTAAAATATTAAGTCAATATTTTACTTAATTCCAAAAAATTAAATCAACGTTTTGTTTTCAAAAAAAAAATAGACATATAAATTTCGCTATAATTATTTCTTGATTTAATTAATTTGATATCTTACTTCAACTTGATATGATAACGGTACAGTAGTATCTAGTGCAGGTTCTAAATAACCTGACGTTGATATACCGGATGTACGCTCTTCATAACTGTAATTCGCCATGACATGTATCGGACTTAATTTATCACGTATTGTATCCTGTAAGTAAGTTTTATGAAATATCTGGAAATTATGATAATTTTAACTACTTCTTTGTGGTACTTCGATTCAGTCGCAAATTTTAGATAATATTTCACAATGAAGTCTTATAATCTAATATTTAATTTCGAAATCTAAAATTTTAATTTCTTAAATTCAAAAATAACTTACAGAGACATAAAAATCGTAGGTTTCACAATGCTCATGTCCTTTTCGTAAATGCATCGTTTGTTCGATGATATCCGGCTGATCACGTGATGCTGCTTTTTTGTGAACTTTCGTATTTCGTTTATTGTTCTGAATATGAATAGTGTGATAAGTTAAAACATGATTAGGGAAGAGTAGTGTGATACGTTGAAACAGGATTAGAGAAGAGTAAAGAGAAGAGAAGAAGAAAAAGAAGTAATAAGTTGAAAGAGGGTTAGAGAACTTGAACTGATTAAAACTTTGCAAATTTTTAGGATATTTTCTGAAAAAAAATTTGAAATTCATTTGTTTAATGCATCGAACACTAATTACCACAGTGAATAGTTAATAAACTTCGAATGTTAACAAAAGAATAAACAAAAATAAAAGTGCCAATTAATTGTAATTCAAAATTTGTCAATTCCATTACTAAAGTTATTGAAATTTAAATGTTAAGTATGTTTGATAAAATAAGCCAATTCTTTTTATCCATAAAAAAAGGGAAAATATCTTCCCAATGTACTTCTACTTCTACTTGTTGTATAATTAAAAATATGTATAAGCCTCTTATGATGACAGTTTTTTAAAAAGCCAAAAGTTTTCTTGTATTTCGCATATGTTTCTTAATAGTTGTACTTGGCTATTTAATGATTAGTCCTAATCTTCGCTAACACTGCATAAATGCGCCGCGTAAGCCAAGATTTTATAACCTATAAATTCTCTTTCATCTTAGCAGGAATTCTACGTCGAATTATCATTTACAAAACTTACCAAATCTCGTAGTCTAAAAAATGCTCGCGGTGTGATGGTTTTCTTGGAATCAAGTTGGAAGAGAAGTTTTAGGTCGATATCCGATGGCGACTGACCTTTGCCCTCATACTTCATACAAAGCTTCATATGTTCACTAAAATTACGCATAGATAATGCTTCACATTTGAAAAATTTAATTTAAAATTAAAAATTTAAAATACCGCCGAAACTTATATGTGAACATATATGTTAAAATATGATAAATTATTTATATCAAAAAGGGTTTAAAAAAAAGGGAGTTTCTTAATAAAGTTTAATTCACTAATTAGACTATTCAACATTTCAAAAAAGTTCGCACCAAGCCATCATTCCAAATTCGGTTGAGCAAGTTTTATCCTCCAAATTAATTGAATTCTTAGATGTCGTTAGTGAACCGGTTACTGTAACCACCGGTTTCGTTCTAAATACCACCGCATGGGAACTTTGATAAGCACCAACCGCAATATCTAAATAAAATTTATATCAATCAATTTGATCAGATAAAATTATCACAATTTCAAATTCAATTCAAACAAATGGCGGGAAAATTCAAGAATCTCTAACCTGGATATTGATTTTTATCAATATCTTTGCCACCAGCAAGCGAGAATCCAAATGCTTTTAAATCAGCACTTATTTTTTGTGCTTCAATTTTCTGCGTTGGTTCTTTTCGTACACCATTTTTAGCTCCATGATACACGTATACGGCACCTCGACGATCATCACCATCATATGGTGCACCAACGATGAAATCTGTAAATAAATGTAGAAAGTGTATTATTAAAATGGGAGAAATGTAATTTATAAAAATGAAAATGAAAGTCAAAAAAAGAAGTGAAATAATATAAATAATTAATTAAATGTGTAAAGAACAAAAGAAATGAACTTAAAGGTAAACAAAATTAAATTTCATATTTTCAAGCAAAAAATGCTTCAATCTTTTTTTGAATTAAAATTTCAAAGTTACCGTTATAACCATCCTGATTTAAGTCACCAGTAGCTGCGATTGAATAACCAAAACGTGACCATTCAGTATGTCCCAATAATGATTCCCATTTGGGAAAATCATGCTATAAATATTTTATTCTATTTAAACTTGAAATGAGATTTCAGGAAACATCATTTTCCCAAAGTTTCTTTCCAATAATAATACATCTCAAATGTACTCACATAGATATAAATAATTGTACAAGAAATCAACATTTTTCATGAAAAATATCTGAAGAAATTTTTTTATCAAAAATATTTGATTTCTTTGCAATCGTATATTTCTGAATGATTCATCCGGAATAACGGAAATTTAAAATTTACAAAAACTTGTAAATAAACTAACATCCGGTCCTTGGAAGAAAACCATAACTTTGCCAACATCATAACGAGGCTTATGTTCCTGAGTTTTCACATCCATTACTGTCTTGTAATCAGTATAAAATGGCGATCCTACTATGATATCATCGTAACTGCAAGATAGAATTTCAATTAAATGCTTGTTTTAATTAAACCAATCAAACTAACAGTAACTAATTAAATTTTTCTTTCAAATAGTTCCTTTAATAGATCAAATCTTCACTGAGAACATAAACTAATCTGACATAATCTAAAAATATACTAACCCATCGTTATTCAAATCAGTAACTGCCACAGAAGCACCAAAGAATTGCCCTCTCTGCCCATTTTTATCAGTTAGATTCTTCAGTGATATTAGTTTGTGATTGAAAATGTAAACCTAAAAACTAAATTTTGAAATTTCAATTAAATTACAAAAAATAAAATATAAGAGGAAATTGCGGAAGTGCAAGAAATCTCTAAGTGCAAGGTTATTTTCAGATTGATCAAAAGATCAGAATGGATTTCTATTTTGCTTTTAAAATTTCGGACAATATTTCTAAAAAGAGTTATTTTTATTTCAGTAAATGAATGATTAAACTTTCAACAAAGTAACTTACAGCACCAATAAGATCATTACCCCGTGGTACTCCAGAAACCACATCATCTAAACCATCACCATCAAAATCACCTGTAGCCAATGAGTAACCTATAATTAAGATACTATTTAATAATTGAATTAATTAGTTCTTAGCTATTTCGAATATTTTTAATTAACTATTTTGAAAATGAAATTTATTTCATTTTTGACAAAAATGATGACAACAGTTAAATTAAATGAAAATTAAAATTTAAGTTGGTATTTTCAACTCACCAAGATTATAGTTATCATGATCTGCTGGGCCATCATGCGTATTTGGTCGATCAAGTTTATTGCGCACACTTTGTGCAAAGATTGTACCTTGCCAGTAATATGCACCAGGAGCACCAATGTACAACAGCTCAGTACCATTACCGGGAACTGTTGCGCTAAAGCCACACATTCCGTATCCGAAACGATGATGACCATGACGAGCAGCTAAAATTTAAAGTGATTTAGAATCTGATTATGCTAGAAGTAAAATTAAGATCTAAAATTGGAAAGTTGTAAAAAGCGTACGTTCTTGTCGACATGAAGCAAATTCTTCAATATTTTCAAAACCATTTGTTGCATAGAAACATGTACCAACAGGTTCAATAACTTCAAATTTCGAGAAGAAATATTTGTAATGAGGAGCACAGACCTATCAAATCAGTAAAACAATCCGTTATCAGTTAATCATTTAATTATCAATTGATAGTTTTTGAGAAGGATAAACATTATGTTCAATCACTAATTTAATAACTATTAAGCGATCAATGGGAGAAGCAAAAATAAAATGTTAACAAAAAATTAATATGAAAAGTGTATAAAGTTATACTAACCAAGACAGAATCGCCTCTCTTGGAGACTCTAACGGTGGCACCAAGCATCTGATCCGATTTTTCTTCAATCTGTAACATACGAGATCCATTGAGTCGTTTTTCGTTACCTGCAATGATATGATTTAATCAATTTAAAAAGTTTATTGAAAATATAACACTTCAAATAGATCAGGAAGATGAGCAACAGTTTATAATTGGCTGTAAATTAGACATTCATTCATTAGTAGGTGCATCGAATACTTTCTTTTCACATTTTTAATTATGAGATTTAAACATTTAATTCAGATCATTAAAAAAAAAGTGTTTTACTTTTGAATTTAAAATTTCGGTATCTTTTTTAAATGGACACTTTTTATGATTTCATTTTTTTTTGTTCTGCATCATTTCCGTTCCGGAATTCCGTTATATTCGATATTTTCATCATAATCAGTTCTGTTCTTTTTCACCCTCATTTTTACTTCACCGTATCATCACTAATTCTGAAGAATGATATGTGTGGATGTAATAGAAAAAAGACATATAGAACTGGATAGAAATGTACGACAATTTTATATAAGTTTTTCTGAATTCAATTGAATAAGAGGAGGGGTAAAGAGAAAGATGTCTCATTCAGGTTAGACTGTTTTATTTATTTTCAGGAAGGGTATCTGCAAAGGATTATCAAAAAAGAATAGTAATAGTAAATGTTAACTTTATAAGGTAAGTACAAATCAATGATATCATTCTGAGCAGAAAACTTTCGTGTTAAATCTAAATTATTTGCTAAATCGAATTAAAATTTCCAAAGGCAACTAAGAATATTTCAACCGAAATTATTATTAAATGAAATAATTTCGAATTTGTTAAATCAATTCTTTCATAATATATCTATCAGTTAGTTGACAAATCGATGTCTCCATGTTCATATTTTACTGAGACTATTAATGGCAAGCGCATAATATAATAATGCACTTATTCTTATGGATTATATATTTCTTAAAAGTGCTTGCTATGATTGCATCCATTATCTTCAGGCTAAATATATCAATAATATTCGATAGTGCCAGCTGATGAGATCAGTAAGTTAAAATGGAATAGTGTAAGAGAAGCGGAGTTGATAAAAAGAATTCATGGGAAAATGACAGAATATATGAAAAAGAAGTAATTAAATCTGAAATCGATAATAAAAGTAAAAAATAAAAACGAGATTTAAAAGAGCTAAATGAACATTTAGCTAAGTATGCGTTTTATACAATCACGAAGCGCATATGTCTCAATCAATGTGTGTATACAAACACATCTTTTTGATTTCCCAAGAGAATATTTGGGAGGGGAGAGCGGGAAGAAATCTTATAAGAGAATCAATCTTATCAATAATAGACCGACAGATTCATTAAGACATGTTAAGTCAGGAAGGCGCGGGAATTTTTTTTGCTCATATTCATAACTCCACAGATGATTGAAATAAGATTGCTTATCAGGGAGGAGAAAATATGTAATGAAGCTGGAAAACGAAAGGTGGGAGAGCGGGGAGTAAGCAGGTAATCGGTGACTACGTCGATAGGGGTCAAAGAGTTAAGTTTACAGAATAACGATAAATAAAATTCTAACAATGAAAAAGTAAGACTAAATTAGAAGATAATATCTTCTAATTTCTATTATTGTTCTGTAGGAATTCCATTTTTCATCAAAATTTGAAAAGTTATTATTACCTTTTCGATCGAGGAAAATTTCAGAGCAGAGAGACTTTTCCACGGAACATCGAAATACGGCACCACTGTTTTTGACACCCGGCTGTTTGGCACCACTGTTTGCTTTTGGTGAACCAACAAGTAAACTGCAACTTTTCTATCAGTGATTGAAAGCATAGATACTGAATTACTTTGAGGAATAATAAAATTCTGACTCATTTAGATTAAAATTCATTTATTCCTTTTAGGATTTTGAATTTCGATCAATTTGGTAGAAAAAAATTGACAAATTTTCATATTGAAAGCAGCTTGTTTCCAAACTCTTTTATTGTTTAGGGTATATAATTAAGTAAATTTTATGATATTAATTTGATTTAAAAACTGAATTAATAATAACTTCGATTTCCTGACTGTCATCGGAATTGACATCAGTTAGGAATGAACAAAGCTACATCCGTTTTTTGACAAGAAATAATAAAATGGCAAGAAAATTGTTCAATTATAAAAATTTCGAGAAAATTAATCTTTTGCTTACAATATTTCCTATTATTGCTAAATGTAATCAAATGATAAACAAAGATCTCAAAACAACTGATAATGAAAATTTCTCAATTATCTTCTATTTTAACTAAATTTTCACTTAAGATGAACAATAAGCTATAGGACGCTTATTTATTTGAAATACTGAAAATCTTCCGGTTTTTTATTATCTAACTCATTTCACATATCATTTTTACTTCTTCTCGAAAAACCGGCACATACCGTAAGTAAAAACGGTTCCTACAATATATTTTCATTTTATATTTGCTAATATGATTAATCAAATGTGCCAAATGATTGTTTGATATGAGTAGATCTTTTGTCATTACTCACTTCCATAATTTTGAAGATACTTAAGAATTTTGATTTTAAAAAAAGTACCAAAAAATGAGTGCTAAGTAAATATTAATTGTATTATTTAGCAATACTTATAAAATAAACAGAAAAAAACTGGAAAAGTGAAGAGTAAATGAAAAATAAACAATTTGAATGGATCGAATTTAAAAATATTAATTATACCTTTCATTACCTTTAATTCGATCCTTTAACTTAACTTTTGTTTTTCTTTTCTGTAAATTCTACTCATAAATTAAACTTTGCAAACTTTGTATTAATAATCAATATCTTCAATATGAGATATATCATTTCAAAAGTAATGTCAAACTTTAATTTTGAAAATTTTTTTATTATCAAACATTTCAATCGAACAACTAATTGACAAACAATTTTTCCCTTTCTTTTTTTTCGTAAAAATAAAAGTGACATAAATTCGATTATAAATTAACGAATCTTAATCATTTAATTAATTAATTACTTAATTTGTTTTTCTATTTGCATAAATCTTTCTTCTTCAACAGTTGATGTAAACGACCCTAATTTACTTATAAGAATTACCTGATTCCTTGTCTACTTTCTTATCAACAAAACTTATTCATTTATCAAATCCACTTCAATCCAATAAATTAATACATACTGTGATCATAAATACTTTTTAATCATCAAATACACAATTTCATTGAGTAGGAAATTGTCAAGTAAATCTACTTCTTTCTATATTATTTTAAAATTAACACAACTTCTTTGTTCACTTCTTTTTTTAAAAAATCATTTAATTTGGAATGAAAGTAATTAACAATGAAATGTAAATATGTGATCAAAATTTAACATTTTAAAAAATAGGAATATTTACAGTGTCATTCCTTCATGTTGATAAAAATCAATTGAATAACCAAACATAGAATTAGCGCCACTACGATGAATTACCGGATGTCTTACATCGATATTGAATGAAACGGTAATTGTTATTAGATTTATCAGATAAATTAGATTAAGAAATAATCCAAAAGGTAGCGCATGAAGCGTAAGATTGAACATAATGGCTTTTACCTGAAATTAATCATTCCAATTGGATTTTCATTTGGAAAGAAAAAAGTTAAATGAAATGATATACTGAAATATACTCATAAATCAACGTTCATTATTCAAACAAATTATTCAATTTTATGGTTATAATGTATCTCAGCTAGCATATATCATTTGCATAAAATGAGTCATTTCTAAACGGGAAAATCCATTTTGTTCCGGTTTAGCATGAAATCTTCCCATTGTTCCGGTTACCACATCTGCATCATTAGTAGCAGCAACAATTGCAACAATCTTACAGAGAGGAAAAGAAGTGCGAGAGAATGTGATATGACATTGAGAATGATGTTTGAATTTGTTTATAAAATGATACACTGTGATATTTCAAATTTATTACAACAAATCAATATTTAACGATTGCGAAATTCTTCCGAGAAAATTTTCATACTCGAAATTTACTTTAAAAATGTGATAATTATAGGAATTCATTCATAGTAACCAAATGAAACTGATACCAACAAACGTACGAAAAGCATTGAATATTTTTATTGAATTGCTATATAAGCGATATTGAAATTAAAGATTATCTATCGGTAGGCTTCCCATTTGTTATTCATCCAAAAAATGGAAATGTATGATTCATGTTTGTTTATTTGCTACATTCTGTTAGATTCTACCGATTAAATACTCTCTTGAAATCATTAAAGATGGATAAGAACTTTTTCAGTACAACAGGTATGTTAGGTGAATTCAGGTTCCTATTAAAATCCTACAATGAATTATTCAAAAAGTTTTTTGAATTACATTACACAATTTGAATTACGAAACGTTTATGCATTAATTAATTCTATTTAATTATAATAATTTTGTGATAAATATCTTAGAGTAAAATGAAGGAGGAAAATGAAATACATATTTTCACTAAATATTTGATCATATTTCATATCAACCAAAAAATTCTGAAGAATACAATATTCTGAAGATATTATCTATTCTAAATGATTAATTGATAATTTCAATTACTTACAGTTAAATTATCACCAATGCACTTATACGGCCCAATCAAAAGAGAAATAATCTTTTTAAAAATCAAATTAATTTATTCAAAAAAAAGAAATTCATTCCGAATTTAAACGAACACTTAAATAAATACCAAACATTAAGCAACTGGCAATAATAAAACAAGCAAAAATGAAATAATAATACAAGAAATGATTCATAATGGAAAAATAACCGTAATAAAATGTTATAAAAAAGAATTTTAATGTTCAGGTCTTCCATTCCATCCCTTCCGGTTTTATTTCCGTTCAAAATTTTTCCTGTTTGTTTGTTTCTTTTTTTAAATAAGCATTAAATGCATTTTTTAAAAAAAGAAATATAAAGAAGGAAGGGTATGCGACGGAAACACTCTTTCAACTATATCTCTTCCTTCTCTCTTTACCACTCCCTTCTAACTAACAACGATCGATCTCTCTCAGTGCACTCTTTCATCTGCACTTCATTTATTGCAACAAAAAAATACCATCAAATATTTGAATTTAATTTTTAAAATTTATGGAATATTCTGGAAGTGAAAAATGATCGTATCACTGATTTGATATAATTATAAAAGGCAAATTATATCACTGATTAATAATTAATTATACTGTGAAATTATAATTTTTTTTTTGCTATTATTTTTATTTAAAGTTATTGCGAACTTTTGATTATTAGAGATGAAATGATTGAAGGAGAGAAGGAGAGAGAAAAGAGAGAAAAGATATATTTTAAGTTATTAAGTTTTATTTAATCGTTTTGAAATATCATTTAAAGCTTCCATTCATTTTTAGCATAATTTAGATGAACGATAGATGCCAGCCATCATTTTATTCATTGTTCATTGAGATATTTATACATACTTATACCTAATTTATTTTTACTTCCTGCACTTTACCTATACTTTTAATGGACGATGGATTACTAATAGAAAATTGGGTAGTTAAAGATGAAAAGATGCGTTGAAGTGCTGGCAGAATGTAACACTTTTTTTTTACTACTTTTTACTAAGTAGCAATAAAATTTTACAGAAATTTTATTTTCAATGATATTTTGTGGTGGAAAAATTGTAATTAATTAACAGAAAAAACAATAGAGTGGAAGAATAGGAAGAGAGAAAGAGTGAACAATTAAAAGTGTCAAAAATTAGAATACAACAATGAAAATCTCGAATTCAAAAAGATTTATGTGACATTTAAAAGTTTCGAACTATTATTTCTAAGTTTCTTTTTTTGTATAATTAATCATCGAATTTATTATAGAAAAGTTCAATTTTGTTTTACGTGAAGAAAATAAGAATGCAAAAGTTTTTCAAATGTTTTTAATAATTACAAAAAAATATGAAACTAAATTTAATATGAATAGGAACAAATTAAAGAGAAAAAGAAACTAATTAATTAATTTGAAAATAATTTGATAATTGATTGAATAATTATTTGATTAATCATAGCCATATGGAATAAAAGAGAAAGTTAAAATTTGTATAGATGGTTGGAAAATCAACATCGATCCATCACGTTCAACTCTTCTTCATTCTAATCGAACATTTTTCTTCTAAGAAAGAATTGGAAGGTATGAGAGGTGGAAGTTTTGGTTTTGCTTAAGCTTTTGTGGATAAAGTATGATATAGAATATATCAACAAAAAGATTAAGAAAATAAAGGAAAGGATAGGATTAGGAATGGAGGAGATCAGTTAGATCATCTAACTGTTGTAAAGAGAGAGTTTATTCCTTCCTCTCCGAGAAAGAAATCCCTCTCCCTCTCCTTCCACCCTTGTCCAATCATATCTATCCTTTAATAAGCGCTAATAAATGCCCACGCTATTTTGTTACACAGAGAAGAATGGATGAAATTTGTAATGGAAGTAAGTAGTATAAGCAAAGTTGTAGCAGACACGCTGTGAAGTAGAAAGTGGCGGCTTTAGCAAGAATGGAACGATCAGTGTGAATTGATCGGGTCGGGTCGGATTATTTAGCACTTGAACAGCTGCTCATCAAAGTTATACATTCTCTAAATACTTTCTTTGTAAGCATTTAAAAAATAATATTCTACAATGGCAAATAGTATCAAAATGGAATTTGCAGACAGTCATGGAAGAAGTAGAAGTAAGCCTGGAATTAACTTATTTCATCCTAATCTATTCTTGCTTTTCATTTTACCAAAGTATTTTAAAAATATTCAATTTTTCCTGAAAATTCCATGTAACAATTCGGTTTTCCCGATTTTTTATTCGATCTAATCCTATTGATAATGATGAACACTTGTTAAAAATAATTATTTTTGAGTTTTTACCTCAACGATTAAAAAGTTTAATTTCAAAAATTCATAGGTATGATTCATGTCATTAAAAATGGTTCCTGTAGGAAGCAATCAAAATTTATTGAAAAACTTTTTTTTTATAGTTTCTGTCGGGACATTGTATCAGGATATATCTGTCATGACATTGTATCAGGACATATCTGTCAGGAAATTACAATCAGTCCTTTTTTTTCATATCTAAAAAAAGATAATTAATCAAGTTTATTTAAAAATTAAATAAAGTATCTTTTTTGAATAAAGTTTATTCTGTCAAAATTAGCAAAATTTTGCTGTAACAGCTGCAACATTTTCAAACACAACAATTTACACTTTCGGAGCAGCCAAATAATTGTTTAAAATTTGTAATAAGAAGTATTAGTTTGCAACTTACAGTCTTTTTAATGATTAACTATTGTATTTCAATAAAGTGAGCTTTCTCATTGTTAATCTAAAACATTTCTAATTACTAATGTTTAAAAAAAAATGCTGCTAATTAATTAAGGTTGAAAGGTAGATAGATGCATTGAAAACAATTTGGGGAAAATAAATAAATGATGGAATGGCAATGAAAAGGAGATTAAATTAAACGAAGCATCTAATTAGGATTAATTAGATAAAAGGTAATTTAGAATTTCGAATTAATAAAAAATTGGTAATAAATGCGGCGATAATAGCGAGTAATTATTTTGAGAAAGTGAATGATACAAATTTATATTTTAATTTCAACTTATTCTTTTGAATGAAAGAGTGAAGAGAATGAATAATTCAAACATTTAATAATTCGAAAAAGGAACAAATGAAAACATCAAAAAAATCAAAGCATTGAGAAATATAATTGTGATTCATCGAGAACGATCACATCTTTTCTTCAACAATTTTTGAAATATATTGTCGGAATCAACAAAAATTCAACGATCGTATGTTAGTGAAACAAAAAAGCATATTTAAATTCATTTCTTATTAATTTGAATTAATAAACAAACTTTTAGGTTTTATTCAATAAGATTTTTTGATTGTTAATTTTAGCTGACAAATGCATTTTGACATAAAAATCTTTTGGATCTCTCAAGTTTTCATTTCAATTAACATGGATCGTTTTAAATAGTAATTAAATATTATAAATAGTAATTAAATGTTTACAATTTAAAATAATTTATTTGTTAAAATTTTTGATACGTTTGCAAAATTTAGAATTTTTTAGATTGATAGAAATTTCCTTTGAAAAGGTTCATTTTTTTCAATGGCTGGTTATTTGAATTTGAAATTTCAACATTGTACTTATCTAATTAGGAGTATTATTTTAAACAAAGATATCACATTAAAATTTATCAAGCAGATGGCACATGAAATTGATAGAGAAAATGACAAACAGATAAAAAAGCAAATGTATTTTTCTCGTTTAAACCTAAAATGTAAAATTTGAATGACTCATTAAAGGCATGATTCATCAAAAGTTTTCCAATAATAGTAATTTAGTTGAAAAAAAAAGCACCTCTGATTGTCTAATTAACAATTAATAAAAATAAATTACTTATCGAACAAAATTTTTCGTACTTAAATTCAAAATTTTGGAAATGTTAATTAAAAGAAAAAAATTAATGAATAAGAATTTTTAATTAAAAGATATTTTTAAATCTTTGAAACATTGAGATTACAGATGAATTTATAATAACAATGCAATTTGATAAGTTTTAAGAACGAATTTTGAAGTTATAAAGTTCTATTAATTAATACTTAAAATAAATCAAAGTGTAATCTTTTTTGAATTTAATGAAATCAATGAAAATGGCAATTTAGAAGAGAGTGTTAATTGTTTGTATGCCAAAATCATAAACTCTACGCAATTTGTTATTTTCTTTAAATTTTAAATTAATAAAATTACTGATAAATGTGATAACAACCAATGAAAGCTTAGAGTTTTTTGTTTATATAAATAGGAAGAAAAGAAATCGAAATCATATCCTTCAATATCGTTAAATTAGCACATAAAATTTAATTAATATTATGTAATGTCTAATGAAAATGAATGCAATTAATTTCAATCCCAATTTTAGTTCATTTAATGAATAAAATTTAATTCCTGAAATTAGGCGCGTATTTCATGAAAGAAATCAAAATCCATTTTGAAAAAGTATAACGAAATTTAAGCTAAAATTCAAGAAATTCAAGCTATGTGAGAAATGTTTGCTTATATGGTGTCACTATTGCCACTAATAAATTGCATAGAATTATTTGATTCTCAACTCTCTTCGGATTCATTTAACTTACTAATGTGAGCATTAAGCTATAATAATATATTCTCTTTTTTTAATTTCCAATTAAAATTTTAAAATTCCGGATATTATTCCTAAATTCTAACAGGAAAATATGTAACCTTAAACAGAAATAATAGATAGTTTGCATTATTATTGGGATGTTTTCCAACAAATTGCTCACTTTATATAATGTTCATTTCAATGAGCCGATATTCATAATTCCGAATTGTTGTGAAACGGTGCTTTTTGTCCGTTTGCAAACTAACTATTGCTGACCTTTCCCCTATTGCTTTCTTCCTAAGATTTAGACCCGAGATTTATTGTGCTTATTAAAATGAACAAACTCTCAAATCTTCATTTTCTCTCACGGAGATCGATGAGAAACGCGATAAAGAGAATTAGAATTAGTTGAAAAATTGGTCTAATCATAGTATAAAAGATGCTAATTATTTTAAGCTATCTGATATGAAAATAACTGATATTATCAGTTCAGTTGTTAAATGCAAATGACCGATGGAAGCGCGCATTTTGATGAATTGTCCCATTGAGCTGTCAAGAATTTTTTTTTAGATTTATTTTCATTGATTTAGTTAGTAACAATTCACATCGTATTACCTACCACTCTGTTACCATTGAAAAATATGTCAGCACCAAATCGATGACGAGAAAACACACCTATTTTTAACGAAGATCATTATTTAAAGGACGTACACACACACACATACACATACACACACACACACACATAATACATACACACTTTTACCTTTAAACAAGTCCTTCACGAGAATTCGAATTGTCGACAACCGCGCAAATCAGCAATGATAAATAAAAAATACTTTAGATAGCAAGCTTATAGCAAATAGAATGATAATAAAAGATGGATGCTTTTTTAATGCTTTCGAAAATATCTAGAAGAATGTATTTCCGGTGTTAAAACAGGATATGATTACTTTGATTAATTAAGGAATATGCTTTTAGATAGCTATCCCACGATACTGAAATGAATTAAGTTTATTTTATTTTAAGCTTATTTTAATCACTTTATCATTATTTGCCATTAATTAAACTTATTCATTTTAAGCTTGTTTGATTATTTTATCATTAATCACTCTATCATTAATTGAACTTATCCATTTTAAGTTTATTTGATCAAAACTTTCTTTGAAATTTTTAATTTTTTTTTAAATTTTACAAAGCAATGATAAAAGAGAAATCAGGAAGATATTAACAACAATCAATTTGTTAGAACAATAAATATTAATTTGCTATCTTTGAGAACTAAATACTCAGTGCTTTATTTATTTATTTTATTCATTATTTATTATATCATTATTCCTATTAACTCAATCAGTTTGTTTTAATAAATATTTCCATCCTTAATTGTTTAATTGTTACATTTCCGTACTCAATTTATTGTAAATATGTTACAGAACAATTACTATATTGGTGTCACAATATAGTTGTTGAATAGTGACACTCCGATGAGTGTTTGTCCACTCCACTACTAATGTTAGCGCAACACTTCATCAGCGCAAATTATCCTTGGAATTTCCAAGAAAAAATTTAGGGAATAGGGATAATTTATCATTTGCACAATTCTACTACCAAAAATCTTAAATGATTTACACTACCCATCTCTTCATAATATTGGGATATTTATCTGATGACCTGTGACCCCATTGTACAGGTAGATAATACAATAATTATCTGTTTTGTTCAAATTTCTCGAGGAAATATGATGTGAAAGAGAAAGATATTTATCAGTAATAATTTAATGCTGTAACGATATCAATGGAATGGACGCATTTCATCTAATACATTCCAGAGGAAGTGACCGATTGGACAAAGAAGGTTGATTACTAACTTAGCCAACCAAATAACATCTCATTAGAGCATGTAATCAATCAAAGAATATGACAAATTCAGTTATTCATTAGTTTTTCATCTTATCCCCTCTCCTTTTCCCTTACATTCAATGATGTATACCATCTAATGACCATTGGTTATTACTGTATGATGTGGTAGATCTCAATGCCTCCTCGAATAGCAGCTTTCTTGCTTATTCGATGAAAGGCTAATGATGAGATGCAATTAGTAGAATTTCATTGACAAATTTCCTTTTTACTTCCAGTCAGCCTGAGGGGGTGAATCGAATTCAAGAAAAAGATTTTTCAGTGCCCATCAATCCTCTCCTATCGACGTAACCCTCTCACTTGTTAATTACGCAAAAGAGTTAAGTTTTCAATTTTTGATTTTATTCGTTTATTTTCTGAAAATTTAAAAAATTTTAGACGTGGAGATTTGACGTAACTTCGTGCGACAGTTTTTCCATTCACTTTTTTTGCTTGAAAATTGCATTTTTTTTTAGCTCGAAAATTCTCGAATGTTCCAATGCATTAGCATCAACGCGTTGAGACCATCTCGTAGTTGGAAACTTCCAGAAACGTGTGAGTTCCGCGTGTCATGAATGAATGATTGATCGGTTTTATATACTGCTTTGTCGAGTAGCTGCACTTGTTTTTCGTTCACTGAGAATTCCCGGGACATTATTCTCTAATTTACAAATTGATTAGTTACTTTTTAAGAAATTTATAACTTAATTGGTTTCTCTGACCATAGCTTCCGACCGAAGATTGATAGAGAGAGGAAGTAACAGATCACAATCAAAGCCAAAGATCAAAAAATAATGTCTCCATAGAGACATTTCGAGAATGGCGGGATAAGAAAGAAGTCAGAGTACTATAAATTAAATTAAGGAAGTTAGTTGTTTAAGATATTCTAAACATATCTCAAGTATCGTTTTATGAATAAATGTGTGTTCAACGTACATTATTTTCTTGATTACTATACGTTATGCGCTGACCTTTACGTTTATCTTCACGTGTAATTACATCTTCATTTCGTGTAATTACATTTATCTTATTGTTGAAACTAGAAATTTAATTTATTTTCTTCAACTGAATTGACGTTGATGTCAGTTCAAAAAGAAAAACTGATATGTAAGTTATCTTATAAATTACAGGTTGATTAGTGACACTTTGATAGATAGAACGACATAGGTATTCTTAGATAAGTTGATCTAATGCGGGTTGGATGACGTGAATGGTAGTTTTGGTTTATTCATTAACGAAATGTTTCGCATTAGTGACAGTTTGATAGATAGAACGATCCTTCACCGATGTAAGCGTTAAATACTTTTCTTATCGTTTCATTTCAGTATTGGACGCATGGAACCTATAGAGAATTGGATTGCAAACAACACGTTACAAATGAAAGATCGGTAAATTTTTCTTCAAAACTATAAAATCCAATCTATTTGCATTGTGTGTCGACCCTGTGGCCTAATGGATAAGGCGTCTGACTTCTAATCAGAAGATTGCAGGTTCGACCCCTGCCAGGGTCGGCCAAATGCTTCTTTGCAGATTCACTTGCATGCCGCTTTTTGAGAAAATCTGTATGTAACAGCTCTCAGTTCTCCGCCAAATGCAAAATAGGACTTCAGATTCAGACGATTTCAGATTCAGACATATTACATGCGTGGTTGTGCAAATTTACAAGCTTGAAGGAAACAATTGGCGTGAAATGACCAAAGACTTCGTTCTGCTTCATATGTATTATGACCAGAAAGATCAAGAAGCAAAATTGGTCGCTATTGATGGCATTAAGGCATACTTTTAAAATTACAGTTAGCATATTTTTATGGAAAATCATATATGTAATTTTCATGATTTTTTCAAAACTTTCTCCAGGCAATCACATCGATGCTATGTTAAAGTTACATTTAAATGATCAGGTAAATTTACACGTCAGATAGGTGTAACATCTCTTTTTTAACAATAATATGTTAGACTCACTTCGTTTTTTTTGTTTCCGGCCACATCCTTTCCTAATTGAAGACGGGATGAAATAAAAACGTCCAGAACATAATTCAAGATATTTTCAGAAATTTTTGAAAAATTGCAGCTGATTGTGAGAGGATTCGTGCTTTCTTCTAGCCTTCAATTGGTAAGACCTACAAAAAAGTTTTTACACTTTATTAGCTCCAAGCAAGAGAGATCGGAGATGTATGGTTTTGGTTTTCAACAGGTCTACGAAGTCGAGCAGGTATGACATCTTATTTAAATTCATGGTAATTTTTTGCGAACTATTGCGAACGACTATATTACATATCTCACATCAAGAAGATACAGTACAGTAAATTGAAAAGCATTAATTATGATTAGTTTAAGATTTCCACGTAAATCTGTATGCATACTAAACAGATGAAGAAACAAATCTTTCTCTTTCCGAGTGAAATTTTAAAGAGAATTAACTAATGTCGAAAAGCGCCAAAAAAAAAATTATATTTTAAACATTGTTGCTTTTTCTACTTCTTGGATAGGAACTACTTTCCAGAGTGCAGCTGATTCGTTTTTATTAAGAAAAATTTAATACTAAACTTTAACTTCAGTTGTGACAGTGCACGAAACTCAAAACTGAGCGATTAAAATGGTTCTTTCTATTATTGTAGTTCTTGCGGCTGTTCGGCATTGTGCACAGAAGACTGCATTTGTCATCCAGAACTATAATCCAAAGCGGATTGGGATACAACAAAAGACGTTTATCAATTTCATCTACAAAATCGCAACCGCCATATCCTATATCTATGTCTACAGCAATCAGTGAGTCGTTCAAACACATTTCTTAGATCATTAACGGCTCGTTCAAACCACATTGACATCATTTTGAATAATTGATTTGATCTGTGGCCAAATTTCATGTAAAAATCTTGATAAAAATCATTGACTATGCACCATAGTGAAATTAGTTTTATCAACCAGAACGATGAGATGGCAGTTTGGTATGATAGTTTGCTAATACATCTATCAGAGAGGGCGACTTTCAGCTCCTAATAAAAATGCGCATACTACTCTACCCTTTTTGAATGATTCACTTCGGCGGGAGATGTCATTGCAAGCAGATGTTAATGTGCATCACATTGAAAAAGGACTACAAGGACTGTCTTTTGCTTCAGATGCTTCTCGCACAGCTCCGAACTTTAATTTGGTAAGCAAAAAGTTTAAATCGATGTTTGCTGAATAAGTCAGAATCTAGTCAAATTTTATTTTTGCAAGTAATTTCAAATTTCATAGCCTTATCTCAATTATGTTTAATATTTATACGGTAGAGAATGTTGCCGTTATAAGCATCATTGCACATTTTCGAAAGTGCACTACTCGTAAGAATCTAGAAATTTTAATATCCACCGAACTGAACAAAGGAATTATCCATATGTTTTAGCTAGTGTTATGTTTTGCATTGGATTTCAGGCATCTTCCTCGTCGAAGCAGACTTCTATGGATGCAAGTAGTTTACATTGCGGTGACTCTATTACATTCGGTAAGCGATATTTTACATACGGATTTGTTTCTGTTTTATTAACTTCTTTTATTTTGCATTTTTTAAGGAAAATTCGCCCACGAAAACGTAGTTGTCTGATGTTCATACTTGTCCGGTTTCTTTTTTTGAAATAGAAAACACTGATTCTTGAACATTTTTGTAACGAGGAATTAGTATTTTTCCCCCACAATAGCCTATTAAAAAGTAAATAGTTTGGCACTATAATTATGAAATTTGAGAATTTCTGAATTATTATTGATTATTATTATTATTATTATTCTTACTCAATTCTTTATTTCAGATCCCAACTCGAACGCTACTCGACCAGTTGAGCAAAAGCAATATCAACTTTGGAGTGCACCACCATGGAATGCTTTGCTAGAACATCGAGTTTATAATAATCAAGCAAGCATTGCTTCTGCGTGGGATTCACTTTTGAACCATTAAAGCAATACCCCAAGTGGAAGAGACCATTTCCATGTATTGCGAGATATTCCAGTTAATCTGCCATTCCACTGCATTATTTTGCAGATGTTTCAAATAATTTTTTTAATTTTTAATGCTGGAGATACAATGATTTTTTTTGCATCTATTGAAAAATTGTGTTTGATCTCTTTGAACATCATTTATTGTTAAATTGCTTAAAATTGCTTTGTTGCTCACTCTTTGTTGTGAATGTACAGCTCATTCAAATTAAAATTTTTCCTGTTCCATAATAATATATTGTTTGTCCTGTTTCATAATAATAAGTACCGTTTGTGATCCAAAAATCCCTGGCTTCTTGATTTTCAGAAGTATATCAATATTAAAGCTTTTTCTCGTTCAAACAACGGTTTGTATGTTTTACTAAAGGCCACCTATTCTTTCATCTATTCGAAATTTGTTAAGTTTTCTGGATCATTTGTTACATATAAAGAAGTTCTCCACTGCAATTGAATATACAATGTGTTTTCTATCTGTTGAAGTGTTTTTATTCTCAGAATTTGAAAGAGATGGAACGAGTGGAGTTTTCCACGAATGGTAATGCGTTCTTTTTTTTGATTTCAGAATTTTCTAAAAGTTTTGTTCTTCCTCTCTTTTTTAAAGTAGTTAAATAGAGGCCAGCCCACATAGAAGTTTAAATTTCATTACTGAAGTTAAAATAAGCATCTTATTGTCTGAATGCATATTTCCTGCAAGTAATAATTGTTAGTACGATACATTTGAAACTCAATCGTGTTGCTACGCAACGCTTCGAAATTACACTCCCATCAATCGTTAAGTGAATAGAATCCCGGATAATGTCAAAATTTACAAAAAACATCTTTTTTGTTCTGATTTTCTCATGAAATTTTTGTTGCGAAAAATCTGATTAAATTTCAGGTTTTGTTTTCTTTCAAGATACCTTGCGTATCTTATGTGTTTATTCGTCATTGGTTAAGTGGACGAGGATGATTTTTTACATCAGATTATTCAGGGTTCCATCAAACTGTTTCCTTCTTTTCTCATTTATGGCATTCATAGAAATATGTGCAGCGTATTTTCTTTACTGATTAATCATTATATTAGCTGCAAAAACAGCCTCTTTATCTTTTCTATAAATCTTTGTACACCATGCAAAACCGAATACCGCTTTTCTTACTATTCTCAGCTATTATGCTAGGCAAAACCGAATAGCTCCGTCTTCACTATTCCTAACCATTAAGCTAACTAGATGTAATCATCTTTCTAGGAACTCTTTCCATTCTCCGAAAATCACATTTGTCATGTAACATTTGTGCCTTCTCCCTGTTTCCGGTCTTTTAATGAGTACCTGTTATTGCTGATTAAGTACCTGTTATTGTATAACTGAGTACCTGTTATTGGCCTGAATTAACTAATTATTGCTGATATCAGTGCCTGTTATTCACAACTAATCGATTGGAATGAAATAAGTGCATGAGATATTTGTTATGTAAGAAAAGTAGTTGAATTATTAGTTAATTTACTAGTTCAGGCCGACCGCTTTAATTGGCAGTAAATTGACTGACTGGAAAAAGTGCTTATGGAAAACTTGATAATATAACATAGGGTCTTCAATTCGTGCTTCATTCCGAAAATTAATCAGAGCTTTTCTAAGCAAGTAATAATTACGGCAGGAAATACATAATTTGAGTAGAATTTTGGGATGACAACACTTAACAAAGAAACAGCAGAGCTCGATTTGTCACTCTACTGCAATATACTTTATCATCTTCAAGAAGGGTTTTACGGAACGGCTTTAACTATCTGTAACGAGGAATTGCATAAAGCAAATGATTCCCGACAAATTGTACTATTCCGGTCGATCGCTTTAATTAAGCACGGTATCATTTTCGTTTTTATTTTTCTTTTTCGATTATTTTACAAACAGCAGGTAGTATAACACCTTTGAACTTTTTTCCTCACTTAATTCTGAAATAACTATATGATAATATTTCACTTCGAGTTTAAGGTCAATATGTGGAAGTAGTACGCCTACTTCACTTACTTCGTCACGATACAATTGTTGGCTTTGCAGCATCAGTGGTTCTTCGAACAGCGCATGCTTTATTAAAGAATCCAGGTTTGTATGCTATAACTTAATATGCAGGGCGAAGTGATTTCCCGGAAATTTGGCATCAGATATATAAGAAAGTTTCCCGAAAAAGTTTCCGAAAATTTATTCTTTGATCTGAAAATCACTATCATAGATCGAGAAGAAATATCTGAATTGGATCGAACAATCAATGAGGCATGTAAAACTGCAGATATGCAGGCCAAATATAATGCCGCAATAGCTTACACATTGCTTGGAAACAGTGACAAAGCTTGTTCTTTAATTGAAAAATCAACCGATTCCAACAATATTCAAGTATTTTTTCTTTATTTTTATTGATTTGTTAAACATATTAATTCAGATTCAAAATTTAATAACAGCGTGTTTCAGTTGATTGTTCTTCAAGCTTGGATTGAACTCAAGCATGGCAAAGATATGAATGTTGCGCAAAAACTTTTTAAGAAAGGCATTGCAGCAGGTTTGTTTACTTTCGTAACATTTATTCTTTATCAAATATAAATATTCTATAAAAACTTCTGGTAAATGATACATGAAATCTATCAGCATATTTGTCACTAAATAAACTTTGATGGGAAAATAAGAGCAAGTATATTTACCGGAAAATAATAATATCAAACTTTAAAGATCGACAATAATATCAAACTTTAAACACAGTTAATCGACAAAATCCGCCTTCAACTTTAAATTTTTCTCTATTTATTATTAAAAATTTATTTTCCCCTATTTACTGTACTAAAAAAAAAGTTTGGTATAATTTTCTTGAAGAAATCTCAGCATTGTGTAAATCTAATCATTTTAGGATATCCGAACGCATACATCGGAATGGCACGTTTGTTGGAAAGACGAAGAAATTTGACAGAGTTGCGTCAAGTTCTTTACACTTTGATAAAGAAAGTTCCAACTTTTCTTCCAGGATACATTGAATACTGTAAAGCATATTTGATGGGTTATGATTGGGAACACTGCATGGAACAGGTACAAAGGACGCTATTTCTACAGGTATCAATGGTTAGATATGTATGTGTTAGTATCATTAGGCTGGTTTAAATTTTGAATTCCAATATTTTTTGATAAGGGACATATACGGCTTTTCGAAAGTTTCTATTACATTCCAAAATTCCAACTGTTCTAAAATTAATTTACACTTACATAAGTTTTTGGCATGAAGAAAAAAATATTGTTTAAGTTTAGAGATGTAACTTAAATTTGAAGTGATAAAATCATTATCGAATTTTTAGAATGACTGTTTGCAAGTTCGTTGGTTAGAAGTGATTCATGAACTGGTTATAAAAAATCGTGTAAAAGAAACTGAAAATGTCCTTCAAAATCTTGCTGAAGCAATCGAAAAAAACGAGCCAAAAAATTATCAGTTGCATCATAAAATTGCCCAACTTCTTATTCGAATCACTATATTTGATCATCCGGCGACTAAATTTGCTAGGTCCCTCCAATTTTTCATTGCTTCAATTTATTTATTTACGATGAATCAATGTAAGTTGCAATACCGGAGATAAGCATGGAAACTTGCTAAGCATAGATCAGTTTAGTCGATTATTTAATTTCATTTTAATTTTAGTATTTTTCAAGTGGTTTTTAGATTAAGCTTCTTAGCTGAAAAGTTTTTTAAATGCTAACTCATTTATGTTGCGTTATATCTTTCAAAGTGCAACAACAAAGCCCTTAGTATCAAGCTTTCAATGTTCATCAAACTTCTAAAAACTTACCGGTCAAATCATTTTGATTTAATTCTGAAGAGCTACTTTGTTTCTTTGATAATTTTAAGATAATCTTACGTATTTCTCGCTTTATCTGTTTATTTCACTTTATCATCAACTCTGAAAAAAAATTATGTTTTAATAATTAAAAATTACTCGCAGGAAGTTGCTTGATAGAGCAGTTTCGGTGACGAAAAATCAGGACTATTTGTGTGAACAGGTAAGATTACTGCTGCAAAGTGGAGACTTTAAGGCAGCTGAAACAATTATGTTCGGAGCGTTAAAGGATGATGTCACCCCTAATGAACAACTATTAATTGGTAACAGTAATATTTCCCCTCATTTCTTCTCTTTTATAATAATTTTTATCACCAATCTTAGCTTTCTTAAATTCTTTTTCGAACTATTAATCATTTAATTGATACGTTTGGGTCAGATTAAGACTTCTTATAGGTGTAGCACAATGTTTCATTGCAAAAGGTCAAATCGATGATGCAATTACTCAGATGGAATTCGTAGAAGCAACACATCCGAGTATCCGCCAAACTAGTGTAAACTTTATTCATATTTACTAAAATACTATGGACAAACTGTTAATTATATGAGAATTGTAATTATCTTGAATTTTAGATTTTTAAAAATTTCAGTTGTATATCTATTTGATGGCAGTATTGGATAAAGAGCAACATAAACCATTTGAACAGTTTTTCCAAAAAATGCAAAATGCATTGGATGTACATTTATCAGCATTACAGGTTTATTTTCCCTTTTCTCATTAAAACTTCAATCTTACTTGCTTATTTCATTTACACTCATTTATATAACATAACATTTATTTCCTCGATCTTAACAACTGCTTCCTTATCTTTCTAGCAGCCACATGTTTGAATTAATTGATTATCAAAATCAATCTTAGTTTACTATTACTTGGAGACTTTATCTACAGTAACCGAAGCTAATTTAGTTGAAGTAATAAGATTGATTTGCTTCATATTACAGTTTTTGAATTTATAAAAAAGCTACTTGTAAAACGAAACTGGTAAATTTTTAACAAATATTTCAGAACGTTGTTTTTGGTGTGGAATATTTGACATTGCTGGATCCAAATTTACTAATTGATATGGCATTGCAACTTTACGAATTTGCACCACTTACAGTAAAAATTTTGCAATTTAGTATGCTAGAAAAGATATTTAAAGCTGAGTGGAAGTTAGCTAGAATAAAAATGCTCAAATAAAGTTAAGTATTCATAAATATGATATTAAAGCACTCATGAAAATCATGAATTTTTAGCCAGCGAATTCTGCTAATGTCGTACTTAAAGAAATTGATAAAATCCTAACAATTGTTCTGAATTATTGTCCAGGTATATGTTTCTTGTCATTCAATTTCGTGTACTAAATTAAATACAGATTCAGCTTCACACAGATATATGGAGCTTTAGCAAATACTGAATTATGCAGTAGTTCAGTGTTTGCTGAAGCTATCAATAGTTACGAAGGATAAATCTAATATTTAACAAATAAGAATTATTAGCCATTTATTTTGTGTTGAGCAGATAGAAATTTAAAATTGTTGCAATATTATATTATTTCCGAATATTTTAGCACTGTTAATCGCTGTATATCTCTTAGCCAAAGTAAAATATCTTTCAATGGATTTTGCTGAAGCAGAACGACTATTAGCAAATTGCACTGATAAAAATGATGCTCCTCCAGAAGCCCACTTACTTATGGCACAGGTACAGTATTACTCAGGAATTAAATCGTGATAAGTTTCTTTTATGGAAATTTTAGATTTTTTTTTAACATTTCAGATTCATCTGCATAAAAATAATTATGATGAGACTGGTAAATGTTTGGATATTGGCTTAAGTAATAATTTTAAAGTTCGCGAACATCCTCTGTATCACCTTATCAGGGCAAAACTTCAAAAGAACTCAAAACAGATCGACGTATCAATACAAACTTTGCAGAAAGCAATCGAACTGCCTTTGTTTAAAGCTAGTATGTTTTTAACTTTTTTTAACTCAAATTTACTTTCTATCCCTTAGTGGAACTGGAACTTATATTCCTCGAAATCCTACAAACTATAATGAGCTTGGGATTATGGTCGCAAATAAGGCCTCATAACTTTCCTTTAGCTTTTTTCCAAACTAGTCTGGAGCCTGTTCTTATTTTAAGAATGATGTGAATAAATGCATAATTCTTTATTTTTCACTTATTATCTCACTGCAATCAAAATCATTTTACCAAATTTCTATCAAAAACAAACTTCAATCGGACTTTCCTCCATTTTCTTCTTTTGTATGATTTCATTTTAAAATCGAAACAAGTGGTCAGATTTGATGAAAATGGTGATTATTATATACTTTAAAAGTTTTGAAGGTCCATCAAAAAAACGTCAGAATTTGGAAGTTGTTGATGCGGATCGTATAGCCATCTACTTGGAATTGATGGATTCTTATCAGCAACTTGGACAGCTTGTATGTTTTTCAACTGAATATCTACTTTTAAAAATTCAAAGGATTTATTCTATGTTTAAAGGCAGAAGTTGATGAGGTGATGAAAGAAGTGCACGAACGCTGGGCTGATAAAACGGAACAACAACAGTTTGTGCTAATGGAAGCAAATCTGAAATTACAGCGCAAAGATATTAATGGTGCATTAGAGATGCTTGCATCTATACCACCTACAGAGGCTAACTATCAAGCAGCTCGCATTAAAATGGCTGAAATTTATTTGAACGAAAAAAAGGATAAACGAAAATTTGCTGTTTGCTTCAAGTATGTTCTTTTCTACTTTTTTCAATTGAAAAAAATAAAAATTCGAGATTATTCGTCAGTCATTTTTCTTTTAATAAATTTTAATAAATATTAAATTTTAATAAATTTTGTGGGTCTTTAAATGGTGAAAAAAATCTTAATGTTACGTTAATGCTGGCATTATTCTATCATTTGACATTCGCCACTCAAAGAGTAGTTTCAGTTTAAGAAAAATACTGTAATTCTTAATAACTAAGCATGTTACTAAAAGTTATATCTAATTAATTTTTGATTAATGTCCATATTAAATATCGGAATATTTTACATAAAAAAATGTATACAATAATTCAAAAATTATTTTGTATCATTATAGTCATTAATTGCCTAAATCTAACGCACGATTTTATATTTATGGCCAATTACTTTGGCATCTCACAATACCCGTAAATGCTATGTAAATATATTTATTAAGTTTATTAAGGAGCAACCTACTACTTTATATATTTGCTCGATATTTACAGGATAAGTAGTTTTGAGCATGGTAGATTCAAAATCTTGGCTCAAAAATTTCGAAGTTTTGTTTCTCCATATAAAACATTTCGCTTGATGCAATTCATACAAGTATATTTTTGAGAATCGATCGTCCATGAAATTTAATTCTCATGAGAAATGAATTCATTATTGCTTGATTTTTTTCCTCTTTAGATTTGCAATTTCAGACAACTTGCGCAAAACAATCCATCACCAACGGCATATATATTGCTTGGTGATGCTTACATGAGCATACAGGAGGTTTATTAATTTTCCAAATTATTTACTTTGGCCTTTCAATCAATCATTTGAAAGATACTGAAAAAATTTAAGCTGCAAAAAATTTTTTCTAGCCTGCACAAGCAATTGAAGTATATGAAACGGCGCTGAAAAGTAATCCAAACGATGATGCGTTGGCTGAAAAAATAGGCCAGGCATACGTCCAGTGTCATTTTTATACGAAGGTATTTTAATTTCATTTCGTTTGTAAGGATGCATCAAACGTAAAAAGGATTTTCGAAATTTGAAAATTTAAGATGGTCAAAGGATGGTCGAAATGACTGCACTGTATCTCACTGTATTCTGATGACATTCATGTCAATATTTAATGAGAATTTGAATTTAGAAGTTTGAAAAACATAAACAATCAATGAAAAGCAATTCAAGGAAAAACTATTTCCCACTTGCTGATAAAATCTTACTCTCAAAAAAAATGCTTCAATCCTCAGGCAATCAATTATTATGAAGCGGCATTGAAAAATGGAAGTAAACCAGTGATGAGGATGCGCTTAGCGGAATTGTTATTTCAGCTCGAATATTATGAAAAGTGCGAAAAAGTGTTACGTCAAGCACTTGATGCAGATCAAAATCCTGTCGGTAAATTAACATTTCTTGTAGCCGCTCGGAAATTAGAGCTAAGAAGATTTTGAACATAGATTTAAGTTTGAATATGTAGCTAACAGTGGATGAATTTGGCCGAATCTGAAATTGAGAACTTTGAAAAGCATAAAACTGAGAAACCGTCTAATTGGAGGTACCTAAGATATTACTAATTTAGCATTATTATTTCCGTTTTTGTTTTCACTTTCGGATTAAATTCTGGATTGTTTTATTAGACGTAGCTCGAATGAGTGACCATGTATCCTATTGGTCTTTATTGTCGAAATTGCATTTCGAAAATGGTAACTGGAAAGAAGCATCCGCGGCTCTAGAACGTGCTCGTGAAATTCAATTATCTATAATTGCAAAACCACCAAATGAGGTCGCAAATCTTGCCGAAGAGAAGAAATTTGCTGCAAAATATGTTTCTTTATTGATCTTCAATTTTTTACATTTTTCAGCTTTTAGACTTTTAGTATCAAATTGTTATATTGATAAAAAAGTAATCACTTTTCAAATGTTAAATTTGTAGATGATGGAATATGCTGAGCAAAATTTAGATTTTTCTGGCACTTTTGCTTTAGGAAATGTATTTTACCAAAACTGTAATATAACATTTTCAGGATAAACTGTCAGTTAGCAGAATTACATTGGAACCGAAGGGACGCTAATAAAGCGATTGATCTTTACCAGGAAGCTATTTCTTTGAATAATACAGATATTAAGGCAATAATTTAAAATGGAAAATAGCAGCAATTAAATTGAATGTAGTGCAGTGAAAAAAGACACTGAAGTGAAAAACGACAAATTTATAGAACAAATGGTTTTTTAAAAACTGTACAATATAAAGTACTAAGTTCACCCATAATAAGCTAACATATAGCTTTTCACGAAACAGAGGAAATAAACGAGATGAAGTGATATCCCTAAAATAAAGTACTAAATTTTTCTCGCATTTATTTGAAGTCACTCTTTCTTCAATAATTAAGTTGAAAGCATATATTTACTTTAAAATTCTTGTTTAAGGCATAGTTTGTTTTGAATTCAACTACAATTAACATTTCAAGTCTGAAATCTAGATAATGACAGCACTTGCAAATTTGTATCTCTTGCTTGGCAAACTGGATGCTTGCAATACACAATGCCAACTGATCCTGAATGCTGACCAGAATAACGATGATGCTACACTGGTACATTATGCCCTCCTTAACCTGTATTTTTGTGTGTCATTTTGAAAAATTACATAATTTGGAATTTTTTACTGCAGATGATGGCTGATCTGTTGTATCAGTCTAATGAAGCCGGTAAAGCAACCATTCACTTTACACAATTGCTCGATAGGAATCCAAGTAATTATAGTTTGATAATTTGTATTTTAATGTTACTGTTCAATTAGGATGCATATTATAATGAGAACTAATAGAGCAAAAAGTTTCTCAAAACTAAGTTGTATTTAAATTTTATGATCGACTAAACTAAAATAACTTTCAAGTAATTCAAATGTAAAAAAGTATTATAAAAGACTTGAATAAAGCTCGAAGCATGCAGTAAAATCTATTTTTTTGTGATATGTGGAATTTTGATTATATAGATCAATATCATGCGCTAGCAAGATGTATTGAGTTGAGTTGGCGAAGAGGTAATGTGGAACAAGCGGAAAAATATCTGCGAAATGCTCTCAACAAAAATCCTCGTGCTACACTTGATGCTGGTTTCAATTACTGTAAAGGACTTCATGAATGGTAAAGAGACTGTAGTCTTTTTTAATAATTTTTTTACTAAAAATTAAGTGATGAAGTTTAAAACTCAATTAGATATTTAATCTAGTTTTAAATGCCACAAATACATTTTTGAAATTTGCCTGAAAATATTGCATCATATTTTGGTATAATTTTTTCTCTGATATCGTTCAGTAGTAGAATCTATGATGGATCTGAAACACCTAGGTATGCTGGAGATTCAAATGCAGCGTTGCAAGCATTCAATCGTGCACGACGTGATCTGGAATGGGGCGAACAAGCTACTTATAATATGATTGAAATATGCTTAAATCCGGATAACGAAATAATTGGAGGAGCGTCTGATTATAGTCAGGACAGTAATACGTCCGTTTTCCGAAATTTTTTTTTGGATTTTTATTGGATTGGTTTTGATATCCATAGAGTTAAAATTGGGTTTGAATTATTAAAATATTATAGGAAAAACCATGCTTAATGAGATGACGGAAGACGACAATAGGATCATATCAATTTTTTCATTCTTTACTAGAAAAATAATGACCGCTTGTTCCAGAAACAAGGGAAATGATAGAGAAGTGGGCACGAAGACAGCGGAAGGATTTCTGAGGGTAACATTGATTAACTTTACATTGTCCTTTTTTGAAGTTAAGGATATTCAATAATGTTTATATGGCAAATATCAGTTTATATCATTAATTCTGTGCAAAAGTAACGTAGAGAAGAAAAGAAAAAACTAATTATTCCGTATTTAATATTTGCTGGGGGGTAAACATTGTTTTTAAAACATTAATTTGTGTTAAGCTGTAAATGTAAATTGTCTATTGCACCTCAAGTGCGGCGGAAGAGAGAGTATGTTAAGCAAAGTAAAAATGGAATGATACCATAAGACTTATGGTTAACATAAAAGACATGTGTTAGACAACGAATATTGATTAATAAATGTACCACAGACAGCATGGGATCAACATATAGAAGATTAAGCAGTACGACTTTCTAACCCATTTTTAATTGTTTCAAGGAGGTTGATTTTGATTCCATTAACTTTTTAAAAACCAAATAGTCAAAACCCCCAATTATAAGAAAGTCCTAAAAGTTTGCCAAATGCATAAGCTTCCTGATTTTAAGTTTTAGCTATAATTCTATCATTTCATTAAATTTATGGATTGCGCAGAAATTTGTTTACTAACTTTGAGCCCAGTAATAATATATTGCATACAACGAATCAGTAGAAAGCACCATAACATTGAAGCTTATCATATTTTTTTTCTACCAATTAAATGTGGAAGAAAACTCGGAAAAAACTGTTCCGAAAACTTTTGCAGGAATTACAATGCAAGACTGGATTAGACTATAAATACCGGCTAATGGAAAATTTCATCTTGTTGATGAGTGGCAATCGCGGAAATGTACAACAGGCATTGACGAATTTTCTTAGTATGGCAGAAACTGAAGATCCAGTTCGTTTTTTGCACTACCATACCAAAATACATTTACACTGAATTAAACCAACTTCTTATGAACTTGAAAAAAAAGCAAATCGAAGTTTTTTTAGGGAATGGTAAACGTTGGAGCACTTCTTGGCTCAGCTCGAGCTTATTTAATTTTGAAACAAATACCGAAAGCAAAAGCTCAGCTAAAGCGTGTACTTAACTATAGATGGACATTGGAGGACGCTGATTACTTAGAGAAATGTATATTCTTACCTTAGCTTGATTAACTTTCTCCGAATCGAAATTCGAAATCAAACTCTACTCTGATTAGTCAGTGGTGCTACCGTGTGATGAGAAATTGATTTTAAATTCCAATCTGCTGTGGTACGAATTACATGACACTGGTATGTGCCCGTAATGATTCAAGAAATCGGTGGAAATCGCATAGATCGGAAATTACTGAATTGTTAATTTTGGCGAACTTCTTAATTGGCAAAATTTAAGAACCAAATCATCCAACAGTCCAACCTCCTCTTTTTTCTCTTAACCATCACTGCACCATTAAGTTTTCTTTTTGAAATTCGAATAATCTCTAACAACTATTTACAGGTTGGTTGCTATTAGTCGACCTTTATATCAATCAAAACAAGAATGATCAAGCTTCTGACATATTGCAAACTGTTTTACAGCACAACGCTGTAAGGACTTTAAAAATTTAATGTGAGAATTGATCCATAAAACCCTAACAAATGATTATATATTTTGACTGCAATCATCGCTGAACATGATTGATGATTGTTCAAAAGAATGTTTAATATTTGAAATGCTATTTGGTAAGGCTTAGACGGAAAAACCAAGTTCCAAAGTTAAAAAAAAAAGGATCATAAACCAGTGAAGCTTTCAGAGTTCAATGAAAGCATTTGAATACAAAGGATATATATGTGAAAGAGAGCAAAAATGGGACGAAGCAACTGCACATTACGAAGAGGCTTGGCGTCTGAGCAAATGCAGGAATCCGGCCATTGGTAGGATTTTTTAATAGATTGGGTCCATGGAAAATAAATAATAAATATTTTAAGGCATGAGCGTTGTAAAAGACAAAATGCGTCATGTTAATGATAATAATCTACGAATTTATCACTTACTACCCTCGTAATTAAATTTGGCTAAAAAATGCAGAAATAAATATAGGCTACAAACTTGCTTACAACTATCTGAAATGTCGGAGGCCGTTCGAATGCATCGAAACATGCCGTCGCGTGCTGGAACTTTACCCAAGTTATCCGCGAATCAAACGTGAAATTATGGACAAAGCGAGAGCGAGCATACGCATATAATTAATTCAATAAGCTTCGTAAGCTATTGTGGGAGCGATAAAAATAGCAATAAATATCTGTAATGCTATAGTTCCCTTTGTTATTTCACAAAAAATAGTGATAACAAACTGGTTTTGAACAAATGAATTTAAAAATAAATTACATTGGATTGTATTCATAAAACTTGACAGCGAATAAGAATTTATTACAAGAAAAACATATTAAAGTTTAGGCATAAACTTTTTTTTAAATAGTTATTTTTCAATCTATTTGTTTGTTGGGGCATCCTCTGACACACACATTGATGCCTGCAATTGTTGACTGTGTCATAGGATAACGCCATTTGATACATAACAAAATAACGTTTTTTTTAAAACTGAAGCAATATAAATAGAATTCATTTACTAGGCCATTCACTTAACAGTAAAGGTTCTCTTGCTAGTATATCCAAAAAAGCTAACAGTATTAGAAGTCTTGCCATGATGAGCATTAATTTTCAAAAGCGGCAGACCTTTCCAATTCAATGCTTTTTCGTGAGCGTTTTCTTAATTTCCATGGTTCTTTTGAGTTAAATATTCATTAACTGCTTTTTCTAAACATCATTCCAAATTTTGCCTTAGCATAAAAGTAACCTTTTGTACTGGTATAAATCTGAATCTCATCCTTGATTCATTTTATTTAATGCCAATACGGACAACGTCTCTTTCCACAGTCTGTCAGCGAGATATATAATAAATAATATTTACTTTCATGACTTACATTTTCCATTTCCTTTGTTATAACTGTAAGAAATATACAAAAGGCCAGTTTTTCGAAGGTATACTTCACCATTATGTGAAAAAAATACAGTATGTGAAAAAATTCTCGTTGCTATGTGGGAAATCACTCTCCATACCACTAATTATATTTAAGATCTAGCATTTAATGAAGAATACAACTAACAGTAATCTGAATCTAACTTGGACGGATTCCTTGGTTTCATTTATGATACAATTCAAACGTCGAATTATTTATGTTACTACTAACAAGATAAATTAACGCCTTACTTTTTTGATGGCCCTTGCGTCGGCCCAGAGAAAAATCATGCAATTCGATCAATTTCTATACTTTGATAAAAATACATTGTATATTATTCAAGTGTTCGCAAAAAGTTCTCACCTTCAATCTCATAGCTGGATTCCACGAATAGGATAAGATAGTTCCATCGCAGCATGCATTAACCGCGCGGAATGCAACGCGCTTGATACAATCAACCTCATCCGACAGAAGCGAGTGACAACAAGATATAAACCTGGGAGGATGGAAAATTAACCACACATTACGCAAACCACATATTTTGAACATTTTCAACTACGAAAAGATATCTCGGACACTGTTATAAAACAGGTACTGGCTTTCGTCAACTAATATCTGTTTATAACTTTTCAAGCTTCCGGAAACACATACTATCCTGTTCGATGTTCCCTACCTCCGTTATAAAAACATTTCTAACTGAAAATCAACCTGTATCGATAAGAATGGAAATGAATCAACATGATGCATGAAGTACGCGAAAGTATCACTAAAGCATGTGCCGCATGCAACCGCCATAATTCTTTTGATGAATAAGCATGTTTTTCAATTTCCGTAAGTAAAGTCCCAAAGTGATCAAAGAGCTCCAAAGTGCTATCAGTCAGCATTTTATGAGTTTTCTGAATCAAACTAGGCAGCAAAGCAGTAGAATGAGGATAGAAAAAATAAAGTGAATCGGATGGTAAGTCCAGGAATTCCATTCTAAAATGTACAATAAAATGACGTAGCAATTAAAAACAGCATATCGATAAATCAATGATCAATTTCAGAAAATTAAATGCTACAAAATTTACTCTATAATATGTGACAAACATATTTGATGGTACAGAATATAGTCCAGCAACAGATGAGACATTCAGTAAAGGAGCTTCGTTAAGCCAGAAAAAGTTTACATCATACGTAAAAAAATTCAAACTTACGCCTCTAATTCTGAGACAGCATAGCTCAGAGCAGTCTTAATATTCAACGGCAAATTATGTTCCATGATCCTTCTCAGTCGGTGTGTCAGTCTTCTTCTACATGGTGTCAGACGTAATAAAGAAGATACTAGTAAATGATTGATTCGTAAATTAGGGCTCACTACGAGTAGAGAAACAAGTTTATTTATCATCGACTGCAGATGTCTGAAAAAAAAATTTCATTGCATTTTATTTTCACTAGTTAAAATGCAAATCTGGCATGAAGTCATTGAATACCAATACGACAAGCTGCAATCATTAACTTAATAACTGGCTTTTGAATAACTGTAGTTAATAAAACATATGAATATATAAAGTTCACTTTTTGAGATCTGTTAAAGCCATTATGAGTATTACCCACTGCAGAATAAGGGAAAAATTTCTACTATCTTTAAGCCTGAAACAAAGTTCAATTGAAAATGCAATTGAAAATTCATTCCCCACCAAATCTAATCTGATTTGTCAGTGTTAATTTTCATAATTTTAATTTAAGCACTTTAACTTCAATTCTATAAGTATATGGATTCGGCCACCTGCCCTTTTCAGTAATGGATTTAAAAAAAAAACAACAATACACCACGCATATCTATCAAAATTAAAGTCTAAAAAATTTACTTTAATTGAGTTGTAGTGTAAAATGATTCGCTCACAAAGCGCAATTTTTCCAGTAATGAAAGCAACAATATTAAAGCTGGATCGTGTGATGTTGTTTGTTCCAGTTGTTGGCAATATTCATACCACAATAAGTTGTATCGTAAGATAAATGTAAAGAGGGAAATCCCATATTCTGTATCATCTATGAGTTTGTGAACCAATGCAGCTGGAAAAAACCACTGTTTATTATTTCTATGCAATTAACTAGCATTTTACCAATAACCTCTCCGCCATGGAGCTTTCCCCTTAATCCAAGCAGTTAACAAAACAAAACAAAATTTTACCATAGCAGTGACAAGCTGCATTTCGTACCATACTGTTACCTGTTCGATAGAAATCTAACACCGATTTAAAAATTTTTACACTGCAATAAGTCACATCTGAAAATACAGAAGTTTATATAAAAGAATGTAATGTACTGGCTATGGAATTAAATCATCGTCCTTTCTTACTTGCTATTTGATTTTCTTTCTGTTTCTTACCTGCCATTTTACCTTCTTTTCTCCTCATCCTATTCTTTTAAACTAACTATTAAAGATAAATAACAGCACTACATTGATATAAAAACTATTCCATTCCAGATCTTCATGATATAAGTTGGTGTTATCCAGCTTCGGTCTAGTATCATAAAACTGTAATATATAGTATAAGAACTTAATATATGCCCATCTTTTATTCTGTAACAAAAACAGCCGGCACTGAAAATAGATCCAAATGATGAGTTATAATTTAGGAAAAATTCAACGTACCAAAACTTGCCGTATATAGGAAAGTTTTTAGTACTTTCATTAGTCGCACAGCTATTATTGGCATACATGCTCGGACATTTTCAAACATAAAGTCAATAATACTGTTACCAATACCCAATACTTCATGAAATATCTTAAACACCAAGCAAAATGCCAAATTACGAGTCGTGCATTGAAGATTCACAGACAACCGTTTCGTCTGAAATAGAAAAGATGGGATGAAACCGTCAAATCCTTATGATTCCTCTGATGATATCATAAAATAATATGTCTTACTTTTAATTTTCTATAATTCTCTGAAAAAATATTGTAATATCAGCCTATGCAGTTTTTCTGAATCTATCGATTAAGCTTATAATTAAGAAAAGTTAGGTATTAATTTCATTGAGAGAACTTAACTAAGAGTAAATGGTTGTACTTAGGAATATTAAACATTAAATCATTGAAAAAACTTAATTCATATACGGTCCTGCATTATTCCATTTAGCACATCCGTTGATAAAAGCACGGACTTCAAATTTTTCCTCTCCCTTTTTTCTCATAAATCAACAAGATCGGATATTCATGAAATTTCTATTAAAAAAAAATTTTTATAAAAACCCCAAACTTCGACACTATACTACACTGCTACTCGATACTATTCGACCACAATACTCTCACGGTGATAACAGATTCAAAACAACATCATCAGAAGAAATTAAATAGATTTATCAAAAGATATGAATTATTACTATATATAATTGAATTAATTACAACTAAAAAATAAGATACTACTTCAGTTTTAATAATACTACCAAAAAATGAAACTTATTATGAATATTTGTAAAAGTAATGAATATTAATAGTCGAAAGAACCGAAAACCTTACTTTCTCGAGATACTGATATGCTACATCACCGAAATCATTCACCATACAACAAGCCGTTATTCTATTGAAACAGGTGCTACAATCATTGACTACACCTTTATGATGGCTTTGCATCAATACACTCCATACTGAATTGTATGCATTTGTAATAATATTCTTCGTTCTTATCGTTTCGCATAAAGATGCCAACATTTCGCAATTTATCTAAAAAATTCTATTTTGCATAAGCAAAATATTTCTAGAAAATCGGAATACAGCCACTGTTGATTAAACTAGATGCTGTAATTTTTTTTGTGCCGATTTCTTCAGGGAAGACTCTAATCAACGACATACGAATTAGTCGATTTTATTAATAGAAACGCAGCAGTTAACCACTAGAATTATTTCAATGAGACTTAAGAGAAACAAAGAAGAGCAAAGAATAACTAACTTTTAAGGTATGGTAGTACTGATCGACTGCTTTACGTTGTTCATCGCTTATCATCAGTGTTGGAGAAGCTGAAGGATACAGTCTTCTGTACAGTTCAGGAAGTGATACGCATTGCCCACTATATTTACTGCCACTGAATGAAACCAAATCAATGTTGGATTTAACACAAACGTCACACCAGAAAGAAGGATCAAAAACGGATTCGCCAGCAAAATTCTCTATCAGTGAAGTCAATGCAATCTTTACACCTGGAACAAGAATTTGAAAAAATCCCGTATAATACCGAACTCAGTGAGGACTCCAGAAAAATCAAACATCAATTCGCCGAGGTACCGTGCCTTCACTTGCATCAATTATTCTCATTCTCTTTTTTTACTGCACATTTTACGGCTCATTTTACAAACGAATTTGACTTATTTATTGTTAAAATTACCCGAAGAACAAACTTGCCATTCGAATCTTTGTGCTTAGTTTTCTTCATCAAATCGAAAATCTCTTTCGGTTCTTTGAATTGCAACATTATTTTCACGAGATAACTTAAACCATCCGTGCTATCATTATTGAGCATTTCCACAAATTTACGGGTCAGAAAAATATGAGAATCAAACTTCGAAGGTGACAAACACATCATTAGTTTTATCCTGTAATTTAGTGATCCGTAAACATCATTTACAACATATTAAATCGATTATATTTGATATCAATTTCACCTTCATTTCTCTGAATTCCATTATCGAAAGTAAAAAATAAAGTGAAAATGTGTTAAATCGGAATGCTTGTACTCATCGATAAATGGTAGTGAGGACCTAATTATCACGATTAGCACAATTACCAAGACAACAAAGGCATAATAAATTATTACGTATTAATAGAATGATTTCATTATTCCTTATTAATGGTGAACCATTTCTACAATCTTTTCTACTTCAATCCAATTTCATTGTCTGATTGAACATCTAAAGTAAACTAAACAGCTCTGTAATCTGAGCTGTGCTAAAATAGTTAAAAAGAAAATGTAAAGCTTTATACATGATGTAATCTGAATTTTATTCTTTAAGAGAGAAGGCAAAAAAAGCATTGAAATTTTATAAATTTGTTGGCTTACATTCCCATTCTTTAAAGTTCTGAATTGATTGCAGATACATACTCCCATTACCTTTGAGACATTAATTTTTCTCAATTTCGTATGTCCAGATTGTTAAAGAAAATAAATTTTAAAAAACGAAGTTAATGACAAAAACGAAATAAAGCACAAACCTTATATTTGCAATGCCACTGTTAAAAATTGAATCCATCAACGGTGTAAAAGCAAACCATTTATCAAAACCGCACTGCGTAAGAAGTTCCAGAACAAACGCAGTCTGATACGATCGACCTCGATCATTCCAAATACCATCAAGCTCTTTAAGCAAAGCCACTTCCAAACGCTTACGTGCTTTTGCATTCGAGATACGTACAAGGTCCAGGAGTGCTACATAGAAATTGGAATCAGTGGTATTCAAGTTTTGCAGCACAAAGGATTTCACACTACCGAATTGACGAGACCAATCGAACTGAATAAGGAAGAAATATCTGAATCATATATAAAATGATAAAAAGTTAGCAGAAAGTAAATCAGTTAATATATAACATCTCTACAACATCACATTATACTACCTTAAGCAGTAGAACTATCAGAACTTATCAATCCCGAGTTGAGCTATACATGATCACAGTCAAGCCGGTTAAATTGGAGGTAGTTTAAGCCATTTGAAGTGTATTCTTATTTTCCTGAAGCTTTTAAAAATGTAAATGCAACTGATCTAGACGTAATAATGTACTACACACCTATCCTCATATTAGAAAAGAGAAATTGAAATGAAAAGATTGTCTTATGCTAGTGCAGTAATACTGTCCTGCGCTAGTAGTAATACTGTCCTGTGCTAGTTCAGTAATAATCTTATAAATATATATATAATACTTATCAATACTTAATATCTGAAGCAAGTAATTTTGAAGAAAACGTGAAACATCAGATTTAATTAATTTATGGAGAATTTACCAATTTCTTATTCATCAGTTTTTTCGATAATTCAAGTGCATCTAGACGTAATAATGAATGATATGAAGTCAAGCAATCGTGCAATAAGCCAATTTCATTGCTTCTCAATGCACGAATAAAAAATTTTTGAATAGAAATCCATCCATATAAAAGACGATCATAACGCATCCAAACCATTTCTTCTTTTTCTGGATTCGAGAAATTATCCATGTAAATCAAATCAGACATTTCCTCTTCAGTAAGATAACAGTCCTCGTTGGCTTGCTCGAAAGATTGATTTTCTGTCGAAATCATTTGCAAGATAACTTCAGCAGTTTCTTCCATTATCAATTTAGACTTGATAGTACTATTCAATTTCGCCAGCCAAAACCGTGAACAGTTTAAGCGGCGCATTCTGAATAATAGTTGTACCTTCCACATTTTTAAGTAGAGTTACACTAAATTTCAAGCAATTTCTTTAACTAAACTTTTGTTATGAAGTGCTTTCACCACAAATGAAAAATAATGATGGTAGTATTCCTTATTATTTCGGTCAAAACTGAATAACAGAGCAGTTAAATATCTTCGCAGATGACACTCTGCAGAAGTTCGTGTCTGATCACGGTAATTCTGGTCATTTTAAGAATCATTTTGGAAATTAGGAAATTAATCCCTTTGCTTTCTGCGGGTTTTAATTTTCACTCTAAGTACATTAGAATATCAGTAGATATAAAATAATCAGTAGATGCTGACAAAAACACCTCAACATTTTGATTTACATAAAACTGCTAAAGCTAACCGATTGGAAGATACCAAGCAGTTCGCCAGGAAACGAGCACAGTTTTGACGATCAATACAATTACTAATGAACCATGCAAGCAAGCAGTCAGATGTCATGGAGCCACTAGAATGATGCGCTTGAGCTCTCCACAGGACTGACATCAATATATTTTCACAACTTATCCATATCTGCAAAATTTGAACCTTCGTTGCATGTGACGAAAAAAGTATTGTGCTGTCCAGCTGAGCAATTGTGCAATCTCAAGGGCGATAAGCGTCCAGAGGTAGCATGAATTTATGTAGAATGGTGACATACCAATCATCTATTACTATCGGATTAAATCCATTCGCTAATTAGACTTTCGGCGATTCAAATAACTTGATTTTAAAGGTCAGCAGATTCATTTGTTTGAAACTTACCGAAATATGCTCCATTTTGACATTGTCCTTCGTAACTATTATTAAACTGTATTGCAGAGCTTAAATCAGACTTTCCGAAAGCAAAAGTTTTAATACTATGATATTTGTAAGAAATATCAGAAACCATTTTTCAAATTCTTATAAAAACTAAAAGATCATGAATCCAATCCAATAGGACTTTCCCTATCTCCTATTTTCTATTAAGTAGTCAGGAAAAAAGTACGCAACTAAGTGATTATTTATTAATTCAAGACAAATAGGTAAAAAGATTAAAAAGACATACTTCATCACATTTCAACGCAGGTATTACTGAGGCAAGCAAAGCCCATTTCTCTTTCAAAGTGTTTGGTAATAGGCACAACCACATGAATTGCTTAAATAAAATAAAAATTATTAAAATACAGAACAAAATTAAAAGGCAATGATTCATAATTTCTGAAGGAATGGATTGCAAAGAATTTCATGAGGAACTACATCACATCGCAAGTACCATGATTCAAACCTGATCTGCTGTGATATCAAGTTCCCTCTGCAACTTCAGTAGAGTCTTGAGAATTTTTTGATCCACACCTGATCGTTGCATGAATATACCACGAAAGGACAACTTTATACATTTTTGCAATATCCTTTTTTTTTCTTGATCGTTCAGATTGCCAAATTTGTGAGCAGTCTTAACTAAACGTTTTCCAACTATTCCGTAAATACTTCTATCCAATACTTCGTCCTTTTGAATGAGCCACTCCACTATCTCTCTGAACTTAAACGATTATTTCCATATTTGGAAGCAATTCCGGATTAACAAACTGTTATCAGTCACTCTCTATCTCTGAGAACACAGAAGTGGAATAGGGTTATATATTTTCGATGAAATTAAAATCGTACAAAAAAATGACATATAAAAAATTATGAGGAATCTTATTAAAAAATAATGAAGGAAAAAAAGGAATGCAAGCTTTCGAAACCTAGTAATTCTTGCGCTTTATGAAATGCATCGACATAGTACTTTTTCGAGACTGGACAGAAGTGATCCAAGGCAAACTACTAGTAAAAGAAGTCTATTATAAACCTTATTTATTACAAACGAACATACCTCAAAGATAGTTTGGAAACAGCCATGTGCAATAAAATACCATGTTTTCTATGAAAATCTACATGGCCACTTCCATTAATACATGATGAATTGGCTGCCGTTTTTCGAGAAGAAATTTCCAACTGAAATTTAGATTAAATTGAGTTTGGAGCTCATAAATTTTTGAATATGAAATCTATAAGAAATCTACTACAGGCATTTCACGGAGTAGAAAAGGTTAGTCGACTTCAAAGCACAGTAAGAAGACTGGAAAGATACAGGTTCGTACTGGTAAAATTAAATCCATGTATAAATTATGTCAAACGACTTCAGGATCTGAAATCATGATTGACAATCTTAATCTACAAACCAGTTACGAGCTTTGGAATTGAGAAAAATATTTCTCAAAATTGCTGGCCAAATTTATAAAATTATTCAAAAATTAAATTTTTTAAATACGATTTGTGCACCTGCTCATTAGTTGCATGTCATAAGGCTCTCCACTTAGACATTGAAAAAATTTGTCATGTTAGAAATATTTTAATTCAAATTCATGAAAATTCTACGGAAGTTATGAAAATCATCGCAAAAATTTTCATTCTTCTGTTAAATGTTTAGTCAATTATGGTTCGTAAATTGGTTCATATTTTTTTTCACTTGAAAGCATCCATTACGTTCATTACTATTAAAAAATTTTGAAATTATACATTTCAACTTGTAGTACAACAAAAAAAATTTCTTTTGCGATGCAAGGAGCACTTAACAATACTTCATCATTTAAAAAAACACAATCTGTGGAATTGGCATGGATGTGAACGTTACTTATATAGTGAAGCAATTAAGGGAAATTTACCTTTTGACAGACTTCCATCGAGAAAACAACACTATCTCCCGAAATTCACTAAAATACGCTCCACAAAAAAATTTTTGCAATGGCACGGCAAATCGCTTCTTTTCTCGACCATATAAATTTGATTGCTTAAGGATAAATTTTGATTTTGAAACAAATTTCAATTTATTCCAATAATTTCAGTTGCACATGTATTTGATTCTTCTGCAATGTCACTGCACTTCTATATCATTTTTATATATTACTATATTGCCTAATCATTGTTCAGAATAATTTCGATAAAGAATCGATCGACAATCTGTAATCGTAAATCTCCAGATGCTATATGAACCTCCGCGATATTTTGTATGTCACTCTACAATTCCTAGTTAATTTTACATCTTTGTTTAAGTATGTAAAGACCGAATTACAATTTTTCCGGTGAATGCTTACAGTGATGCTCGCTATAACAAGCCTATCACATCCTAATAATCCGCTATAATATTACTACGCTCTTCACACATCGAAAGACGGTCAACGAGAAACTGAACAGTAGCTATCCGCGCAAAACCTTATGTATTTCTGGTAAGTGTAATGGTTCTGAAAAGTGTAATGGTTCACACTTATTGGGATGGGATGTTCTCCGATACTAAGGGAAAGTGTTGAGGTCAAGTTGGTCAATTATGAAATAGATCAGGTTCATGAACTGATTTATGAGTATAAAGGCGGGACAGGGTTAATCTTTCTCTTTCTCTCTCTCGGCACCTCTCATTAATTCAAGTTCTCATGTGATTAAATCAATGTAAATTATATTTATAGTATTTACCAATTCTCAATCGCATCCATCCGTCATCATTGACAATGAAATATATCTCGAATATTGTCCAATTTCAAGCAATTATTTGTATCATAAGTCAATTACTGTAAACATGATGACATGTTTATCATGTTAACAGGACTGTGTTATCGTTTGGTTAAATATAATAACAATAATATATACAATAATAAATAATATCACCAATTCTGTTACTGTAATTTTGACATCGAAAATCAAGCAGTAGCAGAAAAAAACGCTGAAATATGGATACAAAAAAAGGTGAATGAGTAGGTAAGGATATGATGATATTATGATATCAATAATCATTTTCTAATATCGTTTTCACACTTTTTACCGGTGAAACCCAATTGACACATGCATGTATAGCTCACTGATGTACCAATACACAATCCTTTGCCATTACAATCTCTTGATGAATCGCATGGAGCTGAAAATCATTGATGCTGAAAATTTAAAAGATTTCCTAAACTAGAAATTTACAAAATTCCGTATAAGGCATATTGACTTTCTAAATTGTGATGTATTTTTGCTATAATAAGTTTCTCGTGCAAATGAGTATGATAGATTCTGAATTCACAGTATATCTTTGATAATGCTTTGTTTTTAATCAGAACCGAAAATTAGTAGCACCTGCAACAATTGAATAGCAAAAAGTACACAACAAATTAGTATTGATAGTAAATTATAAAAATATTGATTAAAAATTTAAAATAAAAGTTAGAAGATGCGAGGAGTTTCCGTAATACTAATTGTGATTTTACAGCAAGTTAGAAATGAATGAAAATTAATTCGTTGAATAATCGAACGAACTATTTTCGCAATGCATTCCAGTGTAACCAAGTTTGCAAATGCAGAAGTTCGTATCTTTGTCACCAATACATGTGCCTCGATTATTGCATATTTCATCTTCGCAAATCTAAAATTATTGCAGATATTAAATAAATCGATCAAATCATTGTTGCAATGAATAGAAAATGAGAAATTAAGAAAAGGAAAAATTTGATCATTATTGAGAAAGTAAGTTAAATTTAAGGTAATAATAATGATATGATATAATAAAAGTAATAAAAAATTTTAACTTTCATTTGGAGTAGTAAATTGCCTCAAAAGAATTAATCGATAGGATTATTAATTACTTTAGAATTTAATATTGGCTATGCATTATAACATCAATCCATCTAAATATAATCCTTAACACCTTAGCTACACATTTTACTTTTTTACATTTATTTAAATTTTACTTAATATATTTTTGCTTATAACTAATTAAATCTTCTATTTTCGGAATTAAAATACTTCATGCAGAATATGAGTATAGAATATAAGCGATAGGAGCATAGGTTAAAGTTTACCGCTTCCTCGTCAGTTTTGAGAAGACCCTTTCCTTTCGGCTTCTGCAAAATGCTTATTATATTAAAAAATGTTTAATCATTTCAATCCAGTTTGAAAAAATTTTTTTGTAGGAATAAAATTTTCCAGATGATAGAAGAACATCCGGATCAGGAAATACAGTGTAAATGAAGTTAGGAAGTTTAAAAAGAAAAATTTAAACAGGAATATTTCAACAGAGAATTACTGAAAATATATACAATCCTATTTATTACTTCATCATTTGTTTTGGTTAAGATTGTCGCCATTTCCTTTGAATCTTTTCGCATATCTTTCTGAAATTATTGGTATAAACAATAACTACGCATTTACGGCATAAAATTTTAGATTGTATACATATATATTTTTCCATTATAAAATTTGCTATTGATAATATTCCTATTGCTTAATTTAGTTAATTTTCAGCTAACAGAATTATTTTTTTTTGTAGACTAGAAAATAAACATTTTAGTTCAGAGCTTACTTTTGGAAATGCAATTGTCGTATCGAGCAGAATGAAAAATGCAATGATAATGAAGCAATACAGCATTGTTTTGTTGGCTTCCACAAAAAAATGCGAACAAATGCGACTGAGATAATATTATGAGATAATCGTTTCTTACCTAAATTGCATTGCTATTTTTCTAAAATTGAATTTTCACCACAATTTCGAAAAGAAAATCCATTCATTCGTTCCGATCAGAAACGAGCATTGTCCCATTTTTTAAAAAATGTTCTTCAGTTTTCTTTTTCACCATTTGCTGACCTTATTTTCCGTACATGACTGTTACACATCAACTTTTAACACCCGAATTTGGGACACCTTTCGTGAACAATTTGGGACACCGGTCATTTGCGCTGAACAAAGAAATATGAACCTTAACTGATGAAAACAATCATTCACTCAGTAAAATGATATGATATATTCACTGCTATAAAATACCTTCAGAATTTAATTCATAATTTGGTATAGACATTGTTCTTCCGATCATAATGTGAAATAAATTTTTCTTCTTTTTTTTGGAGGCGAACGGATAAAACTTGAGTCGAAATCTTCGGTTGTTTAAAAATTGAATTCACCGTCATGATACAACATGAAGATGAATTCTTCAGCACGTTATTAAGTTTTTGGAAAAGATGAAGTTTCTACTTGAAAAGATCAGATGAAAAAGATTCTTCAAATGACCACCCTTTAAAGTTACAAGAGTTTCAATTTTTGCAACTCCCTAAATTTTGCTATAGATAGACTGACTTCAATCCTTCAAAGCGATCTCGTATCTAAGAAAGTTAGTACTAATTATTTCAAAGTACCAATCATTTTATCCTCAAAAATCTGTCCAAAATGTGTGCTTCTGTATCTTTCTGTTTAAAAATAACTGTTCAATCACATTTATCTCATTTCATAAAAATAAAATCAAATAAATCCAACGAATGTCATCAAATAAGTAGAAGAGAGAAAGCAAAGAAATACGCATATATGCAAACAAAAAATAAAAATATTATATAAAAATCAGAGAAATTTACAAGCGAAACAGAAAAGATATTAAAACAAATAGTATCAATCGAAGAAACAAATATTAGAATAAAATACCTAACACACATACACACACGTCTTGGAAGAGCTCGTGTACAAAACGATTCGAAGACAGTTGAAAATGAAAAAAATCCATTTATGTAAAAAAGGATGAAAATAATAGAAATGGAACAATAACATGAAGGGAGTATCGCTCACAACAATTTTAGTAAATCATTTTACCATTTGAATTGAATAAATGAAAATGTAAAGTTCTATAATGCATGGGTGATAATCATCGAATATCATTTGATAACAAACGCACAAGAAATTAAAAAAATGCTAAATCTCAATTTCTATTTTGTTACATGGTTACCACATACGACGAATATTTCCTCTTTGTCACATGCCGCCAGCAGTAAAGCGGAAAGAGAATATCATCAAAAATCGAGAAAGAGAAGGAACGGCATCGAAATAAACAAGTAGAAGTTTTTAGCTTCCGATGCATTCCTCCAATTTTCCCACAATATCCTGAATTTATTTCATTTAAAATGAGTATTCATTTTAGGATTCCTTTTATTTCATAAGAAAATGAAAAGAAATACAGTGGGCAAAGAAAAATAATACAATTAATGACCTCTGCTGATGTATGTACATTTTGCAAGTGATTTTTTTGTTCTCATCATTACTATTTGTAGAAAATTGTAATATTTAATGAGCTGACATAACAAACTATCCTTATTGAAATAGTTTAAATCGTTACAAATACTTCTTATACACATACAAGCATTCAAAACAAGAAAGAATTCATCACAATTAGACTCATCGGCTTATACATTCATTTATAGCATTAAAGAATTGAAGAGGAGAACATAAGTAAAATGAAGAAATTATTTCGAAAACTTCGAAAGACATCGAAATTTGAAAATTTTTAGTATTCTAACAATTAAAATTCATTAATAGAAGCTGGCTTCATATAAAACTAAAAATTATTATTAAAAAAAAAAGTTTCCTAAAAGTATTCGAATCAACTGCTATCAACGAATTTCAGAATTTACAAAAAATTTTCTGTAATAAATCCTATAAAAAAAAAAGGAAGGAATAAGCTCATAACTGTTCATCACCCGAGGAAGGTAGAACTTCACCTGCTGATGTCATATCACCGTTCGATCCAACTGATGATGATATACTTCCATCTGTAGATCTAACTATTTTTGATATTGTTGCCGATGCTACAGGTTTCTTATGAGTATCGCGAGTAATAGTATTGCTCACAGTTTCAACTCTATCTTTTCCAACGTCATCCACAAACACAGTTGAGGAACGTCGAAAACTATTCTTCACCCATCGGGCAAATTTATTTATTTTAGTACCAATATCTGAATGTGTGTTTCCGGTTTGTGAAGTGGACAATGCATTGCTTTTCCGTTTCATTTCTTCTCGTAAGGTCTAAAATATTATTTTATCAGAAATATAATAAATTTTATAAATCACAGAAGCTCTCCAAACTTCATTTTCAAAATTTCATAAAACTTCATTTTCAAAACTTCATAAAACTTCATTTTCAAAACTTTTTTTTTCAAAACTTCATTTTTAAAACTTTTTTTTTCATTTCAAAACTCATCTCTTCAACAATTCAGTGTCTGAACTGATCTCAAAAAAAAACTCATTCTGAAACGGTTTAAGAGAAAAAGTCTTTAAAAATAAACGTCGTGTAGCGAAATTTACTGTTACCAACTTAAAGTAAATTTTTCAAACTATACCTGACGAATAATATCCATATCACTAAGTGTATGTCTCCTCCAGAGCTCTCGTCGATCACTCATTTTAACTCGTACTTTTACTTTAGATCTATCAGTAGATGGATTTTTTTCGTCGTAATGAATTGGTGAAGTTGGTACAGTACCCGCTGTTTCAGATTCCGAAAATGCCATATGAGATCGATGAAGCTGCAAGAATTGTCTTTGCAAAGTAACTGTGCATAGTATTTATTTGCAGCTTAATTGAAAATTTTATAAAAACCGAACATCTAAAATCAATTTTCAAGAATTTTTTCCTTCTTCAGATATTTCACTACAATACAGTTCACTTCAGATTTATTTCAAATTTCAATTTAAACGAATCAAAATCCTCTTTCCAAATATAAAAACAAGAGAAAAAATTATTCCTTGTATTATTTATGCCATGCCTTTCCGTACAATAATAAATTATAAATGAATTCATAATTTGAAATACCTTTGGTTGACTTTTTGAACGTTTCTTCTCAGTGATAAGCAAATATTGGCATGACGACGGTATCTCTAGTGTAGTATTTTCCGGATCCCTAGAATCACTGTAGCAGTCTTCACCAGTGGATAATGATGATTCTTGATGAGATCCTTTGAAGTTACCAGAAATTCCGGAGCCAAAATTAAGCTGCGTTATCTGAACAAAAAAAAGAAAAATTAACCGTTGAAAATAAAAACTTCCTAAATATTGAAGGTAAAAAAAATTTTGCAAGTTATAACATTAAATTTTGTTTCAAAGTAGGAAAAAAAATGATATAACAATATCTAATCAATAAAATTTTACATCATACTTGATGTGGTTGAAAGATAATATACACTGCGTATCACTGTATCAACATTATATCATTTCTACTTCATTTTGTGTGAAAATCAGAAATTACTTGCAAATAACTTACATCCACAGATTCTAAATCAGGATGTCTTGGTGATGTGCTAGCATTACGAGTATATGGTGATAAATCACTGGATGCATAATCACTACTTGCAGCTGCCAGATGATCAACACATGAAATAGTAACAGGAATAGTTAGTGGCGCAGATGATGTCGTACTGTAATCAGATGTCAATGACAGTGCATCTGTTGATGAAAAATCTTCCGCTGTTGTCTTTATTAATGGTGCTGGTTTCTGGAAAAAATGCAAATATTGAAGAGTGAAAATTGAATTTTATGAACTATTAAAATTTATTTTTTTATTTGCCAACTAGTTAGCTTGATAGAATAATAAAATCAGTGAAATCAATTTCAAATAACAATGTAACAATATACCTCTATATGAGATTTCTGTGCTAGCGAACGTTTCGTTTTCATTCCCATTTCAACGTCACGTCTTTCAAGTGCAGTAGAAGCCCATCCTTGAAGTTGTTGCAAACGTCGAATCTTCTCACGTGTTTCAGCGCTCAGAACATCAAGAGTGGGCAAAGATGCTAAATTCAGATGTCGCGAATGATTAACAAGATCATCAAGATCGGCATCATCATCTAGATCTGCGTCTGTACCAGCAATAAAAATTCGGCGTGCGGAACAAATTTCCTGAAAATTAAAGAAAATTATTCTAATTTAGATACTGCAAAAAAAGAATTATTTGCGCAATTCATACAGCATAATCCTATACTTCCGAAAAAGTATTTTTCGCCGTCTAAACTGTGAGTCATAGATGCAATACCATCCACAACTTATTTTATCTCAATGAATTTCATAATAAGTTCAAGAGAATCTTACAGTATGAATATTCTAATTGGTCTTCTATTGCTCGATGGATACTACCCAAATATAAAAAGAAGAATAACAAAGAGTTAAAATGAATGTTATAGTTGCTTCGATTACAATTTAAAAGCAGAATGTGGACAATGTGAAAATGACCTTTTGCCTTCGACGTCTCATTTCATCTGCTTCGGTGTAATTCTTCATATTTCCCGCATTTTCATTTTCCGTTTCGCATAAATTGAGGCGAGAAGCTATTGTATGAGATGCAGAATCGTGCAATGAACCAAGTGAGGGTGAATGGTCAGCTGATGAGCTGGTACCACAATACTGTTGTGTGGATCTGACTGGAGTTTTCTGCTGACGTGAGGCTATTTCGGCATCAATATCACGTTCCTACAACGTTGAGAGATGTAACTTCTCAACAAAATTGACATAGATGAATAAAGTGACATAAGTGAATAATAAAAGGGTGGAAAAGATGATTTAACCAAGTTTCTCTGCTAAAATCCACATACTACCCCAAAAGAGTCGATAACCTACAGACCTGATAAACTCCCGTAACTGGATGTTCGCATGTGTTAGCATTACTATCCGGTATCTTAGTAACTTTGCATACATTCTGCGCAGATACAATGCTTGCAGCATTAATCGAATGATCCTGTACTTTCTTCCGCTTTTCACGTTTCGAATTACGTCGAACATTTAAAATTTGCTTAATCTGAAATAGGCAAAATATTTTAACGCTTGTGAATACTTGATTAGCATTTTATTTTTGCAATTTCACCATAAATATTCTTCTCATTAACTGCTGGAAATGTTCAGTATTAGGTACCATCAGAATTTGAATACCATCATCACCTTTCCACTCTTTTGTGCATCCATCAAAGCGATCGCTTCGGCCTCATTAACCCGCCTAATTAAATTATGCATGCCATTGAATGATGTGGTCATAATACCAGAATCATTTTCACTACTACCAGCGGCAAGATTACTGCCCGCAGTAGAATCATTGGATATGGGAATCTGCGGTGGCACATCATCCTCTGCTTTAACATTATCATCGAACATCCAGTCGCACTACAAATGAAAAATTTTTAAACTTCAGAAAGTACTAAGAACGATATATACAGTCAGCAAATAATGGATAGTTGAAGTCTTATATAACTGTGAGGGCTTATAATGAAATAACACGATTGTGACTCCTTTCTTTTATTTATATTTTTTTATTTGTTTAATAGTCGAAACTTTAATAATAAAGTACAATTCCCAATGAATAGGAATTTAAATAAAACCTACATAAGTAATAAATGTTTCAATGATTTTGCATTGATCAGACATATGTGTCACCATGGTAGCCATATTGTCATCGCTAGGCCTCACAATCGATGGACCAAACATTAATGCTAAATTACGCGTTTCCATCTGCAAAATAATGGCTTGATCGATTTGATTGGCAAACAAGAAATTTCAACAAAAAACTTAGATTAGGCTTCAGTCCAATTGTAATCGTCAGGTTGTGTTCACAAATTATTAATAAAAAATTTCCTTGAAAAAAAGTGATGAAAAAAATAATAGATGATATACTGTAGCAGAAAATTAAAATTAATAATTCAATCGTAAATCACCTTATTGACATCGCTATGCTCAACCACCGCTCTTAAATGTCCCATCAAATATTTCAACGTTTCATAGTGAGCAGAAGGAAGTTTACGAGTCTATAAAATAAACATACATTAGTTCTAGCATGAACTTAATTAATTATATTTTCACTTTAATTATATATTTATTTTCAACTTAAAAAAAATGATTCGTCTTCATGACCAAAAAACCTTTTCCATCTAATATTCTTAAAATTTTGAAAAAAAAAAAATGCTACTATTAGTCAATGAGATGTAATATTAAAAGATAACAAAACTACCAAACTGTCCTCTCCGGAACAAATGTCTTACCAAATAACGAAGTTTCCGTAATCGTTGTGGATGGGAAACAATTCGATTCGCATCAATGAAAAATGGATATAATTTATCTGTTAGCAATGGTTCAGGCAATTTACGCAGAAACATTTTTAGCAGACTACTTACGACATTCACATCATTCCATCTTGAATCCGTAAAATCAATCTGGAAGAAAGATCTGAACTTTACAAAATAACATGATCAGGAAAAAGAATTTATACGAATTTAAACTCATAGCAATCTAGATTAAACTGTATTACTGATTGATTAGATGATTAATATCTTGAATTTTTTTTTTTTTCAAAACACTGTTGTCATTTTTGTCTGACATCAAATATCACAATATGCATTTCAAGCAAACTGGCTATTACTATTTGAAAAGAATTTTTCAATGTCCTTTTCAGTGATTGCAAAATAATTTCATAAAGTATTAAATTAGGCTTCTTCATATTTTAAATTGCATTATTTTGCAACAAAAGCTAATTCACACATATTGAACATTATGTTTTTTCTTCATAAATTTTGCCTACTAATATTAAAGATAAAATTTTGCTTAAAACTATAAATATTCACATTTGCAGAGCTACTACTGAGTGTTTCTTTCAACGCATTGACAGCAGCTGTGTTACCCGGAATTCGATAAATACCAACCGTATCCATACCATTTGCTTCTACTACTTTTACACACAATCTGATAAGCAACGGAACCATCTGCAAAACTTCGAAATTTAGCTACAATTTGAAATTTCAATAAAAATTGAAATTGTCTAAAGCAAACAAAATCAAAGTTTAGGAAAAAACGAAAAGAAGAAATACAAAAGAGAAAATTTTCAATTCAGCAAAATGAATGTGATGCAAATTATTGCTGCTTCACATTTAATTTCATCATTATTTAATTTGCAACAAACGCCATGGATGGAATTTTAAGATGAAGGAAAAAAGACTGTAAAGAAGCTTCAGAAATGCAAATTTGGAAATTATATTTTAAGAGCTGTTATGAATAACTCAAATAGTATCAATTTAAATAGTCCTTAACTTGAAAAAATATTGACTAACGAAGTTACGGACACATTGCTCTTAATGATTCAGGTGTGTTAGATAAGTTATATGCAATGAGACCTATTTTTAATGATAATACCTTTTTAATATGTGCTTTATCATCAATATCCATCATTTAAGGTCACAATGATATAATGAAGTGTAGGAGGAAATCAACATTTCTCAAATTAAAGTATTCTTCTTCATTACAGTATCATATCCATCTTTGCTTGTTTATCTTCTCTCTTATTTATAGTGCATCATATTACCTAAGTAATTCGCACACCTATATATCATAAGTAATATAGAGCAACTAAGTGAATTAAAACAATCAAAATTAAAGTAACAATTTACTTCAATCACAAATTCATTGATATCATCACGTACCGCACAATTAAAAAATAAGTTTCTTAAAATCATTATTCAGAGAGTGGAGGAAAAAAAACTTACGTCACCATCACCACTTGTTGGATAATCTACGATTTTTTGGCCTAATGCAGATGAAGGTTGAGATGGTGTTTGATCAGATCGACTGGATGATAACTGCTTCACTGTTTTCGTTTTTTTCCACTTACGAATAGTCTTTGGCGTTGATGTGCTGACAGCTTGATCGTCTGAAGTGAATGAAAACTAAATGCATTGTGGAACAAACGGCATTAGTTGAAAGATTTAAACAAATTTCAGAATTGTTTAGAAAGCTATAATAATTTTACGTATAAAATTGCTGCAACTGATATGTAATAACACACACTAACCATTATCAATTAATTACAAAATTTTAAAATAACTGCAGTCAGAAAAAAGTTATTATAAGAATTACTTCTCATCACTTTCCCTCAAATACCATTTTACTTCTCTAAAACAATTTTTTGAATTTTGCTGTTAATTTCAATCTTAACATTCAGTAATTTCTCATTATTGATCTCATACCATTAGTTGTTGTTGCTCCTTCACTGAAACCAGAACCTGAATCAATGGATGTTCCTGGTTGCATGTTATAATCTATGGATAATCCAGTAGAGCAATTTCGTTTGTTTACACCTGGCGATGGATAATGCGATGATTTGATTTTATATCTAAAACATATTCTGACTGATAAGGATAAGATGCATTTTTCCAATCATCATCACTTTACATTTTATAATATTTTAAAATTAATTCAAAATAATTTAAAATCTTTCTATAATTGAGAGAACTGAGATGGCATATCCGAAATGAAATCGATGAACATAAAAAGTGAAATAAATAAATGATTGCTTCACATTTCTCAAACGATTCCTATCATAAAAATAGCATACCTTTGCATAATCAATTTAGTAGTAGCATCACTGGTTACTTGATCTGTACCAGAAATGCTATTATTTGAATCATCCGTACTATAACGCTTCACTGTGGTAAGAACATGTTTGGTTGGTAATTGGGCTAGATCACTTCGTGAACTACTACTTAATGAGGATGGACCTTCTTCTATTCCTTGTGATTCATATCCATAATCCGTATGAATCCGTGTAGAAGGATTAGATAATGACTGACGTTGATCTTGTTGAAATTTGCCCAAAAAATTCTGAAATTAAATTAAGTTAAAATATTATTAATGAAATCATTCATATCGAAAAAAACTCATTTCATTTAAAGGAATTGAATTTAATATTTATGGAATATTTCACATTCCTGAAAATATTTAAAACTCGATGAATTAGTATCTCTGAGAGTTTCATTTCATCGTGACATATGAACAATGCCTTAACTTTTACCTAAGGTAACTCAGAAATTTAAACCTTTTTCATGACAAGAAGGAAATTCCTACCATTTTAGCGCATTACAAATTGAAAGTTTAAGATTAAATTTCAACTAAATTTCTAGCAAAAAATAAAGAAAGAAAAGAGTGAGAAAAAAGATTATGAGACATTTAATGAAAAATTTCATTTCAAACTAAGGCTTCCTTCTTTATTAAGCATTCTTTTGCAAATTATAACATACTGTAATATTTAACATAAACGCACAACTTTGAGCTTTTAATCTATTAATTCAAAATTTCAATAACTATATTCCAATAGCAACCAATTCATGAAAAAGTTAAAAATAATAAAGCTGTTCTTCATCCTCTAAAAATATAACCTTTGAACTATTCTTACAACTATTGAACTTCCTTAAAAATATAAAAATTCATTCAATAACTTTGTTACTATTATAATCAATTTAATTAATAATAACTGGCAATGAAATCATATTTCATGTAAGAGAAGAAATATACAGAATAAAGAGCACTAGGGAATAGTTAACAAGTATATAATAGTAACTATTCCAGTCACCGCATCTGTTAACACTAAGAGAGAACTTGGAAATTTTCAAGTTTTCAAGCAGCCTTCAACAAATAGATAGTTGTAAGTTACAACAAAAGTAGTTGATGAATTATATTGAAAACTGACAGAAGCAAACAAATTCACTGAAAAGGCTCAATGAAACTACGAGGTGTGGTAAAGTAATGATAACAACGACAGTTATAACAATACTTATAACAACAATTATACCGATATTTCTTCTTCTTCTCCTCCTCCTCCTCCTTTTCTCCTATTTCTCCTCCTCATCTCATCTACGCAAATGACACACATATGTATAATAATTTACCTATCTCTCCCAATTCCAAGTAACCGAAACATTTCATTCATTCCTCAAAATTTATTTGCTGTCAATAATTTTTTACATTAAAAAAGCAAAAAAAGAAATAGAGAGAGAGAGAGAGAGAGAGAGAGAGAGAGAGAGAGGGTGAAAATGGTGGATGAAATATAAGAGAATGTGAAATGAATGAATGAATGTGAAGGATACAGCAGCAGCAGCAGCAGCAGCAGCAGCAGCAGCAGCAGCAGCAGCAGCAGCAGCAGCAGCAGCAGCAGCAGCAGCAGCAGCAGCAGCAGCAGCAGCAGCAGCAGCAGCAGCAGCAGCAGCAGCAGCAGCAGCAGCAGCACATCCTAATTTCATATTTCCTATTAAAAAATGTCCTTGATTTTCAATAATGTGAATAAATCAGACAGACGGACATATAAATAAATAGACCAATACTCTCCCTTGTTACTATTACTTTCTATATGTCATCATTACTATTATTATTATTACTGCTATTATTAATAGTACCATTATTAATACTACCATTATTACTACTACTACTGCTACTCTTACCGATATAGTAATAGTTCAAACATCATTATATCATCATTGTCAACAGCAACAATGAAATTGAAGTTGTTTAATTGGTCCTACTCCACTTTTCAGAGAGTAGACATTAGAGAATCATTACGATTACTTAGAAATTTCATTCACTGGAAATATGCACAAGTAGACACACACACACACACACACACACACACACACACACACACACAGATACATACACACACATACAAATACACATTTTGAAAATTTTAAATTAATACCACTTTCAACATCAAAAAATTTTCCTCTTTCTATCTTTTCTCTTCATCATTCAACTTCACTTACATCAAATCAATTAAATATTTTCAACAAATTTGTCTGTAAGTTGAAAGATAATAAAATTACGACCATATTAGGACAATCATTTTCATTTTAATAGAGGAAAAAAATTGGGTACCCTATTTTATCATCAAATTCCTCCTATAAATACAATTATAGGAATAGCTATATTCTAAGTTAAGTTAAAAATGGAAAGGTAAATAATATTGGTATCTTTACAATAACACTTCCCTCTTCATATCACAACAAATAAATTCACGAATAACTAAATTAAATCAAAAAAATGATTAAATAAGTAAGTAAGAAATCAAAAAGAGCGGACAGTGAAAGAGAGAAATGTTCCGAAGTTATTATTGTTTGAATCATTTTCAAGAAATTGAAATATTTACATGTTACTTTCTTTTCCTCTAAAGACAATAATTACATTTGTTATCTTTAAACAACAAAAATAAATGTTAACATTGATTAAAATCAATTCACATCAATAACTTAAACGAAGTTGATAAGTTAGAATTATTAAATGAATCATAATATCTTTAAGCTTTCATTGAATAAATCAGATGAAATTAGTAAGCTGATAAACTATGAAATTAAGCAATATGTATTTTCCTCTATCATCATTTTAATTGTTTTAATCAATGTTAATATTTATTTCTGTTAAGGCTTATCAAACGTTAATAAAATTGATATGTTTTAAGTATGGGCGAAAAGTTTTTTAAAGCATATCATGATTATCACAAATCACATTGTATTATCTTGAAAGAGAAATAGAAAAATAACTATAGCCATAAATGAAAGAATGATTGGAGAAGACCAAAGTAAGAAACCAATAGAAGCAAACCAAAAGCTATTTAATAGGAAATAGAATTAATGAAGCCAAGGGTACATATTTCTTTCCTCAACGAATAATAGTATGAGTAGAGAAAAGCACGCTGATGAAAATGGCTTAGTCTATTTTCATTCCAATATTCATTCAATCAAATATTCGTTTCATATTGAATAACTTGCCATTCGTATGGATAGCAAGTTATGCTAATGAAGAAAAAAAAATGAGAATGACATATATTCTGGGATAAATGATAAGCGATAAATAAATGAGATGAAAAAGAGAGCGAACAAATAAATTAGCAAAAATATTAAATGAACTCTAAAATGTAAATCGATAAATTTAATTTGATAAATTTAACAATGAATGATATATTTGGAATGGTTAAATATTTCAAAGTAATAAAATTTAGATGAATAATAATAATATGATAGAGAAAGAGACATTCAATTTTCATTGCTATCATAAAATTTTTAAAATGAAAGAATTTCTTCAATTCAATTCAATTCAATCTTATTTCAAATAAAAAATTATTATCAAATTTTACAATTGTATTATTCTTTCTTATAAATCAATAAATAAGAAATAAATAAAATAAACTTATTATTATTATAAAAGTTGAAGAAAACAAATAGGAAATATTTTCTAGTTGAGATTGATAGAGAGAAAAAGATGTTATATATTATGAAAGAAGAAGAAAAAATAATGAAAATAGATATGAATTAGATGAAATGAGAAATCTTATCTATTAGTCAGTCAAATTTCAAATCATCTCTTCCAGTGAATGCTGTTAACAGGAATAAATAATGATACGTTCTGACAAAATTTATTTCAGTATTTTTCATCAAAACAACATTATAAAAAACCGGAAATAAAACATTAAAATTCCGGTTTAAATTGTTCCAACAAAGGTAAGGCAAAGTAAGGTAATAGCTGGCTGTAATGAATGAGTAATAAATATAAAATAAAAGAAGGCATTAGAAAATTTTTCTTTGAAAATTAGATGAATTTTATGGAAATTTTGACGCATTAGATTGTAGTAAAAAGTAGAGATAAAAATGTTTTTAGGCAAAAATAAAAATTTACCATAAATCTGTCACTTCAGAAATGAGAATGTTCACTGTAAAAACACAAGAGAAAAGTAAGTGTACGATAACTCTACGATACCTTCCTATTTTCTCTTCCATTACAGTATAAAAGCTTAGAATTAGTCCTATAAAAAAGTTAATGCCTTACTAATATTAAAATTAGCGAACTTTTAAAAGTGTACTTGTAATAATAGCTAATAAATCTTTTTATATTTTATAGTATAAAAAAATTTTTCGAACTAATACTTTTGTTCAGTTCTTTTCCTTAATTAATATACAAGAAAATGAAGGAAAAAATGTCATAAATAAATAAATAACATCAAAATTTTTATTAGCTAATTGGCAATTATAAGACTATAATATTACATATCAAACCTTTTCACTCGAAATTGAAAGGAATTTGAAGTTTGATTGATATATTTAGTTCACTTAAAATGAGCCTATCTGGCTGCCACTATTAAATTTACTTCTTATTAAAGTAGTGATGAATGAGAAAGAAAGTTTGACTTTTTTAGACATATATAAAATCAATTTCTTTTCTTTGATATACGTAATTTTTCAACTTACAAAAAACCAACAATAATTTTACAAAGAAGAAAAGAAAAGAACCAATAGTATGAAGTCAAAGTAAACTCTAAACATAGCTAATATTCTATTTTATATATTAATTTCATCATTTATTTTAATTTAATTAATCAGAATTAATTATATACCTATGCTTATCAAGCAAAACTTTTCTTCACTGACAATTTTTGTTTCTAATCGATGTTCATATATGTAATTTCAATGTTAACCATAGATTTTCTTCGCTCACAATGTTTGATTTCAACTGGTCACTTATGATTTGAAGAAAGAATTGATGAGATGATAGAATATTATAATTCTAATAATTAAAAGAATTATGCTAATATGTGAAAGATACTTACACATGGATATTAGTAATGTATTATTTGACTAAATCAAAATGTTAATATATCAGTGATAAGCAAAAATATCAAATCAAATTGAATTCAATTTCTAATAAATTAGAAATTAATTATGGATGAATAATAATATTATCAATGAAATTAATGATAATTAGTTTGTGGGAAAGATTTTGAAAAAAAAAGGAGGAAAAAAGGAAAAAGAAATTAATTTTGAGTGAATGCATAATGTTGTTTACAGTTTTCTTCTTTTTCCTTCGTCATTTGGCAAAATAATTACTTTATCTAGCATTACTAGTGGAATGATTAAGGGAGAAATAATGAATTGAATGAGGTAAAGAAAAGAATAATAATAATGATAATAATAATATTAATAAATGATTAATGATTAATAATGATAATAATAATAATGAATAATTAATGCAATAATAATGAATAATTAATAATAATAGTAATAATATCAGTAATAATAATGATAATAATAATAGTGACAATAAGATGAAGAAGAAAGAAGAAAAGAGAATTAAATGTGAACAACGAAAGTATTGGAAGATAAAGGAGGATAAATGAGGAAATTTAATATCTTTCAGCTAAGAATAACATAACGAATATATATATATATTTCTGATAACAAAATGGCAGTTATGTGTTGTAAAAAACGGATATATTTCGAATAGTAAAATGACAGTTATATACCGTAAAATTAATTGGATGCCTAATTATGCCTGTTGCACATTATTACCGGTTATTATTATTGTTACCAAACTTGTAAAGATTAATTTTCAATTCTCATAAAAATTATTCTCAGGAGACTTTTTTCAGGATGTCATGTCCCTGGGTTACTGCGGAAAATTTTGGAATATTTTGAGGTAAATGTAAAAGTGATATGTTAGATCAAGTGATAAATAACGTGATAATTGTTATATTGCCAATAATACTTAATAATTCTAAAACATAAGAATTATCTTCTCAATGAATAGACTAAATAAGAAGTAAAGCTATGTGATATTATTTTACCTGATTATTGATCTCCACAATTACCTTGATATATTATAAAATAATTCTAAAAAAATTTTAATTTTCATTGATTTGTTAAATTCTCCTCTCAAAGGATCTACGAATTCTTTTCATCTATTCAATCAGATAAAATCATAATGGAGAAGGTAGTACCATATATGAAATGAGAGTACCACAAAGAAGAGATGTTATTGAATTGTGAAAGAAGAATAATGGCGAAGGAATATTAAAAGAGATGAGAGGACAGAATGGAACCGGTTAGATTTTCATGGTCACCATCCATAAATATACGTATTGAATTGAATAGTGATGAGACATGACAGCCAGCTGCTGCTAGATGTAATGCGTTTAGTGAGGAAGGAAGTAGCAGTGGACAACTAGGCCTTGGAGTAAATTTATCGGGTATAGGCCTGTCTCTATTTACCTGCCAAACAATCTGCTCTAATTTCTTTCTTTCTTTCCACACATGAGAGAATTGAAATGTATTTTGAGAAGAACGCTGGCACATCATAGGCACAACATTCAGATTCCTATTATCCGTGCATCACTAGAATTGAGATTTGTTGTAGTGAAATGAGCCAAGCCTAAAATCATATTTAGAAATGATGGTGTAATGAATTGCCACAGACATTCTAATTAGTTCATCTCTGGTCACACATATTTCATTTGACATATCACAGGAGGGATAAGTAACTTTTAATGCTTCCGTTAATAGTTTTTCCGGAATATTCAAGCAACTACAGGAAATATGTTTTAGTCATTTGACTTCTTGATTGTTTCCTTTACGTAATAATTGCTTGTTATTCATATATTTCTAATCTGAGCGTTCAAATTAAAATCTTATCCTGACAATTATTACCTAAACAAAGCAAACAATTCGTTGAAGATATTATTATTATGCAAATGTTAAATTTCATATCTATCGATGGTAACCTATATTCATCAAGAACATATAAGTAAAACCAGTTCACGTCGTATTTATGCAACAGAAATTAAATTCATAGCCATCAATTCATCTTATTCGATCATAACAGTATGCTGCTAAAGTAAATAATTGAAATCATGTGATCGATGAGATATATTTCAATAATTGAATCAATAATAAGTTAGTGAGTCAGACAAATGTACCAACTCATCCATCCAGTCGGTTATCAGCTAATCGATTGTCAGCTAATCAAACAACACAGATTGATGTGTGGTTCCTTTCTTTTCATAACAATACCTCTCGTCCAAATTTTTTTTTAAAACATTCTCTTCTCAAAAAAAAAAGTTGAAATCGTTAATGAATAGCAGTATCTATTCGAGTACATATTCCAGTAATTCATTTCAGACAATTCTATTCGAGTATATATTCATTCCAGTAATTAGTATATATTCATTCCAATAATTCATTCTAGATAATTCTATTCCAGTATATATTGATTCCAGTAATTCATTTTAGACAATTCTATTTGAGTATATATTAATTCCACTAATTCATTTTAGATAATTCTATTCGAGCATATCTTAATTTCAGTAATTCATTTTAGCTATTAATAGAAATTATTGAATTAAATCAATGGAAAAGCTATTAATTGAAGAAATAATTATGAAAAACTGAGGAGAGAAATATAACAATTTGTACATTTATTGTTAATAGTAATTATGTAAGATAATAAATTTTTTTTAATCAATTTTTATATCATTAATGAATTCCAAGAATTTTTTTAAAAAGATAAATTTTCTAATCGCTTGCTGATAATACAAATATTATTTCAATAACATATCAATCAATCATTGATTCAATTCATTAATGTCACATTACATACCAATGAATTATCAAAATTTCAATTTCATTTTTTACTCATTTCAAATGATTCTTAGGTAAAATTAAATAATTAATAAGCGAAATATAAAGCGATGTGTGGTTTGTGGTAAAGATTTGACGTGTGTGATTTTATATTTTGAAAGTTTAAATTTAACATTAGATAAAATTAATAGCTTTTAAAAAATGATGCTGAAAATAATTAAAGTAGCTGTAAATTGACGTGAATTGACGTATCATTTAATGACGTCGAGAATAAGACATTGAAAATGAACAATTTTCCTCTTATCACTTAACCGATCAATTAGCAATCATATCTAATGAGCAAACTTTTTTTTCAAAAAAAGAAATTGGTGATGAAATGTGAAGATAGATAGATAGATCTTTACTTATTCGTTAATAATTCAAAACCGATCCGTGGTGATAATTTAATATAAATAAAATTAACTAATTTTAACTAATTAATTAACTAATTAACTAATTTTATTTACATTAAATAATTCTAAGAATTTCAATAAATTTTTTATGCAAAAATATATATTTCAAGAAAATCCGGAAAAATATTCAGAAAATGATTTAAAATATCTAAAATTATGAAAATAGCTGATAAAATAATTTATGTGAGCGATTAATAATGATTGGTTCAATTTCATTCTTTCCAGATAATGAAAGTTATTGAATTTTAAAAAATAAATAAATATGTCTCAATATTAATTACCCTATAAAATTATGCCTATAAATCTAATCTCAAAATGCTCTAAGAATATCATTACAATAAATTATAAATATATTTTTTAAAAAAAACTATTCTTCAAGAATATCATAAAAGATTCCATAAATAATCGTTCGAAAAATTCAAACAATAAGCTAATAAAAATATTTTCTCAATTCTTCAAACTTCAAATAATTTTAAATCAGATAAGTTGTGAAAAAAAATGACTCACCGTATCATCGGATTCTAATTTCGAAGCAATCGACCAACTTTTTGAAACATTAGGGGATATCTCAACATTACTTGTAATACCATCAGAAATGACACCGTGATCACTCTGTGAATTGCTCAAAGTTGATGATGCAATCCGGATAATTTCAATCCATTTTAACATATCATCTTCACTGCAATAAATATTAAGATATTATGAATGATACTAAAAATTGCATCTGAAATTGATCATATATGGAATCATTCTCTCTTCTCATAAACAACGAATAAAGAAAGTACCAATAAAATTATCAAATTATATGTTAAATATTTTTCCTTCCTATATCAAAACTCTTTAAAAATGATATTAAAAAATTGTAAAATATATCGTAAAAATGATTGAATTCAACTATAAGGTTAATATGGCCCTTAATATCTTAATTAGTATTAAAATTAAATTAAACATAAATTATGAAATAAAATTAAAGATATGATTATTTTTCTTTTCAATGATTACATTGAATCATCATATCAATTGCAATCTGAGAGAATGTTATTGGAATAAATCATTCAAATGATTTGATTGCTATTTGATTGTCAACTATGAATTAAAATATCTCACCAATAAGTTTGAAAATGATGTTCAGTTTGTTGTTGAGTTATTACACGAAATACATGCGTTTTTTTGTTATCTTTTGGACGCCAATATTCATATGCTATATCGACAATTGCTGATTTCAAATCAATTTTACGAGCATCCGATGGAATATTCAATAACTGCAAACCATTATTGATTAATTATCATTTATCAATTTCTTTATCAACTAACTATTATTATCAATAAGAAATCGAAACCAAATTCAAGGCTAAATTAATTGAGCAAAAATTAATAAATTAAACAATTGGAAAAAAAATCTTTTTGAAATTTTAATAATTTAAATAAAAAGAATAACAGTCAACAGTGAAAGAAGTGAAGATATTGAGATTTATTGAAAAGAGCAGATAATGATATAATTAATTTCAGATTTTAAGATATGATAAGAAATTCTTTCTTATCATTAAGACTTAAGTCTAACCTTTCTTCTTTCATGCGCTTTCTCACTATCTTTAATCTATTTTTTCTTCCTCTTCTTTTGCACTAATAAAAATGAATTAAATTGAAAGAACGATTTAAGATATATATAATTATAGAGAGAGAGAGAGAGAGAGAGAGGGAAAGTAGTACTAGATATTAATGAACAGAAGAGTAGTATTTCAGTTTGACTGGTAGTTACAGAAAAGTTTTATCATAGCTAAATAAATAACATTTCAATTTAAATTTATAGTTAATTAAAACTAATTTGCGCAACTAGAGATAATGAAAATGAATTTAAATTAATTTCATTAAATTCTATCATGCATACATATTTACATGTTTATTAGCACATGTTACTGTAAGCAGATATAGCAAAATGAAAAGCGAAAAACAAAAATTTAATTAAATCTATAGAAGAGATGCATTTGGCTGGTAGTGTTTGTTTATTTATGCTTTGTAGCAACTCAGGTGACATTAAAATTACTCAAAATCTTCCGATGAAATTTCAAAAACATAATATAACCTTATAATTACTAAGTACCATTTAAAGTAAACCTTACATTGAATACTTTAACAGGTATTTTAAAAAAATTATTCGATAATTTCTTTTTTTATTTTCAATTATTCTGATATTAAAATTTATTGGGAGATGGTAGACACGTTATTTAGTTTTAGATTTTTAAGATGAAATGAAAATTAATTTAAATTACCGTAAAGATTGGTGTGGGATCTAAAAGTAAAAAATTTACGGCCCTCATATCATTATCCTCAACTAATATTTCTTTTTGATGAAGAAAAACAAATAGGAATAGATAGGCGTAACTTCTATTACCGTACTGTTATCATATATCAGGTAAGCAAACTAACTATAAATATTTGTTAAGAATCAATTAGGCCAACGTATACTCTCATCTAAGAAGTCTTTTCAAGTATGAGCCAAAGTACAATGGCACATTTGTTTAGTTTAAATATGATTCGTTTCACTTTTCCATCTTTTCTCATTCAATAATATTATATTCAATATGTACTTCACTTTGTTTATCAAAATTGAATTGGAAATATCAAATGCATATTTCATTACCCCATCTCTTATCTTTTCTGATATTCCTTTATAACTTCACTTATTTGTTTATCTTATTTGTTTATCTTATCGTCCTCATTTGTACTATGATATTTCATCCTATTACTGATAATAAAAATTGGACGTTAAATTTCGCTCCAAAAAAGAATAGTATGAATGTAATAACAACACAAACTTCCATTAATACATATAAACTCAATACCTTTTTTCCTATCCGATAATCTTCTAAAATCTCTGCCACTCATCGAATTAATTACCATTGTTAATGACAACACTTACTAATATTAATTATACCAAAGTAACCCAAACTGCCAACAATTTTAACACTTTAAATAAGTTAATAAATAGTGAAATTAAATTGCATATATTAAAAATTGAAATTTTTATAAAAAAATTGTAAAAAATCAAACTTCTTGATGCGTTTCATCGCTTATATGGGAGCTCAATTGACAGCAAAGATATAATTCTGTACCATAAAGCACTGCCCAATATGTTGTCCATTTATGTCGGTCATTTTTCAACGGTCCTCCCATGGCTACTTCCTATAAAATGACATGTCATTCAAACATTGTTAATTTGAAAAAGAAACAAAAATATTCCAAACTATTAACTTCCTTATTTTATCAATACCTGAAAAGAAATGCTTTTAAAGAATAAGAGAATTTTTGCAGAACATAATGATTGAACGTAAATTAAACTTACAGTCACGTAAATTAAACTTACGTCATTCAAAAAAGTGAATGATTTAAAAAATAAGCCGTAATGAAGAAGTTATATCACCCAATGGTATATAAAGAAAAATTAAAAATGTTTAATTTTTTCAAAACTTAAAACGTCCACTAACTTGATGCATAAGTTGACCCTGTTTTTCAACATCACGTCGTGGTATCGGTGTAATTAATGATAATGCACAAATTGGTGTGGTAGTTGCTGTCGTTGAGCGTTTCAAACGACGACGAGATGAAAATCGCACCGAAGTGGGTTCCGCACCGAAGTGGGTTGCTTCCAAATGTGTTGTTGTCTATAACAATTTCAAAAAAATAAAATCTCAGTATGTATAAAATCCTTATCTTCTGATAATCTGATAATGAATAATTAATTTCTCAGACATTAACTTTTCAGTGATAAAAAAAGAAAGTACTGATAAGATTATAAGCTGGTGCGAGCATAACAGCTGCTAAAAATTGTTTTTTTAAAAAAAGAAAAAAAGCAAAAATATTTCAACAAACTTTTTTTTCATTTCTAAGGGACCAAATCATATATCTGTCTATTCAATGTATAATTTTTAACTATTTATATCTAAACTCTAAACTATCGAATGTATCTCAAATATTTTTTTTTAAATAATTATTTTCATACATTTATGATAGTTATTACAGTTATAATACTATTACTTATTGCTAATGAATATAATCATGATAATATATTATGAATATTGATAATTTTTCTAACTATTGATTCTACTGATCAAAATATATTTTACAATATTAAGTGATAGAAACATATTTTACATATGAATAGTTTCATACATTTATGGTAGTTATTACGGTTATAATACTATTACTTATTTAATCGCGCATTCCTCAAAAAAGTATTTTCTTTTTTTGTATTTTATACTTGAAATTGAATACATCTGTAATTTATATCTATCAGCGACAAATTAGTAATTATTTATAAGTAATATAACAAATTAACTAATACCGGAGTATCATTGGAAGAGAAAAAACTGATGAAACGTTGAATTCGATGCGTGGTTACTGGTACGTGAACGCTTGTCGAAGCGCTATGATTAGGAGCATAAAATGTAGAAGATGTTGTTTCGGCAAGTATCGGCGTTGATAAACCTTCACAACTACTACAGTGTAATTTCCTTGATGATAATACACGCCTATAAAACGATTTTTTAAAAAAATATTTTTCAAAATTCTTTAAAATTAACAAAGAGAAAAAAATCCAAATGTTGCAACTTTTCTTGAATAAAACAAGAAAAATCATTTAATAGTTCCAATTTTTATTTATTAAACAATCATATTAGAACTTTTATCCAAAGTTCTACACAAGCAATTATCTTAATTAGATATTATCTTAAAATGAATGATATCAACGATATCTTATAGAATTTGTACAATAGAAGTATCATAAGTATCACAATAGAACTTTGTCAAGTAATAATATGCCTTTCTTTTGAAATCATTTAAAATATTTCAGATAATGAAAATGCTTCTTCATTAGTTAAAGTAAAATAAATAAGACTGTCTTATTTACTTTTGAGAAAAGTTACATGAAAAAAATGCCCTGAAAATTTTGATGAAATTCACTCAGTTTACAGTTGAAAATTTTTGTTGACATTTTGTGTGAAAGTTCTAGAAAATGTAATCGATCAAATGATAGACAGGTATAGACTGCTGCCACATGCTTAAACATTTATAGATTTAAACAATGAAAAAAAAAACATGAAATAGAAATTTTGAATTTAATCATTTATGATTTCATTCAAACTCTAAGAGCAAATTTTTAATTGAAATAGATTTTAATTGTAATGAAATAATTTTAACAGTTTTTTTGTTTGGCTAAGAGAGAGAGAGAGAGAGAGAGGGAGAGGGAGAGAGAAATTAAGAGAAAATGATGGCAATAAAAAGTAAAACGATGTGAAATATGCTTAAATGTAATAAGAAGGTGTAAAAATTTTGCACGAAAAGCTGTTAATGGCTGGCTGGCTGGCATAAAGTAAAGAGAAAAGAAATTTTTACGAATAAATTAAATATAAATAAATTATGCGAATTTCATCACTTTTCAATCTATTTTCTTTTCAGTCTATCATATCTTTCATTATTCAAACAAATTTTATATGAAATAAAAAAAGACAATTGCGCTTTCAAGGTCATTATTCCTATTGTAACATATGCGCTCATAAATGTTTTAGCAAAATTGCAAGAATGTTAGAATTCTCATATGAATTCTTCTTTTATCAAATAATAAAACTTTTTTTAGACAAAAGAAAAGTGTGCAAATGAATTATCATTTTTGAAATGAAATAAATTAATTGACAGATATTTTATTACAAATTGATTATTAATTATATGCCAGAAATTTGTGAATAATTTATTTCTTCTAAATATGTTAATTAACACTAAATGCCATTAATTAATGAAATTCTGTTTTTTTTTTCTTTTTTGATTCTAAATTGAAGGAATATGTATTGTTTGAATTATTCTTAATAAATGCTTTCATTAAGAAATTATGTTAATTTTATTTAGAGAATAGCGAAAGTTAGCAAAATGAACTGAATTATGGTAATAGTTAAATTGGGTGAAAAGAATGTTTAGCGGAAATTATATACTATTGGTCAAGGTAAATTTAAAATTTTATTCATCAATTTGTACAACACGTTCAATAGATACAAATAAATATTCAACAATGCTTTATGATAGGATGGCGTATGGATGGATTGATGGATGGAAAACGGACAAGGGGGAATAGGTAAGAATATATAATAAGGTCGATTTAACCTAACCATAATGTCCATGCCCGTTTTCATTCATCATTTTGCGCTTATGTATTATTTATCTATCTATCATCATACAATCTGATGTATCACAATAACTGTGTGACAGATAAAATGAATCAAATGTTATGAGATTTTTTTTTTTTGGTTTGGAAAATATCTCATGACAATGGTACCGGGGAATATTTCAGTAGAATTATATATGGCTTTATATAGACATTTTATTCTTATATCCCCCAGTATGATTTTCTTCGATAAATTTTTATGTCTACCAGTAGCGACTCTCGGGAAACGTTTTCTTCAATAACATTCTTATGTCTACCAATGGTGATTCTCGGGAAAGAGAAAGGTGAAATGAACTAAATCTCCACGTCCAATTTTATTTTAAAACTTAACTTAACATACAAAAAAAATATTTTCTTGTTCCTACTAGCACTTAACATATCGATGAGTTCATTCTTCCATTTCATTTTACTGAATGATAACGAAGAAATTTTTTGCCGAAGGAAGAGAAATATGAATTTTTGATTTGAAATGGCAGCTTTAAAATTCAATTCTATTTTAAATGATGAGGAAGAGAGAGAGAGAGAGAGAGGGAGAGAGAGAGGGAGAGAGAAAAAGAAGGTGAATAACCCATTAATTTAGTTAATTTTAGATTTCTGAGATTTTTCATTCGTTTGAAAAGAATTTTCAGAGAATAAACAAAATGAATGGAAAAAAGTATTTTGTGAATGGAAATGGTTTATATAAATTAATGCCAGCAAAATTTGAATGTAATTTACATATACACAAATATGATCGAGCAAATTTTCAAAAATAAATTGATGAAAATTTTGAATTTAATTCGGAAGAAGATGAAACAGAAGCTACTCAACAGGAATCGATCGATCAAGAAGAAGAAGAAGAAGAAGAAATGAACTCAACAGGAATTGATCGATCGCAATGAAATGATAACAAAGAACTGAATTATAAAAATGTTGCCAATTATTTCACAATCTATCGGGAAAAAAGAAATTCACACTCTTTGCTCTTATCTATTTCGTTTGAAATAATTCCAATCAAATATCATCATTAAATCAATGCGGAGAATTGACATTTATAGAAATTAATCTTTTCAGTTTTTTGTTCTTTTTTAAAATTCATGAAATCATTCAAATATAACAACAATAAAGAGAGAATAATTCAAATCCCTTTTTGTTGACCTCTTTATTGACCTTTTTCACCTCTAATCAATGCACTTTTCTTGCGAAAGAATAAACAAAAATAATGAGGAGACAAATTAGGGAAAAACAACCAAATTTGTCCGTATCATATGATGTGTGTGTGTGTGTATGTGCTTGTCTGTTTGTGCGTGTGTGTCTGTGTGTTTGTCTGTTTGTGCGTGTGTGTGTTTGTGTGTTTGTTTGTGTACATGTGTGTGAAGTATGTGACGACAACAGGAAATGCCGGAGAATGGCACCGAAATGGATGACAACTCTCTATGATATCATTATTATTATCGATAACTTCTTGATTAGCTGCAAAACCTGACTTTATAACAAACATAAATGGAAACAGATTAGAAGACACAGAATAATAATTCCCGAGAATAATAGTCCCCGCTCTCCGAGAAGTCTTTTAATCCATAAAAAAGTGATTGAGGTATAATTCATTTCTTTTATTTTGAACTCAAATCAATCTCTTATTCTAATGTACTATTTAAAAATGTATTTTTTTAGTTACATCGAAAGAAAATGTTAAAATTGTTTAATTAGTCCCAAAAATTTGCACTCCTCTCACGCTCTTATCTCCTCTCTCATTTGCGCCCTTATCTCAAAAACCTAATATTTATAGGACCTTCAAAATACGCTTATATGACGTATATGACGTAAATTGCTCGTTTGAATAAAAACAACGCAAACAAATAGAAGAATGGAATTATGCTATACGTATGTATTCGAAAATTCTAAATTCTATGAAATGCGAAATTTAACTTATATTAAGATTTCATTGAGATGTTTCGAAATTTTTAGGAATTTTATTTCAATTTGAATTTCAAAAATTTTAAAACATATTTTAACAATATTAGCAATAGCCGATGTCCACCCCTTTCTACACTTACAACATTTTCAATTCATTCATTTCATTTCTGATATGTCATCTTAATTCCCTCAATTATAGAAAGACTTTAAATTATTTTGAATTAATTTTAAAATATTATAAAATGTAAAGTGATGATGATTGGAAAAATGCATCTTATCCTTATCAGTCAGAAAATATTTTAGATATAAAATCAAATCATCGCATTATCCATCGCCAGGTGTAAACAAACGAAATTGCTCTACTGGATTATCCATAGATTATAATATGCAACCGGGAACATCCATTGATTCAGGTTCCGGTGTTAGTGAAGGAGCAATAACAACTAATGAATGGTAAGATATCAATAATGAGAAATTACTTTACTGAATGCTTTCCGGTTAGGGCTGAAATGTAACAGTAAGAGGAAAATTTCAAAAATTGTTTTGAAAGAAATTTTTTGACTTCATTTTTTACATTGAATTACAAAAGTCTTATGTATCCATTTAGTATGAATTTCTCTATAATTTTTGAAGTTTACTGATGACTAAACATTCTATTATTTCAAACAAAATTTATTAAATCTTTTACTTTTTATTACAATCAATATTTTCAATTTATTTTTGTGAGACAATGACACACACACACACACACACACACACACACACACTCATCCATTGGAATTGCTTGCAAAAACTTCCATTTATGATTTTACTGAAAGATTTCAATATCACAATTTCAATTTATCCTCTTACCAATCAGAAGAGCACATTTCCGAAAATGATATATTCAAAAAAAAAAATGAAATACTAGGATAAGAACTGAAATGAAGTTCAGAAAGTTAAAATGGAATGAAAATATGATTGATTTTGTTTCTGTTGACTTATTAATCTCAAAATTAGTTAAGCAATAAAATCTGAAAATAAATGAAGCATAAAGTTAAATGGAATGGGCTTAATATGGAAATCAGAGAATTATTCAATCCATCGAATAAATTTCTTTTTCCTCCATCTATTTGTATTTAGAGGTAGTAGTAGTAGTGGCAGTAGTATGCTTTCCATCCTCACTAATGAATGAATAAAATTAGATGTCAACTAATGAGGAAAGACTATGGGAAATGATTTAATTGAGCAAATCTAAACGTTGATAACAATAAACACAATTTACCGCTCATAATAAATTCAAGTTGATTTTACAAATATCACCGATAAATTTAGATACAATTAATCAGTAGTAGTAGGAGGAGAAGAAATAAAATGAAATGAGCAATAATTGTCATGGAAAATTGTTAAGGTAGAATAATTTCAACAGAAAAAAGAAAAAATGGAAGTTGTTGCAAAAAAAACCGAACAATTTAAAAATATTGGCAGCCGATAAATAAATCACTCAATGGAGGTTAAATGTTTCATTTATTTATTTTTTGTTTTAAATTTAAAGCCTAACTTTTGTCTAGTGGAATGAAAAGATAGAGAAATATGTATTCTAAATATGAAAAGGGTAGTAATTTCATTATTTTTAACTACCAAACACTTCCCTCTCTCCAATCATATGAATGATGATGAATTTGATAAATATAAACACAATCATTTCAACGAATTGAAACATATGGCCTAAAAGAAGATGATATGAAATTTTGTAAAATTAAACTAAATATTTTTTTAAATTAAAATGAATATATCACAGATATTTGATGTTCAGATAGTAATTCATCAAAGTATATTAAATATTAAAAATTATGTGTCGGTGTCTGTGTCTGTATTGAAATTAAATGAAGATCACAATATTACATATATCGCTTGTTGTACATATATATATATATATATAAAGAGCTTCTCTTTCCCTTATTTCTCCTAATTAGCAATAGAAATTATAATTCCTAATTAGTCTAACTATACAGTGATTCATCTTAGCGCAAAAGATCAAAGTTGATAAGAAAAAGGTATTTGAAGAAGCAATGTCGAATAAAAGCTTCAAGTAGCAACACACACACACACACATATTGCGATATCATTTCAATTACGTGAACGATCGATATATCATTTACAAAAGAAATGTTAAGATAGTATTGTGGGAAAGTTTCAACGCTCACTAAAAAAGATCTTACTCTTTCCATTTAAAATTTTCTTCGAAAAATTAGTTTAGCAAGCATTTTTATTGATATTTGCGATTTCACTCACAATGCTTTTAACTTGCGTCACTTAGACATCAGTCAACTTTGTCAACTGAAAGGATTATCCATTATTCCTAGAGGAAAATCTCTAACTTCTCATTCTTCGAAAATATTATTTCATAATATTATATAACATAGCAATGTTAATCAATGATATGAATGAGCCTAGTTATTTCTCAATTAAATTATACCATTTCTTGGCCAATTATTAGATAGGTAAGTAAGTGTTAAAATTACTGCAAAAAGTTTTACATTAATTTTAAATTTCAAAATAAAATATTCAAAAAAAAAATACTAATCTTCAATTTATACAAAAGAAAGATTTTAAAATCCTAAAAATTTTAATATTTGAATAATTTGTTGGGTTAGCTGATTGAATTGATTAATTGCGCTTCTATTTGAAGTTACTTTTATCATTTCTGTAAAAGATTAAAATATCATTTAATTCTTTCTATTCAAATTTTAGAGCTTTTTGACGAGGGAAAAAGACAAAGAAGGGATGGGATTAGTTTACTTTTGTTCTTTCATTCATTCTCTTTATTTCCATCATCAAATCGAAGTTTGAAAAATGAAACTAACTTGACATCTGGTGATGATGCATTTTGGATTACAACTGAATCACCACTACCCGATAATGGTAAACCAGAGCTTGTAGCCATCACATATGATTTGGATCGCCGTCGATGTCCACATTGGGATTCATTGAAATTATTACCAATATCGTTGAAGAGATAAGATAATCCTGAAAGAAAATAATCAAAATTGAACATGACACTAATTTCAATGACCTATTCAGATTAAGATGAGAAATCATCGACCTTCTTCTCTTTACTTCCAGCCTCTTTATCTCATCTCCATTAATAACATCTATCAATTTTTGCTTTTTGATTCAATACCATTTTACATCTTATATTTACAACAATATATCAAATCTCTAACAATCTATCCTCAAAACTAATTATCCACTTTATTTAATGAAGCTAATAAATGATATGAAAAATTAAACTTCCTTTAAATATTCATATCAGAATGAGAAAGAAAATTTATGCAATATTAAAATAACAAAAACGACTTGCTTTTAATAAATTCATCAAAAAAATTATCTCACAAAGGGGATATTTCTAGCGAGAAGTTGAATAAAATTATTCTTTCTATCTCAACAATATTTGATAGTGCCACCTTAAAAACTTTACATCTTTACTTCACACAAAACGCTGGCAATAATAAATTTCATGGAAAACAAAAAATAATAATAAACAAATCAATTTCAGTGCTAATTACAAAAAACTTTTATCACTAAAAACGATAAATGATTGGTAGAAATATGTAAGAATAAATTTAGTTGAAAAATATTTCCAGTAAATTTATATTTTATATATTTTTCATCCGAAAACTAAACAAAATACTTTTCTATATTAATAAGTATAGCATTGATTTATGATTATAATTTATATAGTATTTCAGTAATTTAATACATTACATGAGAATATATCATCGAGTCTCTATACTCTAACAGATTACAGACAGAATAATGATTATTACAGAATTCAAATTCTGGTAACAAATGAATCAACAAAAAACAAAGACTGATAAATTACTTTAATTTCAATTAGCAAAATTTATTATTATCATTATTATTATTAGATATTTTTGAAGAGAAAGATGGAAATTTCTTAGACACATTTCTTCTATAATTTTATTTTTAAAATAAAAAAAAAAGAAACGAAATTGTTAGAAAAGAAGAAAGAGTTTATCAGGAAGTTGAAAAGCAAATACAACAACGTCAATCTTCTTCTTCTTAGCATCTTCGATAATTATCAATGAAAGTGATAGCAGAGAGACTAAAATGCCTTCAATTCTATCACCATCACTTTGTAATACATCTGAAATTGTTTCTTTGTTCCACAAAATTTCATAAAATTTAAAGAGAATTGAAAATCACACGATCATAAATCAGTGTAAAATTAGCTACTACTTGCAGCAATCGCAATAGTAATAGAGGAAGAAGTAACATGAAGAGGCAAGCAATAATAGTCTAAAAATGCCGATATTAAATGATAGGAATATCTTTGAAAAGAATTTGTTCAAATTCAAACTTCATAAAATCAAACATGAAAAATTACATCTCTTTGATTAATTTGTTGAGAAAAAATTTTTGAAATTATTAAGCAATAAATTAATGTAACGACTGACTGACTGTTAGAGGAATGAAAATGATTAGTGAAAGGATTTTATCCGAGAAGTACCAGACATATATCATTTATCAAATTTTAATAAAATATCTATCCTTAATATTCTTCTTCCAATCATTTGTTTTCATTTTGCTAGAAATATAAAATGACGCAAATATTTCTGAATGATTATTTAATATAGAAATTATCAAAATTCGTTAATTCAATTACAATTATAATCATAATTCAGTGTTACTGAATTAAGGTAATTTAAATGCTATAATTATCATTTCAAAAAATGACGATAATTGTACTGTATTAATTGTATTATCATAAGCACCCTGCGATAAGTTTTGCTGATAAGAAACTGAAGTTAAATAAGTCATCGTACATCTGATAATTGAAATAAATTAAAAAATAAGGCAAAATTAAGATTATCAGTAATACCAGTAACATATTTTAACTATCTCAAGTAAAAAAACAGATGAGCTGCATGAAATCACTAAGAACATAAAGTAAGCGTAAATAAAACTTTCTCAGTCATTCAACAAAGCCGCTTTTATCCTCTTCCCTTCTCCGCTTTCCTACACCACACCACCACATCTACCGAATATTTTTCTGCATTTTACTCATACAGCAGCATAACGATAAATAAGTTCAAGAAAAAAATGCAAAAAAGTTTTTTCAGTTATCCATCCTTCCGAACAATCAATTATTTTTGTCAGTTAATCTCATTTCCCGAGAGAATAGAAATTGAGAGTTATTTTGGTATGCGTGAAAAGTTTCAACAAAAACAAAATGCAATGAATAGAAAACTAAACTGTATACAATGTAAATATAATAGTTTATAGCAAAATCATTTTAGAAAATTGCAAAAATAATATTTTATGAATTTTAAAATATTATTTTGAAACAAATAAAATGAAGAGGAAAGAAATTTGATGCCACCCGATTTTTAACACTCTTCCTAATTCTCTCCCTAATACTCTCCCTATGCTTTCAGATGATATTTGACTGCAAGAAGCACCTGGTAAGTTTAAAAGAACCAAATAATACATTCCCAATAAAATTTAAGGAATATTTCCATCAATTGGCTAGAATCACCGATCATAATCGAGAAGTGTTGCAAATAATAATTGAGCTATTTTATTGAGAAATTCCTACTTGAAAGCAATTGTTTAAAGTGAAAGTTTAATTGATTGATATTTTATTAAAATGAAAGACAGTCGATAAAATGATAAAATGCCCATTTGCTAAGAGCAAAAACCTTATCAGTCTTAAATGTTTTTTAAATCCATTATATCAAATGATAAAAGTACTAGAAAATTAAAGTGAAGAGGAAAGAGGAATAAGTTGAATGGATTTCTATAAATTTTGATTAAAATTAAGGTAGTAATGAAATATTGAAATTTGACATTTTAGTTTCACAAATGTCATAGTTGACGATTTTTTTTCATTTTTTCACCTCTCATTTTTTCAACTCGATCGGTTTTCATGCTAAAATGTACCTGAGCGCACCTGAGATAAATGATATGAAGTGAATGAAAAAAAAAACGATTAAAAAGAATTGTGAATTAAAAAAGAAAGAAAAGAAATGGAATTAATAGTAATTTCGACATGGTTAAAGTTATTCACCTCAATATGTTACCTGAAGGAAAATAGGTATGGCCACAAGGAGAGATTACATCAAAGAGGGTTTAGTGAAGCGTATTTACTTGAGACATATTTGAGTTGGAATCGTAATAGGGTCAGAGAAGACGAAAATTTCATCAGCAACAACAGGAATGATATTATTATAATACATAAAACTTTTTCATTAAACTGAATGTGAAATGTGAAAGAATCAAATACACGCCTAAAATATAAATAATAAATCTAATTCAAATTCTAAAGTAAATAAAATCTTCCCCCAAAAAAGACTTCAGTTTTGCAAAAGCGCAAATATTTAAAATTTCTTTCATTAATTTCTAACCACCAAATTTTTATTTCAATAATTATCCGAAATAATGATAAGACTCCGATAAATGAAGTTTAAAGGAAGTGTGAAGATAGGAAACCAAAATGTAGAATAGGAAGAAAGAAGAGAATATCATTTTTGATTATCCAAATTGAGAGGAAAAGTGAGAATATTTAAAAAGGACTGTAAATAACACGCAAATGTTAAGTTGTAGGAATGATAATGACCTGTTTAATCTAACCGCCCAACAATATCATCATCGTTTTTCCTATAAATAACCTTTCTGTAGACCAATAAATGAGTTTTTGAAAATTTGTCCACTGCTCTAATCTATGAATATGGCCAAGGGGGAATATATGGCCACTACACTGCGAACTCCTTCCATTTTTTCTCCTTTCTCTTATCAGTGAAACCATTATCATTATTAACACTACTAACACCATCGCTATTTTTTCATACAATATTTTCTACAACAAATAAGTTATCATTGACTTCATTTTTACTACACTGCGAAATCCTGATCACTTTCAACTTTTCGTAAGTGTTGCGGTAAATCTACCGATAAATCATTCCCTCAATGTTTAAATTACAAAAGAATTATCTGAATATAATCTTTTTTTAAGAAGAAAATTTTGTAATATCAGGTCAACTGGATGGGAATTCAGTAGTGATGGAAAAGAGAATTTATGAATACTATGGTAAGATGAAAGGATAGGCCTATGTTGCTAAAGATGTAGAAATTATGAAGGCAAAAAGCTGTATGGTGTTAAGTGATGACTAGATGGTAGCAATGCTATTGCTGAACCTGCAAATAATTAAATGACCACCTGCGGCTTACAAACCCTTCACCCATATAAAAACCCTTATTCTTCTCACAATCACAAAGGTCATCCAGAACAAAACGCAACACCGATATATCCCGCTGTGTAAATACTTTCATCTCTTTCACGATTGTCATCATCACAATCACAATTCTTTCTTAGCATTATCATTTACCTTACTGCCACCTGTTATTATCAACATTTCTTTAAGATTAATATTACTACCACCAAGAAGTGTACACAACGAAAACTTTCAGGTGAAAAGTTCCAACTGAAAAATTTAAATCACTTTATGAAAGTTATTTATACAATCTAAGATTAGGAAATCCTAATAAATGATATTTAGAAATACCATTTAGACCTTCTTCTTATCTTTTCCAACTTTCTTTCTCTTTGAAAATTTCTCTCTCCAAAAACTCAGTTATTATTTTCGCCTTTATACAACAAACTAATGCTTATCTTGACAGAAATCTTTGCAGGTAGAAAAAGACAATTATTTTAATAATTTATAATTTAAATATTAAAAAAAAAAGAATTTTGAAAGTGAACAAAGAATTCGGTGAAATCAATTGTCGATGATTTGGGATTAACTGAATTGGACGGACTATTTGATCATAAATGGAAAAATATAAGGATGAAATTATAATCAGTAGTGAAGTATAAAGCTGGCAAGAATTGAAGAGACTTCTCTAAGAGTTAAGTGAAATACAGGGAGGAAGTTGGAGAAGCCAATCATTCATTCCTAATATTTCAATATGCAAACCAAATCATCCAAATAGCACAAAATCCACCTTATATAATATTTTGAAGAGAGCAGAAAATGCACTTTTCCATCATATCCATCTTATTTTTCGCTTTTCTCTCCGTTGCAAAACCGTAAATTTGTTATGCTAAATAGCTATTACTGAATTTTATTAGCCTGAAAAGCTAATTCACTCTAATGCCTTTCCCTACTCTAACCTTCCCTTTCCCAAATTCCAAATTTTCCAAACAGTTTAATTATTCGATCCATTTCCGTCTCAGAACAATCATGCAAAAATGAAAAGCAGCACTCATCTCATTTATATCATTAAAAATAATTTCTATTTTTAAATGAAAATATTGTAAAATATCACTAAGTAAAACATTAATAATTAACATTAAATTAATTAGTAGTAAAAATAAAGGTAAGAATAATTTTAAAAAATCTTAAAAAAGAAATGATAGATGAAAAATTTTGTGTATTCAAAATTATTCAAATATTTTGGAAATTCAAAATATAAAGGAATGAATGAACGGAATTGTTTATAAATCATTTCACTTCATCTTTCTCAACTATTTTCATATTTTTCGAATCGTTTACAGTCTTTAGATCGCTTCTTCACTAATATCAACACGGATATTTTAAAAATTAGCTGCCGAAAATGGTTGTATAATTTTTATCTTCATTAACATTTTTTACAATGAAATCGGAAAACTGAAACGTTTAGGGAAAATAAATAAATAAATCTAAAAAAGTAACAAAGAATACGGCTGGGATAATTTTATGATTCCTCAAAGGATAACGAATGCACCGGAGAAAATTAAATCAATAGTTTGCCTAATTTAAATTATATTCAATTAGAAAAAAAAATCATTTAATTTTAAAGAAAAAAAGAAATCCGAAACTGTCCACTTTTTTCTGCAACAATTAACTATTGACAAATTGCTCCAACAAATCAAAGCCATCGAAACAATGATTTAACGCTTTTGCAACTATTTGTTATTGTAAATATGCCGAGTGCCAATTTACTACAATAATTGATCGTTAACAATGGAAAAATTTTACAAATAATCATTTATAAGTGACAATAATTCAAAAGTAAAATTGACAGACTTTCTTTCTACTTTATGAGCAATTGTAAGTTTACAGGTAATTGTAAGTAATCGATCGTAAGTGCAGGTAAGTAATCGATCGTAAGCGTAGGTAAGTAATCATACTATTATAAGGAGATTATAATTGCATCACTTTTTATAAATGTTAAAAATTTCACATAAGAAATGGAAATTCATAGTTTTTAGAACACTCTTTTATAAGACTTTTCCCAATTTAATTTTTATTATTTTTATTTGTAAATAGCAAATAATAAAAGATAATAAGAAGAGAAGAGAGAGAAAAAGAAAGAGAGAGAAAGAGATATTGCAGTAATTAGCGTTCTCATCTGCTATGACATCAATGGCAGAAAGTAGTAGAACTAATTACAACAGCTAAAATTCTATCGAAAAGTCGATGTGAATGGATCTATTTTGACAAATTGTGAAATTTGGAAATTTTCAAATTCCTTTTGGGAATGAAAATTCTGAAATTTTACAGCTATTCAAATCTATCCTTTCAAAACAAACAACGCTTCCCATTAGGAAACCCCCTTATATGTCTAAAATTTTAACTTCATCAACTACGAGCTGTCTCCAAGGAACGTTGATCAGTAGATGGATGGCCAAATAAATCTTTGTAATTTCATAAAAAGTAACTTATAACTCTTGCAAATAATACTTACCATATTTTGAGAATGAATCCGCGGAGGTTGCTCGTGAAAGATGTTTCCGAACGATGTAATCCGTGTTTTCAGTTACCTTCACCTTAGGTAGTAAACTTTTATTAGCTGAAAATAAAATAAAATAATAATGTTTTATTGGAAATATATATTAAAAGAGCAAGAAAAATGATAATGGAAAAAGAAATTAATAAAATAAAATTGAAAATTAACAATAGCACTAATTATAAAAGTGATAATGATGATAGTCGGGACTTGCTAGGCTTAACATTTGATGATGACTGTGCAAAACAAAATCTTTTCCAACAATGATAATTGATAGTTTACAGATATTTCGCGACTTGAATCAGTAAGATATTAGAGAAATGAATCATCAATATTTACCGAAATAATTGGTGGAAGGTTTGATGATATTGATAAGATTTTTGAAGAAGTCTACAGTGACTATCCATATCTAGCTTGTAATCGTACCCTATTCAGGAGATATCTTTCACATAATAATTTGGTAGTTTTTTTTGATGATAACATATAAAAATTACGTCAGTGAGTGATGATAGTAGTAAAATTATCGTAATGTTGATCTCCCTATCAAATTAAATTATCTGGTGTTAACAGTATCGTTTTTAAGCAAAAATTTGATGGATTTTGGACCACCGATCATTCTCAAAACAATATATTTAAAATGCTTCTAATGACAAAGCACAATTCTGCAAGTAATAATTCGGTACCATCAAAAAAACTGCTCCTCTAATAATTCAATAATTCTTCAAAAAATTAAATAAAATTACAATTTACAGATATATCACAATAATGAACTGGCCAAACTTGAAATTTCTGACCGGAACAAAGATCACCGGATTCTCATATTTACCATCATTTTAACAGTTGAGTTAACAAGCCTGATTTCTCATCCTATTAGCTATATATATAATATAACCTCAAAAATGTTTATGTGTGTAGATTACTGAACTAATCAGGTCGACAATGAAGATGCACAATTCGGGTTGAGATACGGGATGATTTGAAACAGCACCGAATTCAAGAATACGCGTTGTAAAAAAAGCAAAATTCGTAAGTAAACTGTTAGATCAATCCATTTAGCTTAAAAACAAAATCTCAGCAGTCAAATTGATTTACTATAACATATATCAAAATTAGAGAAAAATCGAGAAGAAAGTAAAAAATGAGAAAATAGTTAAATCAAAATACGATCATTCTTATTATCACTATTATCACCAGTGTGGAGTACTATTATCATCATTATTATACTGGTGTGGAATTTCACTAGAAAATGACAGCTGCCAAGTGGGATGGAAATTATTTTTGCATCATAAGCTGAAGAAGTTAGTAAAATATGAAAACGAGAGCAGTAAAAATTCAACGCCTGGAAGAAGAGTATAGTTCATACAATTCTACGTCAGTTTTAATCTCTCTCTCCCTTATCACCTGCAATTTCTATGTTCTAAGTGAGATATTAATGAAGGTGTTCGATTAGCAAAATACTACTTTATGCCTTCTAAATTGTTCATTCTTAGTTCCGCTTGAATACGACTAGCAAAAATGAATGCAATACAATTAACGAAATCAATTATCGACACTTTTTCCAATTCTATCCTTGCACTATTATTATCTGCCAGTTCAAGATTTCAAGAATCAAGATTTTCCGATAATTGTATGAAACCATCTGCTATGCATAATTTATCTATTTATCCTAAATCTTTATTTTTCATTGCGAATTTGATCGGTATTATAAAATATAAAATTTATTGAATGCAAAAGGATATTAAAATGAATATGTAATCTTTTCATATCCTTAAAAATCATAATTAATTAAAGAAAAGAATTAAAAAAACTAAAGCGAAATCGCAATAACCAATCGCATACTTTTGTGCTAAATTACTTTTCATCAATGGAATAATACTTTTCAAAAGTCAACAAATTTTTACAGCTCTAAAAATTATTTCTTTCGAATTAATATGAAATATAATAATATGAATTCATTTTCTCAATGGTCACATCTTCCTTTTTCATTTTCTTCAATCGCTGTTATGGCGACAGGTAATAAGTAGCCTTTGTTGTCTATCTCCGCCTCATTTTTAACAATAAAATTAGTCACTCACCTCAATATCGAATTTTCGGCATCTTTTTTTTCAAATTTTTGTCATCAAATTTTTGAAGAAAAAAAGAAGAAAATGATGCAAATCTGAGTATAATTAAAGTTATGCAGAAATTTTACAAGAAATAATATTCATCGTATAAACAACCAATCAGACGAAGAAATCGTTATCCTTGAAAATTATTACCCTTTTAATAATAATTTCATGATATTTCATATTTATTATGATGATTCGTATTTTATTTCTGCTGAATTCTTTCGTTTTCTTTTTTGCTGCGAATTTTCATTTTACTTGAAATTGAGAATAAAAATTTTTCTTAACATATGACCTTATTGTTAGTGTTTTATTAACAAACTTCAACTTTTTCCGTATATCAAGCAGATTTACAGTCACCTCTTATCAGACGAAAAGAAGTTATCAGTAATGCAGAGAAAGAAAGAAACAAGATAAGCTGATATTCTTTTGCTTCAGCATTTCTTTTAATGAGCAAAACTAGGAAGAATATTATATTAATCGCATAAGTTATAATTTTCGATATGGAAGCTTCTCTTTAAGTCATTGAGGTGAAACGGTGTCAAAAAAGTTCTCAAAATTAATTCTTCAAAATTTTGTGGAAAATATTATTCATTCTTTTCTCATTTAAAAGAAGTAAACGATAATGTATTATCATCCGAAAAGAAGAAAGGATAAAAAAGTAAGAATGTGAGAAAAATAAAATTAGAAGTTATCAGTAATGAAGAGAAAGAAAGAAAGAAAGAAAGAAACATGATAAGGTGATAATCTTTTGATAACTAAATTGATGCTATGCAATAAGTTGAAAACAAGAAATAAAAATAATTAACGAAAAGTATGAATTTTCATTAGGATAATTCCATTTAAGAAAATCAATAAGTTATAAACTCTCTCCTTCTCTCTCTCTCTCTCTCTCTCCCTCTCTTAAATGTTTAAATAAAATTTTATAAAAAGAATTTTTTTATAAATAAAAAAGTAAACAAACCATGTAAACAATTGAAGTTTCTGCCAGTAAGAGAAAATCGTTTTTCAGTAGGAATATTTGTGACACACTTCGTGCCATTACTATAATTACTTCTTTCAATAGGATTAATTTTAAAAGCAATGTTGTCATCTACGAGTGGTACATTTATCAAAGCTTTGCTCGTTATGTTTGTTCGCCTTATTGATGTTGAATTTCCGTTGCCCTCATTTGTAGTACTATAGTGTGAAATTTTTGGAATATTTAAAATTTTCTTGACAATTTGTCGTTCCTGATCAGTGGAATCGTTGCAACGAATATCATTCAGGAAATTATTTTCTGGAGCAACCTAAAATGAAAAAAATTTATGAGACAATTGCCAAGTTATACTAATTAAAATAAAATTTCAAATATCAAGAAGAAAACATAAAAGATTATTTTTAATTTATTAATCAAAAATTTTGCATTTGAATAAGTTTAGTAGATATTTCATACAATTTTAAGTAAATATTAAATAAATAAATAAGTACTACTTTGAAATGATACTTAAATAATGATATAAATCTCTTCCTAAATTACTTACATAATATGCTGAATGTGAATGTGGAAGATTTGAATAATTTTTGATTTCACTGCTGTCTAGAGCATGTGCAGAAAATCGTTGAACAGCAGTTAAAGATGACTCATCTGACCTTGCTGTATTGGCATGATATGAAGTTAAATGATTGGTACTACCAGCATCTTGCCAAGTATGGGATTTCTTCGAATGATTCAAATCTAATCGTAAATCATGAGTGGAAAACGATCGTGTTTCTAAAGAAGATATGATAATCCAGATAGGCTTCAGAAATGCTATCAAAAATTCTTATATAATCAAAAATTTATGGAAATTCTTTTAGAGAGTTTTTACATACGTTAAAAAATTAATTATCTATGCTATTGCCAAAATTTTATTAAATTATAAAACGTAAACTAAAAATGATACATGTGATAATTTTCATTAACTTTAACTGAAATTATAAGATTATGGTAGAAATTGAACAGATAAGAAATTCATTTCATTTAGTCGTGATTCATGGAGATTTTTTTTTAATGGGATAGTGTTTGATTTAACTCATAAAGAGTAATAGGAAAAAGATGGTAAGAAAATGACAGATGGCTTAAGGACATCCTATTAATTATCAATTACGACAATGAATGGATGTAAGAGATTTGGATAGGATTCATAGATTTTGAAATATAAATTTGAGGGACGAAATAGGCAATCAAAAAAATTACCTTCACCTCGATGAGAATTACTCGCTGAAACAGCCGCCAAGAATGAAGCTTGTCGTGTGACATGTCGTTTAAAAAATTTCTCTGAACCTGAAAAAGTGCTACATGAAGAAAGAATTAATACCGTTCAAATTCTAAGCAATAAAACAAAAGTCAAATCAAGTTAAAAAAAAGAAAATGATAAATGAATTGTTTTAAAAGTAGGACAGGTAGGAATAACGCTTCGATAAAAGAACAAATAAATTTGTAAAATTATTTCTTTCAAATTATCCAAAAATTTTCTTCACTTACCAGAATTTTTCCTTTGATTAGAATAATATTTTGATTGTTTATTATCACAATTATTTCGCATATTTACCTGAAATTATTGCAATTATTTTAAAGAAATTTCAACTTTTCAAAAAGAAAAGTTTTATCCTAAAAAATTAAATTTTTCACTTTTTTCTCATTTATTATTATTTCTTTTACAGTATCGTAAAATTCATTTCCTATTGCAATAAGTTTTTTTCACGTACGCTTTAACCTTTCCTCTTTTTTGAAATGAAAAATGCGAAACATTTAATTGTGAAATATTACGCTAACTTCACGCATTTGTTTCAATAACTTTATTTCTCTCTCTCTCTTTTTATTAGCTGTCATAATTAGATTAGATAATGCTTGTTAAAATCTCATCAGAACTACTTCAATAACCATTCGTTAAATTTAAATATCAAATATGCTTGTTGAAATCTCATCAGAATTACTTCAATAACCATCCGTTAAATTTAAATATCAAATATGCTTGTTAAAATCCTATCAAAAATATCTCTAAATTTAAATATCAAGTGTGCTTGTTAAAATTCTATCAATATAATCTTGTCAAATTTGTATTAACAATTTCATCATTTCTATTTTTAGGCAAAAAATTTATTGCAGTTGATAAATTAAAAAAACTTGTAGGAAAAAGTATGAATAAACAAAACTGCATGGAATGATGAGTAAATCATGACTCATTAGCAATAGAATTGAAATTTTGCTTTTAAATTCTCATTCGCATCTTTTACAAGAATAAATTTAAAACAAAAAAATTATTATTTTCTCATTAATTAATTGATAAAGGTTTCATTTTCACGAGCCAATGGAAAATTCATCTCTGAAATAATTTCAAAAATTCCTATCTAAAAATATAGCAATTACAATAAGTTAAAATATAAAGTAAAACTTTTACTGTCAACTTTCATAGAGATCCAATCATACCTTATAAAGTTAAGAATTGTTGATGAAAAATTTGACAATATTTAAAATACTCAAAAGAAAAAGAAAAAAAATACCTCTGCTCTTTGAAAGAATGAATTTGTGGCGATATTTGTTGAGCGTTGTAAAAGTAAACAATTTGTTTGTTTTGTTGGCGCTAAATATACATGATTCTGACTTCTTGATTTCGATACATTATTATCAGTTGTTGTACGATTACGTGACATTTTATTGAAATTTACCTAAAATTTTAATTTTTTAAAATTTCAAAATAAACAAATATTATTTTCACTCTAATATATATATCTTAATCAAATCATACAACAATATGACATGAAAAAAAATGATTTGAATGAATAACTAAAATCATTTCATCTTTTTACATTTCGTCGGCGATCTTACCATTTTTTTTTTGAATGGAATTCGTCTTTGTAATTCATTGCACATTTTTGCAATCAATTTTTCACGCTTCTGAAGACTCACATTTTCTACATATGATACCGATGATGTTGTTGATGTTGATGATGATGATGTAGATGATGGCACAGATGATTGTAGCGAAATTTGTAAATCATTTCGAATATGAGCTAATGATGGTGCAGTAGCGGTAGTAGCATGGTGTGCCAGATGTTCATAATGGATTACCATTGGTAGTGATGGTGGTGGTGGTGGTGGTAGTGGTGGTGGTGGTGCTGATGCTACAATAATTTTTGGTTCCATTTCGTGACAGTCATTTAGATGAAAAGCTTCAGAATTTGAATGCCTTAAACGAAAAAAAATTTATAAAAATTGTAATTTTCTATCATTTTTTATTTTAATTTTTCAAATTCAAACTATAAAAAATAATTAACGCAGAAAATAATGAATCAAAAATGATAAATTACTATTCATAATCAGACAGTTTTCTTTCAACAACGAACTCACATATTCTAATTATTCCTGTAAATAAAAAATTATTTATAAAATGACCTCATATCATCGTATCGACAAGTCGGAATATTTCGATGATGCAATTTATTTTCAGAAAAAACATCTCCACAACAGTAATCATTTCCTCTCAACCACTGAAAACTTCTACTCATATTTTGTAATTAATGGTAATTATTTCGCAATTAATGCTAATTACCCATATTTTGCAATTAATGTCAAATTATAAAATATGAATTAAAAATTGGCAATTTCTACCAATAAAAAAAGTAACAAGTAAGAGTAATAATTTTCCACATAAATATAACATTTTACTGTATTCTTATGGAAGGGATAATGTAATAATGTTTCACTGAAATTTATAATTTCGATTAATTTATAATTTAAAGATTCGAACAAGCAAGAAAATAACAAAAATTAAAAAATGAGACATATTTTGGTATTAAATTTAAATCTATAAAATTTCTATAATTTAACTTAAAATAATGGTAATCGCAATTTTTACTGAAATTAAGAGAAATATAAGATTGAAAAATTTTTGCCAATGCTCAAAATTGAAGTTTACAGCCGCACGTTACAAGCATGATTTATTTATTAAACCGGTACTGACAATAATAATAATAAAGACCTGTCAATATTAATTATATTTAATAGATAAATTTAACAATTGAATGAAACCCTCTGATAAGGTAATTTTAAAAAAAGGAAACAAAATATTTGTTGAAAATAATAATTCTGATTGATAAAAAGAAATAAAAGATGAAGGAAAGAGTAGAAGAATGAATTGGCAGATGATGAATGATGTAAAATTACAAAATAATGTGAAAAATGAGAGAGAACGAAATGCCGAAAATAGAAGTTGTAAAATTGATCGTTTTTGACAATAATGAAAGATCAATTACAAAGAGATAAGAAAGAATTCAGCCAATGATTTCTTATCAAATTTCAATTGTTCAATGCATCATTGCACAAACATTGTTAATTTTATGTAAATTTAGAGGAATTTGTTGGAATACAATATTTGATGGAAATTTTTTGGGATCAAATAAAAAAAGAAATTCAATTTTTCTATTTTATTATGATACTAATCTAACGAAATCTTTCTACGATAATGCTGTAAGTATTAATTTATCAAATGATAAAAGAGAATGATTAAATATTTAAGTTATTGGCTGATAAATTATGATAAAACTAAATAAGAGATTTTATTCAAATTATCACCTCTAAATCATCTTTATCACCTTTCCATCCTATCCTTTACATTTTGTTTCGTATCATTTTAATCTAATAATGCTAAATAGTTTGAAAGTTGGAAATTTTTAAACGACAAAAATTAGTAATTCAAAAATTATCATAGAATAAAAAAAATGATCATTCTCTAATATGATATTATTGAATATTGAAATGGACTTATATTAGATAAATGAATTCAGTAATTAACAATCGAATTTGGATAACAGAATACAAAAACTGGTTTCTTACCATCATATCATTAGAAATTTGATAAATAAATTCTTCATAGGAATTTGAAAATTAATGTGAAAAAGTAAAAACACACAACAATTTATGTTTGAATAATATTTTCATTTTATTCTAATATTTTATCGAATCGAATCTTTTATAAAGATCGAAGCAATCTTTGTTTTATTCAACAATACAAAAAACATTCACTCCGCGATCAAACAAGTAGTAAGATTAAACTACGATTAATAAAAGGCTAAACAAGTACTAAGATTAATATAAGATTAAACAAGTACTATGATTAATAAAAGGTTAAACAAGTACTAAGATTAAACAAATACTATGATTAATATAAGATTAAACAAGTACTAAGATTAAACAAATACTAAGATTAATATAAGGTTAAACTTACAAATCTAAATAATAAGCTAAGATGATAAAATTATCATTTAACAATTATTTTGTCCTTCAACCGTCAAACTCATTATAACGCTGCTGATTTGTTTTGTCCAATAAAATTGTTTTCTTAAATTCATTGAATTCTAGTTCAAATCATTTATAATCCATACAATTTATTTTTGACATTAAAATTAAATAAAAGTAAATAACAGCTGTAAAGCAAAAGTAAAATTATCATTATTATTATTATTATTATTATTATTATTATTACTATTATTATTAGTCATTGATACTTATGCTGGAAATGTGCGACAAAATACGGAAGTTTTACCACTTCACCCTCAACAAATGTTGTTTTGCAGAAGTAAAAATAGGCGTGGTTTCCATATATGTCACAATTTAACGATTTA